TTCTTTGTAAACATTTTCGTGATTCAGGAATGCATTCATTGAACTTATAAATACATATTGATTCAGCAAAAGTAGAAATATATTCTCGTTGACTGTAGTAGACTTGACATCTACCATTAGCAAAGGGTGTGAAGTTGTGAACCCATACTCGTTGACTGTAGTAGACTTAGGGATTAGAAATATAAGTTTGTAAACAACTCAATTCCTTTAGACATTCTTATCTAACCGAAGCTTGAAATATAAAAAGTCTACAACACCAGCTTGCAAAGATGTTGAGATTAGAAAATTATAATTTGTGGCGAATTTTTAGTTCTTTTGGTGTTTTTTTTATGCTACTTACAAACTGAGTAAAAAAGCGGCATTAACTTTAGTTTACAAACCACAATGAAAATGTTTTCAGAGTTCATGTTTGCGGTTAAAAAATATCAAATATAGTAAGACAAGTGCTAAAGTTTTTTTAACACAAACAACGCGAAATAAAATTATTTAACATTTTTTTCTTTTAAAAAAATGGATTAAAAAATCAGTTTTTTTCTATTCTAAACATAAAATGCATTTTCCATTTGATAAAATATTGTCGCATTTTAGTAAGTATCTACATTTCTAAATTTTCCAACCTAAAAATGAACCATGCCAACTGAAGTTATGATTTCAAGTAGTCAAATAAGCATGAAACCCAGCAATTGTGTTTGTTCCCAGACCCGTTCCACTTAATAAGTTGATTTTTTTGCAATTAGTAAATCATTTGCTTTATAACAGAAAATGCATATGTAAAATTTCTTAATGTCGTCTTCCTTTTCCAGAGTTTTAGTGGGCTTCATCAAACAATGACAAATCAAAAACCTTTGATGTCCAAGAAACATTTATAAGATTTGAATTTTCACTAATAGCATGTTACAAAAAACTCGTTTACACTTTAGAAAGTTTTTTTTTCAAATTTACTAATCCCTATATCTTTCCAACCCGATGGTTTAAACCTTGTATATTTCAATATTAATGGTCTACGACATCGGGTTGCAAAGATATATTAAATGAAAATTAGAGTTTTTGGCATAAACTTATTTTCTTTAAACTTGAAATGAAAAACCATTAGTCTTTGCTGTCATAATCATCAGTCGAATCTCTTACATTGATATATTAAAGACGTTTTGAAATGTTTTGATTGGCAGAATTATTGTTACACTTTTGAAATTAAAACTCAGCCCTCATAGTCTAACGTTTTATGAACAATATTTTCATCAGACATATATCTAACGTTAGACTAATCAATTTAGTATTCAGAGAAAAGTTATGAAACGTTTTGATTTACAGAATCTTACTCTGTAAAAAAAAATTTTGTTTCCTGATTATTAAAATAATAACCCATTTCTGCAACGTTGAATTTTTCATTATACTATAAGGGAAAACGTTTCAAAACGTTTTCATAAACAGTAATGCATTTTACAGTAATACAACGTTACACTTTAAATAAGTTGAACTTTGAAATAGAAATCCTTTCGTTACGATATTCAATCAAATCACAATTAGTTTTTCAAGCGTTAGACTTTCAAACTCCCCTTGGAAACAAAACATTTCTTTACGTTATGGTCAAAAAAGTTGTAGATATTAGAAAAATAACGTTACATTTCCACAAAACGCTAACGTTGGGGGTATGTTACTCTAACGTTAACGTTTAACGTTAACGTTAGGTATGTGCTCCTATAACGTTCACGTTATATAGAATATATCCAACCATTACACATTAGTGTAACGTAACGTACAAAAACGTACATTTTACGTTACGTTACACTATCGTTGACATCTCTAACACGTACATCAACTGATTAGGGGCAAGTTTCACATGTTTGAACTCTAAGTTATCAACAACAAGCTTGTCAACCAATCTTTCCTGGAAACTAAATTTACTCTAGAAAAGTCAATTTATTTAACTTCGATTTTTTAAACCAAGCTAAGAACATTCCTGTGGTTCTACCGGGTTCCCCAACCAAAATTTGTTCAAATTTCCATAATATAAATCAATTATCATGATTCTTAAATCAACATTTACATTTCTTAAGGCGAAACTTTTATGTTGGATAGCCAACTTTAAACCTATGATTCCCCAGCTTAGCCAAATATCCAACTCAAAAGTTTCAGCCACCGATTCATTAGTATCTAAATAAAAATATGTTTGAAAAAATCCCCCAAAAACCAACCTTGGGACAGGACCCAGGCTCCTATATCTGAACAGTTCTTGTGTCCCGTAACTATGTCTCCGATCTAAAGGAAAGATTTATCAGTCATTTAAAAACTAACGTTTGTTCATGCCATTCAATTCTTGAAACAAAGAAACGAATTGAAAAATCAATCTGAACTTTGTCTTAAATATAAAAGAACAATCTGTTTATTTACAACGGAGGTTTTTTGCCTCAAGCTCAAATTTTCGAATCCCTATATCTTTGCAGTGTGAAGTTGTAAACTCTCGACATTTCAAACTTAGACTTTTTGTATGGCTATAATTGCTTACCATTAAAACAAACTTTAAGAATATCCATTAAAACGAATTATGTCTTAGAAAGTTGTTTTACCTGAACCTGATGTTCTTGGCTGATAATCTTCACAACTAGTGCTATGAAGACGACAACAGCAACAGTACACATCCAGATAATTATACAACGGAGTGCGGCATTGTCACCAAGTGTACAGCATCCAGTTTTTAATCCAGACTTAAAGGGATTGTAAACTTAATTTCAAGTTACTCTCCAGTTTAGTATAAGAGTAGCATGTTTGTTTCACAACGGTACCCTTTAAACCTTTATTTGAGTAACAATAAGAAAGAAGTTATCGTTTTTCTATGCTTAAGTAACTTTTGCAGAAAAAACACAAATAAAATTAGTCAGTAAATAAGAACAAAAACATGAATATCGAATTCAAATTGAATCAAACAGAGCTTTTAAGGATAACGGTGTGATCGGGAATGAAAGGGTTATTTGAAATAACGGCAACTGTCCCTTTAAACACATTCAAGATCAAATTTATTTAATTTAACTACATGTAAAGATATATGTGTTTTTTTAAACAAAAATTTGTTTTCGTCATTTTATTGTTCATCAATCTTTTTTAAAATGCTAAATTTTTTTGAATTAATATTTTTGATTAATGTTTTATATATCTAGCTTACCCTGTACTGTAGTTGGTTATCATTAAGGAAATGAAATTGAGAATCATATCTAAAAAAAATTTTAAATCAAAATTTTTTGTTTTAAAATTTTAAATGTTTTCATAAATGACTTGTTTTCACATCTATAGAGAATATTTAGTTTAACGAGATTATACAAGAATATATTTTGCAGTCTTATAGTCTTTAGCGGGACAATTATAATAAATGATAAGTTTTATAATATTTCGGAAGTATTTCTTTTTGTTTTTGCAATTTTTGGTTCGTTTTTGCACAATTTTTGGTTCGTTTTTGCACAATTTTTGGTTCGTTTTTGCACAATTTTTGGTTCGTTTTTGTACAATTTTTGATTCGTTATTACACACTTTTTCTTTCAATGTCAATATTTGTCATATTGTAAGAAAATCAACTGTTTTTAAAATATTTTATTCTAAACATTAAATTTTCTTTTATCATGTCACATTTTACCCTGATAGAATAGAAGATATAAGCAAAAAACGAAACACAAATTGTGCAAAAATGGACAAGTTTTCTAATAGAAATAAAGATATTTCTAATTTTTTTAAAAATTAGACTTTGACATAATACAGTTTTGAATTATTTGAACTTTATAACAAAAATATTTAAATAATCTAAAACGGAGAACATCTGCCAAACCTAAATTAGACTTTTCAGGAAAAATCAGACCTTTCAGGAAAAATTAGACTTTTCAGGAAAAATTACACTTTTCAGAATCTCTGGTTTTGATAATCTAGAAATTTTAAACTATTGTTATTTAGTATTTCTATATCACCTTCTATTCTCCTTCTGTCTATCTACTAATCTTACACAATCATCATTCTTCATTTTTAATCTGAAAACAACTATATTTTTTTCTAGCTTGAGAACCCAGCGCTGCCCGGGGTAACTCATAGTTACTCCTAATCTAAAAGGGTGTAGATTTATATGTCTTAACAAAGCTATCATTTGTTTCTAAAATACTTTAACCTATGTAGCAAATAGAGAAAAAGCGGAAAATACGTTTAGCTACCTTGATCTCAATCCGGGTAAACCAGGCCTCTACCAAATGATTGGCCATCTTATCGGAGTGTCCTCCGCCAAAAAGAATATTAAACCGGTTTTTTGAAATCAACGCTATGGAAAATAAGATGCAGCTGAATACGAAACCTCCAGCATTAAATAAGGCCCAACGGTAGCTTAGACCCGAGCAGTATTTTCCCGAATTTTTTAATCGCGGGCTCAGAAATCGTTTACTTGCATTTAACATAGATTAATTTCTACTACGATTTAACACCAACTCAATTTATCTGTTTAAAAATTCTCCCTTACACCACAACCATACAAGTTAGAGGTCTTATTTTTTTAATGAGCAGGCCTTGAAAAGTCGAACTAGAGAAATGTATCACACTCCTCTTTCTCAATTCTAAGGGCATAATCATTGAGGGAACACCCCTTCTTCCCCTTCCCATCTATATTAGAGAAAAATACCCAATTTGTGAATTATGACAGGGTTAAAGAGTACGGTTGACTCGTGTACACTGTACAGGGCATCTCAATAAATGAGGAGTCACCTTGAAATGAAATTTTAGGAAAATTGGACAAGGTATCCGGGAGTAAAGATCAGACCTACCAAACAAAGCACAAACAAAAAAACCCAGAAAAATAGAGATTACTATTTTAAAAGAATAGGAAGTCCACCTTCACTAGAATTACTAATACTAATAAAAAGAATGGGCTTATTTTTAAACAGTTCAAAGTTAAAAATGGCGCCGCACATAGATTCAGCCTGCTTGTAAAAAGTCTCATCAATTTTTAATATAGGGTCGACTTGGGCATTGATTTTGCCGACATCTAGCTCACTTCTACTTTTCTGAAACCCTTTACAAGTTTACATGTTGGCACTATAAAGCACTTGTTGTTAGCTTTAAAGAAGTAATTGGCAAAGTTCTCAAAGATTTTTGCTTGAGAGCGTGAGACCTAATCACAGTGTCCGTTATCAGGACGAACAGTCGTATTTAAACCCCAAAACACGTTCACTACTATAACTTTCACAATATGTAAATATATAACGGTCGGATATAATAAAAACAACGCAAAGTCGTTCTGAATCAAATGAGCAATTGTCTTGTTTTATGTTTTTGTTTTGGAGAAACCGTATTGAACAGCTGATATTAAAGGTATGGAGTTTATACTGTATAGGCTGTATGGAGAATGGTTAGGATGGTTTCTTACTTGCTGCCTGTATAGTGTATAGTGTATAGACTTACCCTGTATCCAAGCAGTATACGCACCATTTACAAAATAATGGAGTAGGGTTGTCACTTGTCAATGTAACCCCCCCCCCTTACCCTCGTCATAACTGCAATCTTTAGCAAATTTATCTTTTTCTTCACAGTTGATATTTTCCAGACAGTTTTTCCGTGTCCAGCCTTTATTATATCTATTTATCTGTTTATCTATCTATCTATCTATATAATCTATCTATCTATCTATCTATCTATCTATCTATCTATCTATTTATCTATCTATCTATCTCTCTATCTATCTATTTATCTATCTATCTATCCATCTATCCATCTATCCAAATCTATCTATCTATCTATCTATCTATCTATCTATCTATCTATTTATCTATCTACCTATCTATCTATCTATCTATTTATCTATCTATCTATTTATCTATCTATCTATCCATCTATCCATCTTTCTACCTATCTATCCATCTATCTACTTATCTATCCTTATATCAATCTATCTAAACGAATGAGTTGAAGATCGTCTGATAGAACTGATTAGTTCTGATGCCTAATAGACAAACGAGGGATATTGAGTTGTACCTGGATTGATACGGGTTTGAGAAACCTTAATGGATTAGGGCATTTACTACACTCATCTATCTATCTCTCTGTCTATCTATCTATCTCTCTATCTATCTATCTATCTATCTATCTATCTATCTATCTATCTATCTATCGATCTATCTATCTATCTATCTATCTATCTATCTAGTATCTGTCTATCTATCATGTCTGCCTAACTATCTATCTATCATATTTGCCTAGGCACACCTGGCTTGTAGTAATTATTAACTACCTGCCTGCCTTCCTCTTCCTTCTTAACAAATATATGAAAACAAATAGAGAAATTATCTAATATTTTCATTCTCACAAATTGTATTGTGGTTTAAGATTAGGTACAAAGGACGTATATGTAGTTCTAGTAAAAGATAGATAGATACCAAGAAAGATAGATAGATAAATAGATAGATTGATAGATAGATATATAGATAGATAGATAGATAGATAGAAATAAAGTTCCGGCACCGAAACTTTAGTTATACAAAAGATAGTGTGGTTCAAACATCAAATGTACAGTGAACTAAACTTATTTACGACAATATCTATACACGTCACGCTAAACTAAATATTGCTTATTATGTCAAAATTTATAAATATCACATTTGTATGTAATATTTATCATTTTACAAACTCTCATATATATAATATATACAGAGAGAATCAGAAAGTTTTCGAAAACCTAAAAAACGTTATTTTATATGTTTAATGGATTTTAAAATCTAAATTTTGCTGAAATTGATCAAAAAAGTTTTAAAAGGCTGCATAACTCTTAATTGCTGTAGATATTGCAGTAATCACAGAAAGAGAGAAAATTAATTTCACTTTCTAATTTTTATTTAGAATTGAAGGAAGTCATTTGACGCCACTAGACTTTTTGTGTAAAGAAGGGGGGGGGGCAAAAATACAAATTCGTGATATTTTTGGTAAAAATAAAATCGATAGTTAATAAAATGTTTTTAAATGAATCTCAATACACATGAAAATAAGAAATTAACGTTGTTTTTAATTCTTGCTGATTAAGAAAATCAGAAAAGTTGAAAAATAAAATCCTAACACCTTAAACAACTTGCACAATTGATCTACTATTTTGTTTTGCGATCCAACAAAACAATTGATCAAATTGTTTAATGAGACAATTGATCTACTAGTTTGTTCTATGATCTAAAAATATAATAGATTTCAATTGTTTTATGATCTGTATTGACAATTGATTCAGCTGTTAAACAGTTAAATGATCTTAATAAACAGTTGATCCAGCTGTTTTCCGATCTATATGGACAATTGATCCCGTTGTTAAATGATCTATATGGACAATTGATCCAGTTGTTAAATGACCTATATGGGCAATTGATCCAGTTGTTAAATGATCTATATGGACAATTGATCCAGTTGTTAAATGATCTATATGGACAATTGATCCAGTTGTTAAATGATCTATATGGGCAATTGATCCAGTTGTTAAATGATCTATATGGACAATTGATCCAGTTGTTAAATGATCTATATGGACAATTGATCCATTTGTTTAATGATCTATTTATAGACAATTGATATATTTGTTTCATGATCAATATAGACAATTGATCGAGTTTTTTGATGATCTATAGACTGTACGACCTTTATGGACATTTTGCTCAAATTATCAGGGTTTACCTTGTCAATGTTATTGCAATATTGTGTAGCCCTGGAAATAAAAGTCTAAACCGTTAAAGCACTTGGTTCTTATTTTGGTTTCGTAAAAGCAAATATGTCATTTAATTTTAACCCTATCCATTTAATTTTAACCCTATCCATTTAATTTTAACCCTATCCATTTAATTTTAACCCTATCCATTTAATTTTAACCCTATCCATTTAATTTTAACCCTATCCATTTAATTTTAACCCTATCCATTTAATTTTAACCCTATCCATTTAATTTTAACCCTATCCATTTAATTTTAACCCTATCCATTTAATTTTAACCCTATCCATTTAATTTTAACCCTATCCATTTAATTTTAACCCAACAAGAGTGCTAAAATTTCTTCACTTTTTCAACTTCATAATTGAGCACATATTTTCCCCAAATAATATTTTTTTAATGCCTAGTCAAAAGTATCATGTGTCACATGTAAATATTTGTGAAACAGAAAATAAATATTTTTAAAACATTTTCTGACGTACTTTTTGATAAACCTCCATATAACCATTAATGGTAGAGCCTTGGGGGTCTAATTTTTTTATGAGCGGTCCTTTAAAGGTTGTACTCTCACATATTGATTGAAGCCAGGAAATAACCAGTTTTAAAGAAAAATAGATATAACCAGTTTTGAAGAAAAATAAATGTAACCGGTTTTGAAGAAAACTAGATATAACCAGTTTTGTATTGATAAATAATTAAATTATTTTAAAGTAACAAATTGCATTCACTAAAGACTAAAGAGAGACAAAATATAAATTTTGAAGAAACCAAATATAGGGAAGGATGAAAAACAAATTTAAAAAAAACAATAAAACAATTTTTTGAAATATTTGAATTAATTCATTACAAAGTTTTTTTTAAACCTCTCAAGAAATTGTTACAAAGTAAAATTTAATAGCTATAAGCTTTGAAAAAAAAAATTACAGTTTTTGTAATTCATGGATTTCTACTCTTAAAACTCGAAAAATTTTGAAATCATTAATGTTAAATAATAAATGAAGGAATGTAAGGATTTAACCAGTTGAGATTACAGATTGAGGGGATATATTTAATAATTCCCATATCTTTGTAACGTTTACAATATCAAAGGTCTATGATCTTTCAAAGATGTAAGAATTATAAAGTTAAAAGAACAGAAAAAAGCAAATATATAAAGAATTCTTTATAATTTAACGGCAATCCACATTTTGCCAATTACTTCTTTTAAACTAAAGAAAGCAACTCGCGCGCTGTGGCCCTTAAAATTTACATATCTAGGGCTACAAAATATACAAGTGAGTTATTTATCTTAAACCAATGGCCAAGGAGCTGCGACACTTCAAAGTTATCCGGTCTCCAAAATTAATGCAAAATTTGCATAGTTCTCTAGATCTCTGTGTTGGTTAGAAGAAGAGCATATAAGCTTAAATCTTATTAATATATACTAATATATATAAAATGAACTATACTTCCTAAGAGAGTTATTAAAAGTGTAAAAACGTTTCTTTGTTTTAAAGTTTTTAAAAATTTATTATAAATAATTTATTTTTTGTCCTTGTTGTTTATAGTTATGTAACTATATGTTAATTAATAATGTCATAAATGAAATAAAGTACACAGAAACTCCCTCCCCCCTCCTTTATTTGTGTACATATAACAGAGGAAATAAGTTTTTGCCACAGACTCTTTTTCCGATATCTTAGCAACCCGATGCCGTGGACTTTTGATATTTCAAACCTTGAATTCTGTTAGATCATATATACCCTTCTTTCACGTACCTCTGCTCCTTTAGTAAACGTAAATCTAACCTATATAAAGCATAACGTTTGACCGCGTCAACCTTGTTGCACCGGCTAGTCCTGTCCATAGAGTTGGGTACAGTACAAACTGGGACCGGAAAGGTTGACCCGGCTTGGAAATTCAAATGTACTACGGCTGCCCGTGATTTAATTATAGTTCGGTCTTTATCCCAGCAAACTTGGACTTTTGATCACAATTTGACATTAAACATGCATTTTTCGCATTTTTCTTTATACTTTTTTTTTGTCGGCTTATACCTATTTAAAAAAGGGTATAAAAAGACAACTGCGTAAGCTTAAATATTGTTGAGTTATTGACCAAAACGGGATTAAATTAAAAAAGCTATTGCCCTGGATAAGTCCGGGGTGATTAGTCTAAGTTTGAAATATCATCGGTTTACTATTAAACCATCAGATTGCAAAGATATAAGGATTAGGAAATTTGAATTTGTGGCAAAAACTCAATTCCTTTTTAAGAATAAAAAATAAAATGGGCTCATATCAAGCGGACGAATAGCATTAAACAAAACAAGGTGTTATTTTTTCATATCAAGAAACTAACTTTTTCATACTTTTTATGTTCTGTTTCTAATGTAACATCGGAATGTCTATTCGTAAATTAATAAGTAGTTTGACGTTCGGTATCTGCAATTCCGTCTTAACACCAAAGGAATTAAGTCTTTGAATCCCTATATCTTTGCAAACCAATGTTGTAGGCCTTAGATATTTCAAACTATGACAGATCAAATAATCGAAATGCGAAATATCAAATGTTTACATCATCAGGTTGCAAAGATATGGGGATTAACAAATTTGTGGCAAAGACTCAATTCCTTTGTTTACATACGAACAGTTTATTTCTTAAATTTTTTCAGGGTTCAAATTTTTTTAAATCTTAACAATTTCGCTTTTCCCTTTTTCAGTTGTAAAATTATTGTCTCTGGAAAACGTTACAAATAAATAAATCATTTTATTTACTAAACACGTGTTATATATCTACATATTAAACACGTGTTATATATCACATATTAAATATAATTAGGTAATTAGTCAGTTACTTTCATACTGCAAAGAAACTAATTAATTTTGGAATATATATAATGTCAATTTGAATCCTGCAGCAGCTTATGTGTTCTTTGGGCTGACAACTTAAATATTAATCCAATTAAATCTAAGCGATTCTACATTTAACTTAAGGGCATGTCCGATTCACAATAGTACCCTAGAAACCTAAATCTGATTAATAATGTTATTTCTGCAGCTTAAATTAATGTTAAAATATGTTAATGTCTCTATTGTTTCTGAAGAAAGAAATTCTCAAGTCACATAAAATAATCAGTTTTCAAAAACAAAAACATGAGCTAATCTAATTTATATTTTAAACAAAGATTTTATGGGTACCGTTGTGAATCAGACATGCCACTCTATCAACATAGGATCACTTGATTACGTTAACACTCCCTTTAAGAAAATTATATTTACAGTCCCTTTAAGTTTACTTTTACAGTGTAAATTTTTATACCTGTAATTGCCAGCAAACATAAAACATCTGTATAGACACATAATCAATATTAAATCATTATTTCAGATTTTCTTAAACAAAATACAATGCAACCGTGACAAGAATTAAAAAAAAATAAAAAAATTTCCCCCAAAATCCAAAAAATGGAAGACGACAAAATTAAGGTATATTGAAACATAATTTGACTAAAATGTTTTAATTGTTATAATTCTCCATTGAACAAAGTCGTTAACTTGCTAAAGGTGTTACCAGTGACAAGCAACTTGACAAAAAATAATTTATAAATTTCAACAGATTTGTGACCTCATACACGTTGTCAGCTTGTCAACTCACAAATTTTGTTAGCTTGTCAGCTACCGTGTTGTCAGTAAAATACACGTTGTCAGCTTTTCAGCTAACAATGTTGTCAGCATAATTCACGTTGTCAGCTTGTCAGCTATTATGTGTTGTCAGTAAATTACACGTTTTTCAGCTATTCAGCTAAAGTGTTTTCAGCATAATGCACGTTTTTCAGCTAATCAGCTAACAGTGTTTTTAGCATAATACACGTTGTCAGCTTCTCAGCTTACAGTGTTGTCAGTATTTTATATGTTGTCAGCTAGACAGCGAACAGTTTTGTTAGTACATTACACGTTGTCAGCTATTTTTCTAACAGTGTTGTCAGCATAATATTAAATTTTTTCAGCTTGTCAGCCAACAGTGTTGTCAGCTTTTCAACTAACATGGTTGTAAGCATAATACACGTTGTGAGCTTGATAGCTACATTGTTGTCAGCGTATTACATGATACCAGCTTGTAAGCTTACAGTATTGTCAGCATAGCAAACGTTGTCAGATTGTAATCTGACAGTGTTGTCAGCATAATACACATTGTCAGCTTGTCAGCTAACCGTGTTGTCAGAAAGCTATCAGCGACAAATTAACTATTAAAGTCTTCAAACAAGCAACTATCTATAATTTGAAAGCTTTGACATGCAGTGTATATTATTAATTAAAGTTCTTAAAGTAGTTTTCTAAAACTTAATTTTTCCTTTTGTCATTTCTAGATTTTGGAGGATGAGAGTTTTAACGAGATTTCACCTCAAGATAATCAGGTAAAATTTTTTTAATGAGACATTACACATGGGCCCAAGGCCGTTTAATTAGTCATTAAAACTGGGCCGTTTTAAGCTTAGAAATTTAACAATAACTCGGGTCGTTTTAGACCAAGAATTGTGCATTGGCTGTTTCAACCTAGTAATCAAATAGTCGTGTCAGACCAAAAGAATTTCACTTGGCCCGTTCTAAATAATGCATTAAAGCTGGTATAGTCTTTTATGCGGAGTCCATTAGCGCCTGATCCAGTGGTCAGTCATGTGATTGTTGTCTAGTAAGTACCAATAGAAATTGCATTGCAGTAACATCTATTTATCTATCTATCTTATCATTCAATTAGATTTAAATCCGTGTACCGGCGCTATCCACTACTAAATGGAAATATTTACTTCTACTGAAACTATAGTGGGCTACCAGGCATTAAACCATGGGGCTATTTTCATTGGGACGTTTACATTAAACCCAGGGCGTTAAAAACATAGAATTTAACATGGGCTGATTTAGACTGAGATTAAACATGGGCCGGTTTAGACTGAGATTAAACATGGGCCGATTTAGACTGAGATTAAACATGGGCCGATTCAGACTGAGATTAAACATGGGCCGATTTAGACTGAGATTAAACATGGGCCGATTTAGACTGAGATTAAACATGGGCCGATTTAGACTGAGATTAAACATGGGCCGGTTTAGACTGAGATTAAAACATGGGCCGGTTTAGGACGGGGGGATTTTTGGTAATGTCAATTTAGTAATGACAATTTGGTAATGACAATTTGGTAAGGTGACAATTTGGTAACGACAATTTGGTAATGACAATTTGGTAAGCTCACAAAAGTGACAATTTGGTAATGACAAATTGGTAACGTCATAAAAGTGACAATTTGGTAATGACAATATGGTAACTATAACAAAAAAGTGACAATTTTGTAATGAAATTTTGGTAACTACAAAAAAGTGACAATTTGTTGATAAATGTTAAATTTAATTCAATTTAATGTTTAATAATTTGCTGTTTCTCACATTATTTAGGGTTAGGTTAGGTTAAGACAATTTCTGGGCCGAGCGCTGCGGCTAGGATGGGCTAGGGGGCCGAGCGCTGCGGCCTATTAAAAGTTAAATAATGTGCTGTTTCTCACATTATTTTGGGTTAGGTTAGGTTAAGACAATTTATGGGCCAAGCGCTGCGGCTAGGATGGGCTAGGGGGCCGAGCGCTGCGGCCTATTAAAAGTTTAATAATGTGCTGTTTCTCTCATTATTTTGGGTTAGGTTAGGTTAAGACAATTTATGGGCCAAGCGCTGCGGCTAGGATGGGCTAGGGGCCAAGCACTGCATCCTTTTAAATGTTAAATGTTGATTATAAAAGGGACAGTTTGGTAATTACATATAAAAAGTAACATTAATAACTTCCTAACATTGACATACATAAAGTCCGTTCTTGTTGTAGTATTTAAATCCTTCTGAATCTTGTAACATTTTGTCACCCCTAGAAGGGGTGATGAATAAGTAATTCATGATCCAAGTCTCCTCTTCTTGCAGTATATGACACAAGTGCAGGTTGAAACGTGGATTTTAGAAAATATTGCGAATTTTACAATTATTTTTGGCGCATTTCTTTTGTGCAGAAATAAAAGATTCCTAGAATCAATTATCTTCAATTGAATATAAAACTAATAATTAAACAATTTTACATAATGTCACTTTTATTTCGTTTACCAAATTGTCCCTTTTATGACGTTACCATATTTTTATTACCAAATTGTCACTTTTTTGTTGTTACCAATTTGTCATTACCAAATTGTCACTTTTGTGAGCTTACCAAATTGTCATTACCAAATTGTCGTTACCAAATTGTCACCTTACCAAATTGTCATTACCAAAATGTCATTACCAAATTGTCATTACCAAATTGTCATTACCAAATTGTCATTACCAAATTGTCATTACCAAATTGTCATTACCAAATTGACATTACCAAAAATCCGCCCATCCGGTTTAGACTGAGATTTAAACATGGACCGGTTTAGACTGAGATTAAACATGAACCGGTTTAAACTGAGACTAAACATAGGCCGGTTTAGACTGAGATTAAACATGGGCCAGTTTAGATTGAGATTAAACATGGGCCGTATTTTTAAAACGTGGATTGAGCATGGACATTTTTAACCATGTTTCGTTTAACCTAGAGTAAACTAGAGGCGTTTAAATCTATAGCATAACCCTAGACTGTTTCAAACCTAGAATTAAACCTGAGCCAAAATTTGACAAGAATAAATAGGTCGTTATTACAGTGTTATCCCTTGAGGGTAACCCTGTATATAAAAAAACTGTGATTGTTGTTCTAAAAATTAGATTCAAAGATTTTCTAATAAAAGTTAAAATAATTTCAGATCTGTGAAGAGAAAATAAGCGAAAACAAGTTTTTAAAAACTGTGACAACAGTTCTATTCGTTTTCCTCAGTATATTCTCAATGTACCTTTTCAGGTTAGAATACAAACTAAAGGAATTCAGTCTTGGCCACAAACTCTAATTTTCTAATCCATTATATTTACAACCCGATTTCGTTGACCTTTGAAATTTCAAACTTTCGTTTTTGGTAGATCAAAAAGTCTAAGTTTGAAATAATAAAGGTCTACACCATCAGGTTGCAAAGATTTAGGTATTAAAACAATTGAGTTTGCGGCAAATACTCATTTTCTTAACATATTTTTAATTCTTAGATTTGTAAACGTAATTTCAAGTTGACCCTCCATTGATAACCGGTACCCTATAATGCTTTGTCTGCATCAAGAATGAATTAGATATCAATGTATTTGTCTTTGAAAACTATTTATTTATATTTGTGGCTTCTATGCAAAAGTGATTTGGGTATATTTTGCTGGAAATACAATTGAGAAATTATCAAAATTAAACATGTTTCAATCTAGAAAAATGTCAATTTCTTCCCATTGCTGATCAGATTCAGGTTTCGCCGTTTTGGTATATAGAGAGGTTTTCACAAACAAAATCAGTTTGAAACAATAAAAAAATGTTGATTTTACCAACTACTGAATCTAATTACAAAAAGTATAGTTAACGGAATTTTTTGTATTGATTTTGCATTTGTTATATATTTGTTATATATTTACGGCGAAAAGCACGTTTCTCAATCTTGTATCACGAAATAATTTGAATAAAGTTTTCACTCAAACAACACACTTAAAAATCGTAGAAATCTATTTAATAAAACAAGACATTCGTAAATATATGTTGCCTATAGCCGCCAAACAGCTGGACCGATTGGGCTGAATTTTTTTGTGGACACTCATGGGTGGCCGGGGGATGTTAAAGGCTGAAATTGTTTTCTTTTTTTAAGTAAAAGAAAAAATTTTACGTGCAACGCCCTTCATTTAGTGCAGTTTTGAAATCAAAAACATTCGTAATTTTATTCTAAAATATTTTGTTTTAACTCAACACCCCTCTGTTCAGGGTTCTCTATTCTCCATTTTATGAAAGAATATTCACATATTATTATTCTTCGAAAAGTTTCCTGAAGTTTTTTGAAAGGTGTAAAAAACTCAGTGGTGTTAATGTTTGTTTATATTTCTCCCAGAAACTGCAGTACACATTTCTAACAAAAAAATGAGAGTTAAGGCGTTTTGTATGTCCTTGTTTATTACGATCTATCACGATTCGTTTCATATTATGCGACCTTGCAGTTGTAAAGTTTCAAATTTCATGATCAAAATGAATTTCAAGATCCCTTAGTTTATACATGCTACAATGCTACAATGCTAATCACAAAACCTTTTTCTGATCTAGGATTAATGATATATTTCCTTATTTTCTGATATAGGATTAAGGATATATTTCCTTATTTTCTGATGTAAGATTAATGATATATTTCCTTATTTTCTGATGTAGGATTAATGATATATTTCCTTATTTTCTGATGTAGGATTAATGATATATTTCCTTATTTTTCTGATGTAGGATTAATGATATATTTCCTTATTTTCTGATGTAGGATTAATGATATATTTCCTTATTTTTCTGATGTAGGATTAATGTTATATTTCCTTATTTTCTGATGTAGGATTAATGATATATTTCCTTATTTTCTGATGTAGGATTAATGATATATTTGTTTATTTTTCTGATGTAGGACTAATGATATATTTCCTTATTTTCTGATGTAGGATTAATGATATATTTTCTTATTTTTCTGATGTAGGATTAATGATATATTTCCTTATTTTCTGATGTAGGATTAATGATATATTTCCTTATTTTCTGATGTAGGACTAATGATATATTCCCTTGTTTTCTGATGTAGGATTAATGATATATTTTCTTATTTTTCTGATGTAGGATTGATGATATATTTCCTTATTTTCTAATGTAGGATTAATGATATATTTCCTTATTTTCTGATGTAGGATTAATGATATATTTCCTTATTTTTCTGATGTAGGATTAATGATATATTTCCTTATTTTCTGATGTAGGATTAATGATATATTCCCTTGTTTTCTGATGTAGGATTAATGATATATTCCCTTGTTTTCTGATGTAGGATTAATGATATATTTCCTTATTTTTCTGATGTAGGATTAATGATATATTTCCTTATTTTCTGATGTAGGATTAATGATATATTTCCTTATTTTCTGATGTAGGATTAATGATATATTTCCTTATTTTCTGATGTAGGATTAATGATATATTTCTTTATTTTTCTGATGTAGGATTAATGATATATTTCCTTATTTTCTGATGTAGGATTAATGATATATTTCCTTATTTTCTGATCTAGGATTAATGACATATTTCCTTTTTTTCTAATGTAGGATTAATGATATATTTCCTTATTTTCTGAAAACTGTAGACATTGAAGGCAATTTACAAAATTTCAACCTTTTTTAGATAGAAAAATGACGATATCTTAACCTTATTGTTATTCAGATAAATTTTGAAGGCCGGGTATTGTTGCAAGTCGGACACATGCCACTTGATACAGTGGTAGGCGATTATAGCAATACAATGAAGACGACTTTTTTGTCGTCTTCGTAGTATTGATATAATCGCCTACCACGGCTTTCTTAAAATCCCCTTTAATAATCAAGTTTGCAACTTTCCCCGGAAGGTCACAATTGAAATTATGTCAACCGTCTCTTTAAATATAATAAAATAATATTTTGGTGTTTAGAGATTATATTCATGCTGTGTTGGTGTGGGTTGAACAGGAGCCGCCCTGGTTAATAGTTTTTATATTCACCTTGCTCTTTACCCTGGTATCCTTACCCCTAGCCTGGGGGTATATTGTTATAAATATGGCAGCAGGGTAGGTAGTCTTTCATACTTTCATCCTTTCATTCTTTTATCCTTTCATCCTTTCATTCTTTCATACTTTCATCCTTTCATTCTTTCATACTTTCATCCTTTCATACTTTCATTCTTTCATTCTTTCATTCTTTCATCCTTTCATCCTTTCATCCTTTCATCCTTTCATTCTTTCATACTTTCATCCTTTCATCCTTTCATTCTTTCATCCTTTCAAACTTTTATCCTTTCATCTTTTCATTCTTTCATTCTTTCATTCTTTCATTCTTTCATCCTGTACATCTTTCGTACTGTATTACCTCCTTGTTTATATTATAGATATTTGTTTGGAGTACTGTATGGACTCCTTGTTTCTATTTTAGATATTTGTTTGGAGTACTGTATGGACTCCTTGTTTCTATTGTAGATATTTGTTTGGAGTACTGTATGGACTCCTTGTTTATATTGTAGATATTTGTTTGGAATACTGTATGGACTACTTGTTTCTATTTTATATATTTGTTTGGAGTATTGTATGGACTCCTTGTTTCTATTGTAGATATTTGTTTGGAGTTCTGTATGGACTCCTTGTTACCATTGTAAGCGCTACTCTGGGCGTCGTCTTTGCACATTATTTGATTAAGGTAAACTTCAGTACTTTTATATTTAAAGAAACTGTAAGCGTAACTTTAAGCTACCCTCCATGTAAAGATGGCAATGTCCGATTGACACCAGTATATTTGAAACTTTTACTTGATGTGGAAAATACAGCTTTAGGGTAAAAATGTTTATTTCTGATAATTCATATATATTTTTTCTGCACTAGAAATGCGTAAGTCACTTTTGTAATGAACCCACAATTGAAAATAATCAGTTTTCAAAATCCAAGTATTTAGGGTACTGTTGCGAATCAGGCATTACCATTTTCACATGGAGGTTTATTTTAAGTTTAAATTAACTTTTGAAAGGTTGTCCGATAGGAGACTGCTTTTCAATAAAAACAAATAAAAACCATAAAAAAAAACTAAAAAAGTTCAAAGTAAGATTTTAAGTTTTTATTACAATCCATTAATCATACTTGGAATAGCGTAATTAGATTTTTATATTAAGTTTAAAATTTTTTCTTTAGTTTTTTTTTTCTGGTTTTGTTCGAAAACTGATGAACAGTTCAGAATATTCTAAAGCTTTGCTCACCGTTCTTTCCGGTTCTCAGGTAATCAAAGTTTTCAATATTTATTAATATTTTTAATTTTTTCCGCCATTCCTTATTAAGTGAGAAATATTTTGTTATCTCACACGTCACACTACAGTTCATAAATATAAAAGTACTATTGTCGTTTTGTGCATGTCATATTTGGATAGAGGAAGCTGAGAAAACATCTTTTGTGTTTTAAATCTCTGAATACAAGGCTTTAGAGGTTAAGAATTGTCGTTAGAGGAATTTCTTTGAAATCAACCAATAAGAGCTTCGATATTGATATTTTTAGAAATTGAGCCTTTGCCCCAAATTGTGATTTTTTAATCCCTATATCTGAAGAACACAATGTTATATTTCATACTAAAGTTTTAAATGTCAAAGGTTTACGCCATCAGGTTGCAAAGATATAGACATAAGAATATTTTATTTTGTGACAAAGCCTATTTTTTGTGGTTACAATTTGTGTTAACCAGAATTAAGCCGTTGATAACAAGCCACACTCCACTAAACCCCATTATTTCTTCGGTTGAGATGGTGACGCAATATCAAAATCAAAAGTTTAGCCCTCTCTCTGGCTTAAATAATTATAAAATTTAAATACTTTCAGGCATTTAAACTAGTTGCTTTAAGCCGATTAACCCCTGTTCCTCATGGTCTCCAAAACTCCATTTTTGCGGTCTCCAAGTTAGTTATACTTTATTTCTTTTATATTAATTTAAATTTCTTTAAAATATTTTTATGTTTTAAAATAAAAAAAATATTCCTTGTAAATAAATGTGGATAATTTTTATAATTATAAATGTCAGCTTTTTGACAGTAAATGTTATAAAAGTTTGCTTTTTATTTTAAGAAAATGCAGTTTTAAGACTAAAGTTTTTTTTCAGTCTATCCGTATCAAAGTACGTTGTGTCAAGTATGTTGGGTCTACTTCCAAGCCAAATTATTAATGCATATATTGGGTCTACACTTAGAAGGTAATAATGATGATGATATAGTAAAAGTAATCAAAATGATAATGATAGTAATAATAATAATAATGATGTTGGTATATTAAAAGTAATCATAATGATAATGATAATGATAATAATAATAATAATAATAATAATAATAATAATAATAATAATGATGATGATGATACAGTAAAAGTAATGATAACTATATTGATAATAATAATAATAATGATGATGGTGATGATGATGATGATGATGATGATGATGATGATGATGATGTCATAAAAACTGTTATTAGTATGGAGGAGGTTCTATATTCTGAAGAAACTGTATGGAAAGGTTGGATACTTCTAGGTGTACAACTTATACTTAGGTAAACAAACAAATGTAAAAAGCAATTGTAAACAAACAAACGCAAACAAACAAATGTAAAAAAAAACAAAGTAAACAAACAAATGTAAACATACAATGGGAAACAAACAAATGTAAACAAAAAAATGTTAACAAAAAAATGTAAAAATATACGTGGAAACAACCCAATTTAAACAAATAAATAGATTCCTTTTTTTCTGGACATTTTTTATTAAAACACTATTTACTTACAAAATACTAGAGTGGAACCCATGCAACTGTGGACAGGGAAGACGACTGTTAGACTCAAGTTATGATTCTAGTTTGATCGAATAAACATGAAAAACGGCAAATGTTTAGTTTAGACTGTTGCAGTGCAGTACACAGACCTATATTGAAAGCACATTTTCCTTTAGAGTACAAGATGTACACATTTTTATGTGTCCCACTGTATACATAAAGTCTTGAGATAGGATTTATTAATTACAGTGGTCGGCGATTATATCAATACAGTTAAGACGACTTTTTATTATTTATTATTTTATTATTGCTTTGATCCCTAAATTCAAATTACAAGTTTGCATAACTTCTTGTTGTTTATATTTTAATGTGTCTCTACTGTTTGAAAGATTGATAGAAATAAAAAATAGAAGCAGAAAGTCGTCTTCATTATATTGATATAAATGACTACTGTATATTGTTTCTATTCTAGTTTACTGGTTGGTCTCTTCATTGTACGACGAGCAAAGATTGAGCTGAATGCAAGTTTGCTCACAGAAAATGAAAGTGCTTGAATATCTTGTTCGATCAGTGGTTTTTCCATTTCATTTAAATGAAACAAATCTTAAAAGAACAGTTCATGTTTAATCATGAATTCCCCTTAAAAAGAACTTTTACGCGTTCAGTGTATGCCGTATAACATGGTATATGTCCCAAGTAATGCACGTTGCACATTGCATATCTGCATTTTAGAATATAAAAACATTTTTTAAATATGGGGAAAATCCTAGAAATGCTCCATTAAGGTCTTCAGAGGTTTCAACTTTTGATAATGAGATAGCGCTGATCTGTAAATTTTAACCTTAAGCGATTCAGATCTTAATCAATAATGAACAGCTGACATTTTCGATTGATCTTTCATAGCTGGGAGAAGTTATAATTGTGGCTTGACGTCTGCAATATTTTCAGAGATTGATCTGGAACAAAATATACGGATTTGCGCTTTTTGTAGGGATTAACATTCCAAAAGTTATGACCTCTTTTCAAAAAATTGTGATGCAACCAGTTACATTTGTAATTGAATTAAATATATGAGAAAAAGCAAGCATACTATCTTTGTATAATTTTTTTATATTTGAAACCTTAACTAACTGTATTTATGTTATTTACTTATTTGTGATTGTTTATATGTCTTAGTTGCCATATGATGCCTTCTAAATCTATATATTTATGTAAATTAACAGATATTTGAGCTTTTGTGTTGAGAATCGTTAATCTTGAACGCTTTCATTTGGATTTAAAATTGAGAACCAACGCCTGTTTATTTACTTTATTTAGTATTCCTGCAGAGATTAACCATCACTGGATATCAAAGAGGAATACAATTAATCCATAAGTCTAAATTAAATGGAGATCAATGCTTAATCCTGAGATTCATAACACAAACGTTCAGACTTTAGAAAAAAATTTTAATTATAATACTATTTATATATTTTTATTTTAATAAATACCCACATTTCAATCTTTCTGATTTCAAGATTGTTAGCCGTTAGGGGAATGTTAAGATATTCATAAATATGTACGTATATATATATATGTACAGATATATGTACACAGATAACCAAACATGAGAAGATGTCATGTACAATGTACATAACACTTGTAATGATCGTCTCAGTAAGTTAATAATGTCGACCTTTTATATTTTTCTAAAAAAGTTTTTTTTGCAATTTTGCTTCCTCTTATAAAGTAACCACGGATTTATGCATTGCAGGGACACACTCCTGTATGCCGAGTCCATTAGCGCCTGATCCAATCAGGGTTCAGTCATGTGTTTGATGTCTATTCTGAACCAATAAAAATTGCATGGCTGTAATATCTATCTTTCTATCTTTCTCATTATCCAATCAGAGATATGACTCCTTCAATCGGCGCTTAACAGTAATTGGAAATATTTACTTCTACTGAAACTATAGTGTACAGGGATGGATTTTTGTACTTTTCTGAAAAAGACACATGATCGTTACGTTAACGCGCGACACAGTAAAACAACACAATTGTTTTTGAAATGAATAACTTTATGAAAATTGAAAAACGAAGTGATAGTTTTTATCTTAAATAAAGTTCGTCGTTTCAATAATGAAGGTTGGTCGTTTTTGGTTTTAGTCGATCATCAACGACCGTGCCGTACCTTTCTATCAAACAAGTTTTTTATTGCAATTGCGTTTTCTCTTAGATTTAGGCATTGCATGCTCAGGGATGGAACGTTTTTTCTTTATTGAACTGATCGTTTCGTTTAGGCACGACATAGTAAAAACAAAAATATTGTTCTTAAAGATTAAAATCGTCGTTTTAGATTTTTGGCGATCATTAACGACCGTACCTTCTTTACAGATCGTTAACATAGACCCTTATTCACCTATAAATAGTTAAAAACGATCGTTTGCTTTGTCGCCTTCAAATCAAATAAAAACGATCAATGAGCTATCCAAATAGGTTTTATGGTATATTTAATATTTTGTTATTATTTTAGTTTTCTAATGTAAAATAATATTTTTAAAAGAATTTTCATGTTTATTTTACAAAATAACACAAAATAATGGTTTTTGGAGAAGTCCAATTTAGTTCCGGAAATGGGTGACTTCTTTGATGATGCAACATCCGGCTCTAGCTCCCGCATTTCCGGTTGCCAGGCTTCCTTCATCCCCTCCTAGTCCTAGATCGTCTTCACCTGATTCAAAATCAGTTTGTGAATAAAAAATCAATATTTTTTACGCCATTAACAAATAATACTGTTTTATGTTAAAAAAAATTTTTTAATGTAAACATACCGTTTTCTCTTACAGTTCATTAAAAGTAGTATTAAACAATGATAATACCAGCAACGGGTTCCCCACAGAGAATTTGACTTCAGAGACGACATTATGGAATTTATTCAGACAATTTATTCTACATAAACTTGTTTTGCTCTTTGCTTAATCATTAAACGTACGATTGCAAATTTATATTTAAGGCAGATTGTTATATTTTAATAGTTTAATGTCGTCATTTTAGTCTCATCTATTATGGGTAACCCTGACTTATATCTATTATGAAAAACATGAAAAAGAAGTATATTCAAGTGACCCTCTATGCAAAGATGTCAATACCCGAATTACAATGGTTCCCTTGAAACCTTAATCTGATCAAAAATGTGGAAGAATATATTCACCGTTTTTCTGACTCGAAAAGTGTTAAAATTCTGCATTGCTTCTACTTTGCAGAGAAACCGCAAATGAAAATAAACAGTCTAAAGAAACAAAAACATGGATGTCTAATTCATACTTGATCAAAAAAGCTATCAAGGGTACAGTTGTAAATCGGGCATTCTCATTTTAGAATGGAGGGTCACTTGAAATGAAGTTTATAGTCCCTTTAAGATTGTTCATTGTTGAAGTTGCATCCCTATACCTTCGTGAATAACAAGAGCCTTGCCAATGATTGAATGCTCTTCGTCAGCGAATAGGCTGACCATGGAATCCTGAATTCTCAGCTCGACAGTTCCTGAATAGTAGAATTTATTCAAATAGTCTTCTCTATTATCTACTATTGTGCAACCATAGCTGAAAACTCTTGTATTGTGGATATCGAGATCAACGCATTTGCTAATCTGCTGATTAATTTAATCGTCGTTATTCTATATCCGCAGTATATTTGTAACCATGAAGGGGTTACTGAAATGAAGAGATTAAGCTTTGATCCTCAAATTATAATTGCCCACAGCGTAAATAGAGATCAAACAATTATGTTCCCAGCTCATGTGAAAATTTGCATTACTTTTCTTGACTTTAAAAATCTGTAATTGTCCTAAGCCATTGGTTTAGGGTTTACTAACTTAAAAGTCTTTTTATGCGAAATGTTTTGATCGCAAACATTTCTTTTCAACAAATTTGAAGAATAAGGAGTTGGAGTTATATCTATGTTTGAAAACATGCAAAATTTTAAACTTTACTTTTATGTGATGTGATGTTCAAACCTGTTTGATCAGCACAGATATGACAAATGATAATCTAGTTTAAACCTGTTAGATCAGCACAGATATGAAAAATAAAAATCTAGTTTAAACCTGTTTGATCAGTACAGATATGACAAATGAAAATCTAGTTTAAACCTGTTAGATAAGCACTGATATGACAAATGAAAATCTAATTTAAACCTGTAAGATCAGCACTGATATGACAAATGATAATCTAGTTTAAACCTGTTTGACCAGCACTGATATGACAAATGACAATCTAGTTTAAACCTGTTAGATCAGAACCGATATGACAAATGAAAATCTAGTTTAAACCTGTTTGATCAGCACTGATATGACAAATGAAAAATCTAGTTTAAACCTGTTTGATCAGCACTGATATGACAAATGAAAATCTAGTTTAAACCTGTTAGATAAGCACTGATATGACAAATGAAAATCTAGTTTTAACCTGTATGATAAGCACTGATATGACAAATGAAAATCTAGTTTAAACCTGTTTGATCAGCTCTGATATGACAAATGAAGGTCTAGTTTAAACCTGTTAGATCAGCACATATATGACAAATGAAAATCTAGTTTTAACCTGTTAGATAAGCACTGATATGACAAATGGAAATCTAGTTTAAACCTGTTAGATCAGCACTGATATGACAAATGAAAATCTAGTTTAAACCTGTTAGATCAGCACAGATATGATAAATGAAAATCGTTTAAACCTGTTAGATCAGCACTGATATGACAAATGAAAATCTAGTTTAAACCTGTAAGATCAGCACTGATATGACCAATGATAATCTAGTTTAGATCAGCACAGATATGATAAATGAAAATCGTTTAAACCTGTTAGATCAGCACTGATATGACAAATGAAAATCTAGTTTAAACCTGTAAGATCAGCACTGATATGACCAATGATAATCTAGTTTAAACCTGTAAGATCAGCACTGATATGACCAATGATAATCTAGTTTAAACCTGTTAGATCAGCACTGATATGACAAATGAAAATCTAGTTTAAACCTGTAAGATCAGCACTGATATGACCAATGATAATCTAGTTTAAACCTGTTTGATCAGCACTGATATGACAAATGAAAATCTAGTTTAAACCTGTTAGATCAGCACTGATATGACCAATGATAATCTAGTTTAAACCTGTAAGATCAGCACTGATATGACAAATGAAAATCTAGTTTTAACCTGTTAGATCAGCACTGATATGACAAATGATAATCTAGATTAAACCTGTTAGATCAGCACTGATATGACAAATAAAAATCTAGTTTAAACCTGTTAGATCAGCACCGATATGACAAATGAAAATCTAGTTTAAACCTGTTAGATCAGCACTGATATGACAAATGAAAATCTAGTTTAAACCTGTTTGATCAGCACTGATATGACAAATGAAAATCTAGTTTAAACCTGTTAGATCAGCACTGATATGACCAATGATAATCTAGTTTAAACCTGTAAGATCAGCACTGATATGACAAAATCTAGTTTAAACCTGTAAGATCAGCACTGATATGACCAATGATAATCTAGTTTTAACCTGTTAGATCAGCACTGATATGACAAATGATAATCTAGTTTAAACCTGTTAGATCAGCACTGATATGACAAATGAAAATCTAGTTTAAACCTGTTAGATCAGCACTGATATGACAAATGATAATCTAGATTAAACCTGTTAGATCAGCACTGATATGACAAATGAAAATCTAGTTTAAACCTGTTAGATCAGCATGAACATTTCCAAGATCACCAAGATGTCTCACTTCAGCATCAGGGGCTCCGTGGGTTTTCTGAAAATTAAATTCTGAGTTCATTTCCTTCCCCTCTCTCTTAGAGTCAGTATAAAATGCCTCTTCGTTCAAAACAAAATAAATTTTTTTTTATTATTATTCAAAACGATTTGTGCAAGAAAAGATTTGTAAAACAAAGATGTAACAAAACATTCATGTTAAGAAAATACTTACTTATATACATCATTCGAGACCGGGGGAATACAAAATAGTGAGACAGTGAGAATTAATTTGAATTCTATTTGAAATGTATTTGTCAAAACTTATCGACCACCTCAACCCTCAAATTTCAATAATAACAATATCAATGATTTTAAAAATCAAATTTAACTTTTTCAGAGGCTGAACAAGGTAAGGTAACTTTTCGGTTTGATTTTAAAATTCTTAACTAAGGATTAAAATGAGATTCTAAAATACAAAATGGCTGACCTGATCGGGATTAAAATGGCCGCCGGCGCCTGCGCAGTCATTGTCTAAAGATCCTTCAGCGTGAATATGAAATCCATGATTTTTCTTGGCCCCTACACCAAGTATAATCCCCTCAATTCTTCATAAAATAAAAATTTAATATAATAAGTGCAACTAGAAAGGGGAGGGGAGGGGTCACCATATTTTTTAGAAACATATGACAAAAAATAAAGATTATTTACATATCAAAAGGATTTTAAATTCTGAGCTTTGACATATGAAGATATATTTGATATCAAATCATTATCATTTCCTTACATGGGGTTATATTTAAGGCAGATTGTTATATTTTAATAGTTTAATGTCGTCATTTTAGTCTCATCTATTATGGGTAACCCTGACTTATATCTATTATGAAAAACATGAAAAAGAAGTATATTCAAGTGACCCTCTATGCAAAGATGTCAATACCCGAATTACAATGGTTCCCTTGAAACCTTAATCTGATCANGAAGCTAAACAATCAGAGAATACATTTCATCGAAACTAAACAATCGGAGAATACATTTTTATCAAAATTAAACAATCGGAGAATACATTTCATCGAAGTTAAACAATCGGAGAATACATGTCATCGAAGCTAAACAATCGGAGAATACATTTCATCGAAGCTTTAACAATCGAAGAATACATTTTAGGTGAGCTCTACAATTGCAGAATACATTTCATCGAAGCTAAACAATCGGAGAATACATTTCAACGAAACTAAACAATCGGAGAATACATTTCATTGGCGCTAAACAATCGGAGAATACATTTAATCGGAGCTAAACAATAAACAATCGAGAATACATTTAATAGAAGCTAAACAATCGGAGAATACATTTCATCGAAGTTAAACAATCAGAGAATACATTTTATCGGAGCTAAACAATCGGAGAATACATTTCATCGAAGCTCAACAATCGGAGAATACATTTCATTGAAGCTAAACAATCAGAGAATACATTTTATCGAAACTATAAACTATCAGAGAATACATTTCATCTGAGTTAATCACTTGGAATTTGGAAATATATATTTGATCGTAGTTAATCAATTAGAGAATAGTTTTGATCAAAGCTCAACAATTGGAAAATACTATTGTTTGGAGCTTGACAGTTGGAGAATACATTTGATCGGAGCTAAACAGTTGGAGAATTCATTTGATCGGGGCTAATCACTCTCTCTTTTCTTTCTGTCTATTTGAATGTCAGATTAAAACTAATGGTAAATATGTAAATACTGTTACAGTCCCTTTAAGAAAGTTATATTTACCTTTTCCTGCAGCACTGAACCCAACCAAGCATATTAGACCAATAATTCCTCTCATCTTTCTAATTTATTATAGTTCTTAAAATTATCATTTTCATTTTCATTGTTAGTATTACTATTTTCATTTTTATCATGAGCACTAGTAATATCTTCCATATCCTTCTAATTAATTAATTCTAATATTATCATGATTTTCACTTTTTTTTATCTTCTACAACATCATGTTAATATTCTTATCTGAACTCAGGGGTGAAACAAACCCTTTTATTTTAGCAGGCTGCCCAACTAGAAAATGTTTAAACCCGCAATTAAGCAAAGGAATTGAGTATTTGCCACAAACTCTGATTTTCCAATATCTACTTCTTTGCAACCAAATGTCGTAGACCTTAGAAATTTCAAACTATGAATTCTCTTGACTTAAATAATCTGAGTTTGAAATATCAAAGGTATACACCATCAGGTTGATAAGATATAGGGATTAGAAAATTTGAGGTTGTGGCAAAGACTCAATTCATTTAAACCCACGAATTAGTTCAAAAATAAAAATTTAATCACCAGAAACCTAAAAACAGCCAGATTTCAGACTGTTTTTTAACCTTTTACTTAATTTTTGAATTTCTATAATTGACACATTTTAATTCTAAATCAAAAGTACAATAATGAAAACTGCAAATAGAAAAATTATAATTTTTCCTTCTGGCACGGATATTGGGACTGATACAGAATGTGCAATGTGCATGTTATTACGAAGTAAAAAATTAAAAAGATTACAATTTCATTTAATGTATTTACCCTGATTTACTCATTATTGGAATAAAGTTCAAAATCCTCAGAAAATCTATAAATCAAGGGTTTCAAAATCCCCATATGTGCTACAGTTGGGGATGTAATCCAACCAAGGTTGGACAACCTAGAATTCAGTCCTCTCCCTTGCTAGTTGCACCGTGTTATTGGAGCACTTGAAGAACTTACTAAACATTTCCCAACAAAAGATTACCCCACAAACTGTTTCCCCACACTATATTTCTTGATACAAAAAGTTTCCTCCACAAAAAGTTTCCTGCTGCTAAACGTTTCCTCTACACAAGTTTCCTGTTACATAATGTTTCCTCCACAAAATGTCTCCTCTCCTGCACGGACTGCTACTAAACGTTTCCTCCACAAAATGTCTCCTCTCCTGCACGGGCTGCTACAAAGTGTGTTCTCCGCAAAATGTGTCCTGCTGCAAAATGTTTACTTTCATAAATGTTTCCAGCATTTTTTATTTGTTAAAAGAAAGGAATCTACAGAATTGATTTTATTTATGATATTAATACATAATTAAACATTTAAAAACTTTTTACTTTGAAATGGTTTGAGAAATTTTATTTTAACATAAATGGAAACGACAAATCCTCGTAAGTGATTAAAAAAACATGGAAAACGATGAGTTAATTAGTTCAAGTTATGTAAATATGTTTGATATTTATACCGTAACAATCCTCCATGATGATTAAACTGTAGAAACAATCATTTAGTGGAAACATTTTGAATACTTCAAATTTTGAAGCTGGAAACAGTTTTTAACTAAAACGTTTTGTTGAAGGTTAATTACATCAAGTTATAAGCAGGAAACGTTTTGTGGTGGATATGTAATATGAGGAAACATTTTGTGGTAAAAAACGTTTTGTCGTGGAAATGTTTTGTGGGGAGACATTCCGTGCAGGAAACCTTTTGAAAGTGCTCTCTGTTATTAGCGCTTAAAATAAAAATTTTTGTTTGATATTATTTGTCAAATTGAATATTCGTAGAGTTTTAAAAAACTTTTTGAAGGAACTAAATACTCGCCAAGAATCTAATTCTTAAACCTTTGCAACCTGATGCCTTTGATACTTAAAACCTTGACTACACAATAGTTATAATAATAATAATCGCTGTCCACCCCTAAACTGAAGTGATCAGAATTCATGGATTGAAATCTCAACGTGTTATAAGACATCAGATTGCTAATATATTTGTGCTATGTACAGGAAGCAAACATATTGCAGACTCGGATCCTGGGCACTAAATCTTAATTGTCATGATCTAATTAAATAATCTATTTACTTACTTGAAGTTTCAGAAGATAATAAAGATACTGAAGATACTGATATTTCTTATCTGCATAGAACTAGTAACCTTGGCATATTTTCTGCGTATTGAATTTATGTAAGTTGTTACATTATCAAATCCAATAAATCTAGAATGAAAGGTAGGTGTCAGTGCACAACAGATTACTCCTGTACGCACCGAAGGCTTTATGGTACATATGTATAACGTATATCCTTATTCATACAGAAGTTATCCAACACTTAATAAATACCAGGATAAGATATCTGCATACACAGAAATTTTATATTTAAAAAGCCCTCAGATTCTCTGGATACAAAATATGAATTAACCAACAACAAAATGTCACAATATGTCTCCGTTTTCCATTCAAGAAGGACTAACTGATCTGTTAGATCTGAGATATTAACATAAGTTGTAATCAAACACCTACAATTACCTTTTCTTTAACTGCTTGCTTTAATAGATAAAATATCAAAAAAAGGCTTTTTCTTTAAAATAATTTGTTGAAAAAAGATTATCATTTAGAAAAAAGGATACGTTTTTCATGCTTCTTATAAAGGATATATTTAGTGAGCCTAGATCCTGAAAATTATTAGAAATATTTTTTTAGGGATAGCACTCTTGGCGTTAGCGATTGAAGTTGATATCCACAGTTTAATACAAAAATCCATAAAGAGATAATTTAGAACTGATGAAAAGAAGTATTTATTGCGTAGGTTGATCTGTCAGCCATTTTTGTTTTTCATATCCTGACGAAATATAATCATAAAAACAACTTAATTCTGTTAATAAATTAACGTCTCTTTCTTTAACAGGCCTCAAAACTGTCAAAAAAATATAAAAATGTTTACAAAAATATAAAAAGTGTTTTTAAAATGTACAAAGTAGTAAAATGGATATCAAAATTATTTTTTTTTCACTAAAAAACATTTAAAAAATCTATCCTCTTGTGACATTATTTTTTCAGTTCTAAACACAAAGTTTCAGAACGGAAATGCTGTGAGTAATTTCAACGTACCTTAACTTAATATCTAATAATATCTATAAACATTAAGGTCACGTCATCTAATATTAAAAATCTAAATTTCAAAAGAACATGTCATCAAAAAAGTTTATTAGATTTGTACATTTTAACAAAAATTGTGTAAGAAATTCTTCGTAATTCGTAATACTTTTCTTATGGCTCTTAAGTTTTTTAAAAGTAAAAACCGGTTTATAGAACAACAACAACCGGTTCCTTATTTTCCTGGTACAAAGTACTGCAGAAACCGGTTTATAGAACAACATCAGGTTCCTCATGCTCCAGTACAATGTACTGCAGAAACCGGTTTATAGAACAACAACAACCGGTTCCTCATCTTCTGGTACAATGTCAAAATCCCAGCCAAACTTTTTCTTCACATTGGTTTCAAACTTCTCGCACTTTAACTGAATAATTTTTTTTTTTTTTTTGGTTTGGTATTTGTTTTCTCTTCTTTATGTAAATTTTGAGTGTTTGAGTGTTTTTGTTTATCCAATAATCCCGGGAAAGGTTTATGGCTGGTCGAAATTGAAAATTTTGCCTGGATAAAATGATTTTTGGGATATTGTGGGACAAATATATTACCTTTAGTTTTTGAGGGACACCCTGTGTAGATCGCATGTTAGAAAACAATGTGTTTAGGCAGGAACAGAGAAAATTATCACTGCAAATTAGGAAAAATTAAAGAAATAAATATTTGTAGACTATTAAATTTGGTTGTTAATAATTTTTAAGTATCTATCAGCAGTTGTTACAGTGTACAGTGTAATGTTAAGAGTGTACAGTGTACAGTGTACAGTGTACAGTGTACAGTGTACAGTGTGTAGTGTACAGTGTAGAGCGTAGAGCGTAGAGCGTAGAGTGTAGAGTGTACAGTGTACGTGTACAGAATAGAGCGTAGAGTGTAAAGTGTAGAGTGTAGAGTGTAGAGTGTAGAGTGTAGAGTGTAGAGTGTAGAGTGTAGAGTGTAGAGTGTAGAGTGTAGAGTGTAGAGTGTAGAGTGTAGAGTGTAGAGTGTAGAGTGTAGAGTGTAGAGTGTAGAGTGTACAGTGTCCTTTGAACAGTATAAATATTACTCTATAAATGTGTTATGTACAAGGTACAGTGTACCGTGTACACGGTACAGTGTACCGTGTACATAATCATAACAGTTACCTGCTAACAATATCTACAAAGAAATCCCTCGGAACCTCTTGCATTTGAAAATAAAGATCACTGAACAATACATCACATTACTTATCTTTTTCAAAAACCTGTAAATAATAAATGTTTTACAAATGAAGTCCATGAATATATATCTGTAAATAATGAATGTTTATCTAATGAAGTCCATGAATATATCTGTAAATAATGAATGCCTTCCTAATGAAGTCCATGAATATATGTGTAAATAATGAATGTTTTCCTAATGAAGTCCATGAATATATCTGTAAATAATGAATGTTTTCCTAATGAAGTCCATGAATAAATCTGGATGAACGCTAAGAGCTGAATCACAACTGCACATCATCACGACTAACTCCTTCCAGTGCTCAAAGCTATCATAGTTCATACCAACTTGAAAAGAAAATATATTAGCTCTTGAAAATATTACTATTTTGTCATTCCAAATCAAATTGTCGTATTCTTTCCCTTTAAGTTAAAATAGCCCCCTTTACAGCGGTCTTCAGATAACTCCCCAAAGTTTTCCAGATAACCCCTTTTATAAAGGTTTTAAGTGAACCCCTTTTATAAAGATTTCCAGATAACCCCTTTTATAAAGGTTTTAAGTGAACCCCTTTTATAAAGCTTTCCAGATAACCCCTTTTATAAAGATTTTCAGTAAACTCCTTTTATAATGGTTTCCAGATAACCCCTTTTATAAAGGTTTTCAGTGAACCCCCTTAATGAAGGTGCTCACTATTCACTGTTCACTGCTCAAATAACGCCATTTATAAAGGTTTTCAAATAAATCATAACAGCATTCCTCTAACCTCCATTTAACCCCTTTATAAAGGTGTCTGTTCAGATAAGCACCTTTATGAAGGTGTCTGTTCAGATAAGCACCTTTATAAAGGTGTCTGTTCAGATAAGTACCTTTATAAAGGTGTCTGTTCAGATAAGCACCTTTATAAAGGTGTCTGTTCAGATAAGCACCTTTATAAAGGCGTCTGTTCAGATAAGCACCTTTATAAAGGCGTCTGTTCAGATAAGCACCTTTATAAAGGCGTCTGTTCAGATAAGCACCTTTATAAAGGCGTCTGTTCAGATAAGCACCTTTATAAAGGCGTCTGTTCAGATAAGCACCATTATAAAGGTGACCTACCCAAGAAGCAAAGAAATGAGAATTGAAGCTCAGCCAGGATTTCTTGAGCATGACTTCTAGAAAAATAAAAAAATAAATTACAGCATTTGTTTTTTAGAAAAAATCATGGTAATTTTGCAAATGGAGCGGAAACGAGTAGAAAACTAACCTTAAATAATAATGAGCCTTAAACCATGAATTTTGGCCAATATTTTTGGTAAAAATAATTTCTGGGTCGAGAACTGCGATCAAAACTATCATTTTGTTTTCCACTTTAATTTCTTTAATAATGTGTTCACAATTTTAAAAATGAGAAATACTCAAAAAAGTATAAAGATTTAAAAATATGAAAACTTAAAATTTTGTTTGGTCAGCCTACCTGTCACTCATAGAGCTGGAGACCTGATCTCCGTACAGTTTATCAAGTTGACCGATAAATTTGGTCAGCTGGTAGCTTCCATCCATACTATGCCTGAACATGATTTTTTTCATATAATTATTACATTCATAAAATTAAATGACGGTTTGATTGAAATGCTTTGATTTTAGAACTTTGAAAAAACAAAGCATATTTTTTAGGAAACGTCAAAACTTCACAACTTTTTAAAAATAAAAAATTAACTCTTCTTATTTCAATTGATAGTTTATCAACTAATTTATTAATTAATCTCTTTTATCTTGTAATTATTAACGAATCCTTTGTGAATTGATTGCTAATTCTTAAAACAAATAAATAAATTAAGTAATTGATTTCTACTCCACATATGTTTGGAATTCTGCTTTCTAGTAATTGATTAAAGAACCCATCCTTCTTGTAATTAATTTAGGAATCCCTCCATTGCATCTAGCAGTTAATTAAGGAAGTAATTAAAGAATCCCTCCTTCTTGTAAATAATTCAGGAATCCCTATCAAGTAAGTAATTAAAGAATCCCTCCATCTATTAAGTTATTAAAGAATCCCTCCTTCTTGTAATTGATTAATTAATCCTTCCACCTAGTAATTAATTAAGGAATCCCTCCTTCTTGTGATTAATTAAGGAATCCCTCCTTCTTGTACTTAATTAAAGAACACCTCCTTCTTGTAATTAATGCAGGAATCCCTATCAAGTAAGTAATTAAAGAATCCCTCCATCTATTATGTTATTAAAGAATCCCTCCTTCTTGTAATTAATTAATGAATCCTTCCACCTAGTAATTAATTAAAGAATCCCTCCTTCTTGTGATTAATTAAGGAATCCCTCCTTCTTGTACTTAGTTAAAGAATCCCTCCAAATAGAAATTAATTCAGAAATCTCTTTATCTTGTAAGTATTGGAATAATCTTCCATCTAGTAAGTAATTAAAGAATCCTTCCATCTAGTAAGTAATTAAATAATCCCTCCTTCTTTTAATTAATTCAAGAATCTCTTTTTCTAGTAATTAATTAAAGAATCTTCCATCATGTTATTAATTCAGGAATCTTTTTATCTTTTAAATATGTAAAGAATATTCCATCTTGTAATTAATTAAAGATTCCTTCCTTCTTTTCATTAATTGAAGAATCCTTGTTGTACCTTGTAATTTCCTCGGCAGATGAACCCTCAGGATATTTCTGCTTCCATAAGTTTGTATACCTAACCTTTACAATCAATCAATCACATCATCAATCAATTAATCATTCATTTACCCAATTAATCAATCGATCAAAACAAATCAAATCAAATCAAATCAAATCAAATCAAATCATGAATTTAAGAAAAGCTTGAAGCTCCATTGAACAGCCTGGAGGTTCAATTCCCGATTGTGTAACTGGTTTTTCAGCCCGAATCTGATTTTAATTTTAACATTTGTTATAAATCATTCTACTGATCAATCAATCGATCAAACAACTAATTCTGGGAAGATACTAGTAATAATTTGTCATCCTGTATAGTGTATATCTTAAGAGATTTTAATATTTTGCTCTAACTTCCCTTTGTCTTTAAAATTGGCGTCTAAACATTGTATATTTGAACAAGTTAAAATATTTTTTCAAGTTAAAATAATGTACCTCAGTGCCAGGCCTAGCACTCATACAGGGCAGTCTTACGTCGTCGTTATTGGAACTAAAACAATTTATTTTCAATCATATTTTCTTTAAATCACCCCCCCCCCCTCTGGAAAATACTTTTTCAGAATATTGGAAAGTAGGTATTTTTATTTTGGCAAAACTAGAGATAATAATGATTTTGTGTGTAAAAAATATTAGTAAAAATTAAGTGGGGTGGGGGGAGGATACTATTATGAATCGGAAATGCCACTCTTTAAATGGAGGGTCACTCAAAATTAAGCCTGCAGCCGGATAAAAATACAAATGTGTATCTACATATTAGTTGTTTGTTTGAATGTCCATTGTCCTATCATAACCCATTAACCCCTTTACCGATTTGCCTCAAATTGGGGAACTCGGGAGAACAACGGGAATGTCCACTTTAAAAAAAAAAACCAGCTAGAATCATAATTTACTACCAAGCGAGGGTAAACTATGAATACCATGGGGAAAGCTGGGTTCTCAAGCTAGTTGTTTATACTGTATATTACGAGGGAGGGGGTGCAGAGGTGCCATGGTCCCCGCAAAAATGACCTCCGAGCCTCAGGATTTGCAGAATTACCTCCAGGCCCCGCAAAACTGGTCTCCCAGCCTCTGTGACGTCACAAAGCCTCCCGCCATTCTGTCTCCACGCCCCGCATTTTGGTCTCCGCTTGTTGTTTTTATTTTTTGTTTAAATTTGTTGGTTTAACCAAACAAATATCAAAATATATCTCTTCATAGTAGACTCCGGCATAGTTTAAAGAACCGTTTAATCAACAATTTTGACATGTTCGTTCATTCAATTGATCTGGAGTTATTTTTCTGTAAAGTTTACATTAAGATGGAATGAGTAAAAGACGACCTTTATAAACGACTTATCTAATATTTTTGAAGGCATCATGATTTGAAGATTTAATTAACTCTCGATTCCTTAGCATTACATTTTATCATAAAAATGCAAATTAATGAGGATCTGTCCTGTAATATACGAGTTTTTGCGCACCCCCTCCCCCCACATCTGTATATCAATTTTTATTTATATGACTAATTCCTCGAATTATTAATATAAAAATTTAACTTATTAAAACAACAAGATATGACACAAAGCTGCCCTAACCTGTTAGTATAGCATGTAATAGATATTTAGATTATTTTAATTCTTTGTTTCAATTTTTAAAAAAATAGTTCTTCAATATTTTCTAAAGCATACGATAAAATCACAAATACAAGGATTTCACAAAAACTACCTTTTTTTTTGTAAATTGTCGCTGATATTGTTTGATTCATACATGAGACCCCTCTAAAATAATATAAAATTTTTCTATCTTTCTTCACAATTTAAGGAATTTGTGAAATTTAGAAAAACAAAATCCAAGCCTTTAATCTCAATTAAAACTCACTTTTTAATACAAAATGTTAATGTATTTTTTAAAAAAAGGTTCTTGGTGGAGATAAAAGCCAATTATTTTTTTATTGGAGCCAAAATGCGGGGCGTGGAGACAGAATGACGGAAGGCTTGGGAGGCTGGGAGACCAGTTTTGGGGGGCCTGGAGGTAATTCTGCAAATCCGGAGGCTCGGAGGTCATTTTTGCGGGGATCATGGCGCCTCTGCACCCCCTCCCTCATATTACTACCTGGTCATATCTGTTCTGTCTCGTGAATCTGGAATCATATCAGTCACTGAACTTATTTTTCTAAAATTAAATTACTTCTGTGATTCTGGTAAAACTCAATTTAAGTAAAAAATAAAATAAAAAAATATCAAGACAATTCTCGTTTAGATTTAACCTGTTAATGGGCTCTAGCCGTTGAAGAGTTGCATCACTTATTCTACAAAAAAAGTTGTTTTTTATGTATTAATATATTTTCGTTAAAATCAATGGATTGTAAGAAGTATTTTATTTTGATTTTGAAAGGATGTAAAGGGGGGTGGGNGGGGTTTGAAAAAAGGTCCTCTTGTAGATCATCATGAGATTCCTGAGAAGTGAATCTAAAGTATATATTAACTCCATTTGTTGGCGATATTTTGAACTGAGTGAACTAAAGAATGTAAATTGTAAATAGTGGTTAGAAGGTACTAGAAGGTACCTGTTAGATAAAGAAATCCATTTCTTCCATGAACTGTATGGATAGCTTCCCAGATTACGGTCTTAATAATTTGTTTTTGTTTTTTTTTACAGCAAAATTCAGATGTGGATTTAGTAGTTCTTTGAAAATGTGCTCAGAGCTGAAAACTTCAGAATGAGATATCCTTAATCCCGATCAGTTAATTAATCTGGAGATTAATTACAAGAGGAGAACAAGCATTAATTAATCTCGAGATAAAGAAAAGAGTGGATTAAGCATTAATCCCAATATCCACAATTCAAAGGTTCCCAGCTCTGAAGTCAGAACTTTTATGTTGTGAATCTCGGGATTAAGGATTGATCTCCATCTTATGCAAGATATACTTCTCTAATTCCTTCTCGATATTCCGCGTTGGTTAAAGGAATAACCCTAATGAAGAGATCAAGCTTTGATCATTAAAATTTAAAAATGCCTACATTCGATATCAATATCAAGTGTTCAAGATTTAAGACATAAGATGCTGCACACAAAAGTTCCGATCAATAGACATTTTTGCGAAGCCAGAATCAGAAATAAAAAACCTTGTAATCTTCACCAATATCCAATTTTTTCTTTAGATTTTGAAAAAATAAAATAAAAAACAAATTTAAATCAATAAATAACATGAGAATTTTGTTTGAAAAGATTCTAAATATGTATTTTCTGTCTATAAACAGAATACAGCAGTGTGATCAGCTAACGAGAGACTAAATTCACTACACTATTAAAGAATTTTGTAAAGATTAAAAAATAAATGAAAAACAAACATGTTCAATCTATTTACCCAAGTTTAGTAAATCAGCTTTCATTCGTTCCCGGTCTTCCTCAGTAACAGTGTCAACTTAACAGAGTTTATTTATGCAATATAATAATCATAATGCAATCTATCTAAATTATAATGTATTGCATATAAAAATAAGTAATAAATACAGGGTCTAGGAAATGCATTAAAGCAATGTAATAATCATAATGCAATCTATCTAAATTATAATGTATTGCATATCAAAATAAGTAATAAAAACAGGGTCTAGGAAATGCATTAAAGCAATGTAATAATCATAATGCAATCTATTTAAATTTTAATGTATTGCATATCAAAATAATTAATAAAAACAAGGTCTAGGAAATGCATTAAAGCAATATAATAATCATAATAAAATCTATTTAAATTATAATGTATTGCATATCAAAATAATTAATAAAAAAGGATCTAGGAAATGCATTAAAGCAATATAATAATCATAATGCAATCTATTTAAATTAGAATGTATTGAATATCAAAATAATCAATAAAAACAGGGTCTGGGAAACACATTAAAGCAATATATTAATCATAATGCAATCTATTTAAATCATAGTGTATTGCATATTAAAATAATTAATAAAACAAGGATCTAGGAAATGCATTAAAGCAATATAATAATCATAATGCAATCTATTTAAATTATAATGTATTGCATATCAAAATAATTAATAAAAACAGGGTCTAAGAAACGCATTAAAGCAATATAATAATCATAATGCAATCTATTTAAATTATAATGTATTGCATATCAAAATAATTAATAAAAACAGGATCTAGGAAATGCATTAAAGCAATATAATAATCCTGATGAAAAACATCTTTTTATTAAGAATTGCATATGTAAAAATAATAGAAACTAAGGAACATCAACAACAATAATAACAATAACAAAACAATCAAAATAATAATAAGAATAACAGTAATAATGTTAATCAAAATAACCTATATCCTCCTCTTGTCTACTCCATCTTCTAGCGACCAACTCCCCGCGTCCAAAGTTATAAAAGAATCCAGTTCTAGGGGCTGTTGTTCGATCTACATAGATATAGAGATCTCTGCATTTAGACATTTTAAATAGAAACCACAGTTGAAATCTAGTTTACAGTTTACACATAGAAACACAAGAATATCTATTTAGTATTTGCTCAAATAAAGGTTTCACGTGCACTGTTATTTCTGAAATCTAATTAGAACCCAATCTTGAGATTCTCAATTCAATAAATGAGAAGTGTACTATTTACCTTTAATATTAACTGAGCTGTAGTAAACAAAATGGAGCCCAGGAGGAATCATTTTAACGCCTAAACATTTTTTCTTTTAAAGTATATTTTTTTGCTAAATCTATTATAAATTATACCTCTGAATTTATCTCCAATATTCCAGCTGTTCATGTCTATACCAATTTCTGTTCCAGGAGGCACATCTTTAATAAAATTTTAAAAATATTTCTTATAAATAAAAAATTTGTTGAATCTTAAAAATTACATATTAAAATTTAAAGCGACTGCCGTTGTAAATTTAAGTGAACTGTCGTTTAAAGGAAGTGTTTGCAAAAATTGAAAGGGGGTATAGGCTTACGTCGAAAAATAAGCGCTTTTGATCGTTACTTATCTTACTCCTATCTGTTTTAAAAAAACGACTTAGGCTGAAGAACGTAGCGTACATACAAATTCAGATATTTGCAACATTCAACTCGGATCGTAAAATCACCAATTTAGTTCCAAACGAATCATTTAGATATTACAATTACATTGAATATTTGTCGACGCATTTATATGTAGTTAATATTTCATAATATTTTTGATTTAGAAAAAAATAATATTTTGCTGGTGCTGGATTTTCAAACATTCCCGGAAAATATCATATTCATGATAAAAATACTCAAAACTGGAATAAATATTTTCATAAGGTTTCAAAAGTAACTATCAGATCATAAAAAATATAAAATATTTTGAAATATCAACTTTATATGAATGCGTCGAAAAATTATCAATGATTATTGTTTGTAATATCTGAATGATTTGTTTGGAATTAAATTGATTTGTTTATGATCCGAGTTGAATGTTGCAACCTTCTGAATTTGTATGAACGCTACGTTCTTTGGTATAACAATTTTCTACCTATAGACGCAACAGATAGGAGTAAGATTAGTAACGATCAAAAGCGCTTATTTTTGGCCGTCAGCCTATACCCCCTTTCATTTTTCGCGAACACTCCCTTTAAGGAGGAAGGGCAATCCCGATAAACAACGGTACCATTTAAACCTTTATTAGATCAAAGCTCTAGAAGATATCGACGTTTTCCTAGCTTGATAATTTAGCAGAAATGTACAGATCACTATAAAGAAACAAATATTAGCAACAATTAATTATCAAAGAAAGGATTATAGAAATCTCATATTTTCTTGAAGTACACAGCTACCATTGTGATTTGAGCATGCCACTCTTGAAATAAAGGTTCACTTGAAATGATGTCTACAGAGGTCGAATTTAAAGAATTTGAGCCGCGTCTTAAATGTGGTTGGTTCCGCTTATAATTGTATACATTTTCACGATTTAAGCCGGCGCTCAATTGAAACCGCATTTTGGGGGATTTGATACGCGGCTTAAATTCATTAAATTATGACTCAGACCAGTTAATAAACATTTCAATTCCTAGCTCACATGTTAGCATCAATAAAATGTTGCAGCATGGTAAATTTGCAGTTATTTTTTTGGATTTATCGCAAGCTTTAAAAGATTCTTTTGAATTAAAGTTAAAATAAAATCTTAATTTAAACAGTAACACGAATAATCACGAATAATCACAAAGGCAGAACAAGAAACATATTTATAAATTTAAAAGAACCAGAAATTGTTGCTGTTCTGAGCAGATCGCTCGTTACAAATCAAAGGCGCGCCGGCACCAATTTCATTGACTAACAGGTTGTCCATTAATTATAATTATAATTATAATAATAATAATAATAATAATAACATAGATAATATTTTAATAAAATGTACTGTCTGCACTTCAGAAGAAATTCCTAAATTGTTTAAAATGTCACTTGTTCTTAAAAGTCTAAATACTACCCAGCAGTATAAGTGTAGCCCCCTCCAAGAGTAATCTTTTTGCTACTTCAGGGTCCATCTCACCATCATCACGAGGAGATTCTACACCTGATCAATCAATCAATCAATCCGACCGACTGACCGACCGACCGACCAACCAACCAACCAACCAACCAACCAACCAACCAACCAACCAACCAACCAACCAACCAACCAACCAACCAACCAACCAACCAACCAACCAACCAACCAATCGATCTACCAAACCGAGCAACGGTCAACAAATCAATTATTAGACACATCAACCTACTCAACACCAAGCCAACCATCAAATCAAATAATCAACAAACAGAGTTTAAAAAATCTTGATAAAAATGATGATTAACAAACATCACAATATGTTTAACCTGTAAACTGAACGCTTTTCATCTTTTTTACGGGTGGTTCACACATCTTGAATCTGAAATGAATAATTATAAAAAATATTTTAATACACCAGTTTAACTTCAACCGCCATGCAGGGTCGAGATAAAGACGACATTATCCCCATTCTCTAATTCGTATTCTAGGAAAGTTAGATTTAAATCTTGTTTTAATTAATCAAATGCAATTCTTTTTGAATTAAAATGAGAATAATTAAAATGAAAGAATGAAATGTTTCAGTTTTTTCAGATAATTTTTCTCATTAAATAATAAATATCCTTCCTAATTGTCCAAGAAGTTCCCAATCTGCGTCATTCACTGAAAAATAATCATCTTAAAGGGACTGTTCAGGAAAAATTAAGGGGGGTATAGGCTGAAACCTTTAAGAGTTGATCATGACCTATAAGAGTTCTCTGATGTTCCTGTCTCGAGAAATGGATATAAAACTGTGTAAACGTTTAATCAAAAATTATATATATGAGATTTGGTATGAGAATCTAATTCATATTTAATACAAATGAATTAATAATATATTCAAATTATGTTAGGAGCAAACCTAAGTTATTCAGGATCCTCTGGGTTATCGTAATTTCGAATTGGTTGCGTATTTGCTGAATATGAAATGTTTAAAACTTTGATTCTTATACAAAATCACATATATATAAGTTTTAGTAACATTTTGTCACAGTCTTATATCAATTTCTTCGATAAAAGAACATCAGACTCTTAAAGGTTTCGATCAACTCCTAAAGTGCTTAAGTTTAAGCCTATACCCCTTTCATTTTTCCTTAATAGTCCATTTAAAAATATTGGTTTTGTTTATCATTATTTTTATTATTTCTTTTTTTCATTGGGAAAAAAGNACAAGTATACCAGGATGGGAAACCTACCTAATATAAAAAGTAGGTATGTATATTCGAATTACCTACCCAAGACAAGTATTCCAGGTCGAACTGAATTATCTTTAAGAAAAAGTTCTGGTCGCTCTTTTAGAAGATTGTCTCGAATCCAGTATAATAATTCCTGAAAATGATTGACTATGGACAGGTTTGACCATATAATAAAAGACTGTAATATAAAATAAAGATCCCAAGGTTATATTAAGTCTTCTGCCTTAAATATAGTCTATAGTATTTATTTAATAGTTGAGCAAAGAAAGAAACAAGTTTCTGTTGCAGAGAATCATTGATATAAGGAAACTAACAGTATAATTTACGTACGGTCGTCTCTAAAGTCTCATCCTTTCTGGGTGGGTTACCCAGAAAGAATGGCATTTCAATTAAATTGAATCATAAACATGACAAAGATCCTGATAATCAAAATCATAGTTTTTTTTTGCTTTTTTGCTGTAGAAAATCCACAATCATAAATTCAATAACTTATCTTTAACCTTTACATAGCAATTATAAAGGATGGTATGGCTAATTGATTATAATTTGAAGAGAGAACGATAGATAACGATAGTTGTCATTGTTAATAAAAATTAAAAACAACATTTTACATTCTAACGATCATTCTAAAGTGTTATAACTTCGTTTAAGAATCTTTCAATCAAATCAAATCACAGATCAGAGATGTTCCAGCTTCCAAGTTTCAATCCACCTGGACCTTTTATTTTGAAATAATAGATCCTAGCAGAAGTATAAATTTAAATGAAGGTTAAGACTGGGTGCTTTGTTTAACTTGACTTTGAATAAACTAAATGAAGATTTGATGAGATGTTTTAAAAATAGGAAAGAAGTCCAGACTGAAAAACCAGGACACGGAAAGGACTTGAACCTCCAATCCACTACTGCAGTCCAATGTCATCCCCGCCCTTTGTGATTTGATTTGGATATTTCAGGATTAAAAGAAACCAAAACAATTAAGTTCGTTTTTCTAAAACCTGAAACTACAAAAGCTACAAGATTTGAATGTAAGATGACCTGAATAGTAAATTTCCCTTCGTCCGACTCTATTGTAACATCATGCTTCTTCTGTTTATCTACCAGCAGTTCAGCTCCTCCGCTAAACTCAAGGGTTAGAGTTAAATGCATTTTTATCTGAAACAATAGAACTTATAGTTTGTGGATTCTGGAAGATACCAACAATCCATAATAAAATAAAAATGGAGACCACTTTTCTGTAAATATATTTCGACATTTCTACGATGTTTTTAAACGATTGGGGAGTCACTGGTCCACAACATCTTTCGGGGAAAAGGACGGGTAAAAATGTCCCTCGGGCCCCTCACATATTTTGAAAGCTCTGATAAAAATAGGGTTTAAACCCATAATCCAAGGACCAGGTTCGATGCCATACAAAATTTAAATTTTATTGGAAAAAGGCAAGAAAGTTTATTGTAAAAATAATACATTCCGAAAAATGCGTTGGCGCGAATTTCTTCTGGAAAGTTATTGAGGCTTAAATCTTCCAACCCGTGTACATCCTTGAAGTCATCTCTGGATTGTTTGGCTAACTGACACATCTTCTGACCCCAATGTAACCCATTTGCTTTTTTATCAGAAATTTAACAATTTCCTTTAACAGGCTTTATTTCCACAAATTTCAGTCATCTCGTGTTTAATTACCTAGAATGGCAAGACAGTTTTAACAATGTGCTTTTGTTTTATGCTTCACAAGAGAATCTTGTCTTGTTGCTAAATAATCACACTGATCACATTGGAAACACTGGGATTTGTGTTCAGTTTTCATGTGTTCTTTCACCTGTTTCCCTATAACAAACTGAAGACCACATATAGAACATGAAGAGCCTGTCAAACTGTGCTTGTTGACCTTGTGCGTACGAAGATTATTCAAACTCCTAAAAGATCACAGATATCAAAAATTATTATTTTAATTTTTTTTTGGAGGAGGGGGGGGGGGTAGCTAATTACAGGAAAACAAGAATAAAAAATAAATCAAAAGGGGTTTTCATTAAAATCCGGGAAGAGAAATCTGATTGTAAGAATAAATAATGGGTTAACAATTGAGAAACTGTGAAGACAAAGGAACTGGACAATTTAAACTATGAATTGTGCTAGTTTTAAGTATTAAAGGTTTACACCATCAGGTTGCAAGATAAAGGGGTTGGAATATAAGAGTTTGAGGCAAGTATTTAGCTCCTGTGTCAACTTTTAAAAGCTGATTTTCGCAAGAAATAAATCCAGGCATTACTAAATTAATTTTTATTTTTACTTTGTTGCAATATAGAAAAATAATTAAAACATTCAAACAGCTCATTTTACATGAAATTGCTAAAATTAGTTTATTGTACTACCGGCGTTCTCATTGAAAATAGTTTTCTAAAAAAGCATCATAGAATATCCAATTCTTTTATATCTTATAATTAGTATCAAATTTTGGGACCACTCCATAACAAGAAAATAAAAACAGATTAACAATGTGTTCAGTGTAAAACTAAAATTATTGTTGTTAGAAACACTAACCTAAATGTGCTGACACAAGTATCACAACTGTAGCGTATACCCTGATGTTCACTCTGTTTGTGATTCTTTAAAAACCGTTCTTCAGTCGCCTGATAGTCACAAAGACCACAAGGATACATTACTCCTTGGTGCTTCTTCTTAATGTGTCTTTTTAAAATATTGTTTTGAGTGCAGAAAAATTCACATTCATCACATTGAAACCGAACTCCTTGATGTTTAATCTAAATGATCACACTAATATTTATTACAGTATATTCTACTTAACTTCAAAAATCAAAGGTAACAAACAAAGTAAATACAATAAAAAGTCCAGTATTACCTTAATGTGTGCATTCAGATTACTTTGATTTGTTGCAGAATAGTCACACTCCATACAGTTAAATCTTTGACCGTTGTGATGAGTCTTCATAATAACACAAGTTAGTAATATAAAAAATTATCACAAGTTTTGAATATACGGTGGTCCATACAATAATATGGAATTAACCGGTAAACTTTTACAGTACATATACACACTTAAAAATATGAATTGAGCTGACTACACTGTAGAAAACGTATACCATAAAAAATAAGATAAATGTGTACAGAGCTAAGTGCACTTTACAATATACAGTGTACAGTACTTAAATGTGTACCTGGTTATGGTACTGCAGCTGGGAACGAGATTTACCGGAAAATCCACAGAGATCACATAGGATCGATCGACGATCATGTTCCCTTAATCTAAACAATTTATCAAAGGGATTGTTAATAATTTCTGATCTAATCAAACTGATTACATGTTATTTTCAATGAAATAAGAAATTCATTCTCTGCAAAGGGATTTTCACCTATTTAACAATACGCCAGTGAATTCGCGCTATATTCAATACTTTCCGATTTTGAACATAATTGGTGGTGTTATGAGTATTCTGATAAAAGTTAACAGTTTTCTTAATGTGTTTTGTTTGGACAACATTTTTTATTCCATCTATTTATAAATTTAGCTTGTATGTATGTCTGGGTGTTTGTCTGTTTGTTTGTATCCAATAAACGTCAAAACGGCTGAACCAATCGGACCCAAATTTTGTGTGGGACCTCATGTGACCCCAGGGAAGGTTTATGAATGATCAAAATTTTAAAAATTTGTGTCGAAAGTTTTTTATTTTTGTAAAACTTTGAAAATGCGCGAAAAAATATTAAGAAATCCGCAAACTTATTGTATTGTTTTTTCTTTATACTTTACAAAGAGAAGATGCTCACAGATAAAGCCAAAACTAAAAGTTGAAATAGAAGATGGGCGTGAAATAGAAGATGGACTAAAAGCCTAGTAATAAATATTTACCTGTGTAGTTTTAGTATCTCTTCTGTTTCTACCGAGAATTCACAAACTTCACAAGAAAATTTTCCCAAGGGATCAAATTGAGCTGCAAAGCATTTTTTATTATTTTAAAATTAATTTTCTAAATCTTCATTATTTATAAAACTTGCCTTTAATATCCTGATGTTTATCCAGAATATGAAGGTCCAGGGTTTTCTCAGATTTAAAACTAACTCCACAATACTCACAAGAAAACCTAGTCATAGATAGATAGATATTTTTGATAGATGGATAAATATATATGGATAGATAGATAATTATGATTGATGAATAAATATATATGGATAGATAGATAATCAGAAATATAAAAAATTGTAGATAATGAATAGATAGATAGACGACTTAATGACATTTAGTTTGATAAATGGATAGATATATAGATAGAATTATAACATTTATAATTTAGACGAATAGAGATCAGACCACCCTATAAAGTTTATAGGTTAGATGGAACAATTTAAACACAGAGGCTGGGAAATCAGTAAGTATCCTATATTTTTAAAAATCACTTCCCCCCCCCCATTTGATCTTACAGAAATGGACATGTGTCCCGTTGCCCCTGATTCAGGTTTTAAATGTAAGTTAAAAGTTTACCTTTGTCCTTGGTGTTTGATCCTAACATGATTATTAAGGTTTGGTTTACTTTTAGCACTGTAATCACAATCCTGAAGTACAAATTATGTTGATTGAATATTTATATTATTATTATTATTATTATTATTATTATTACTATTATTATCATTATTATTATTATTAATCATATTATTCTATTATTATTTTGGGAAGCGATAACCTTCGAAGAAAGCTTTCTGGTATTTATCGTTTAGTAAATAAAATTTTACTAGAGAGCTACAAACCTACTGAAACTAACTTTTCATTAACTATTGAGACCGCTATTTTTTAATTCTTAGCGCTGAATTTTAAAGAGGTTGTCAACAGTAATTTAAGCTCACTTTGAATTTTTTACTCTCATGATTTGCTTTCCTAAAATGGGATAAATTTCAGCACATTTCTATCTGGGTTAAAGAGAACTAAACTGACCTGGCATCTAAATCTAAATCCTTTATGTTCAAGAAGTTTATGCTGCTTCACCTTCATTAAAAAAACATGTTAAAAATACACTAAAGGGAAATACTATAGAGCCTCTTGATATTATAGTTTAACATGTTTAGAAATTACTTATTAAATATTTTTCCGAGTAAGTATGACATAGATATCCTTACTTTAATAGCTGAAAAATAAGTACAGTGGTTACAGTGTACAGTAGGTGTACACTGTACACTAGTGTACACTTGCGGTTTCCAGACACTAAAAACTATTGTAAATGAGACAAACCTCTGAAAAAAGGGACACTAAAAGTTACGTCTACAATCCCTTTAAATAAAAATATTATCACCTTGTGGTTCGTAGATCCAGAGTAGGAACATTCATCACAGTTATACCTTACACCTTCATGCTTAGTTCTCATGTGTCTTTTTAGATTCCCTTTCTCCGTTGTAGTATATTCACATTGATCACATGGGTGCTTGTAATCTTGGTGCAGTGATTTAATGTGCTCCTTCAGTTTGATCTTTAGCTTAAACGATTTATCACAGATATCACAGGGAAAGTTTAAAATGCATGAACTAAAAATAGATTTTTTATAATTTTTATTTTATAGATTTTTTTTAACGAACCTTGATAAGGCAGCTTGTCTTCTGAGGAGAGTGTTACCAAAACCTGTTCTCCTTCCTTAAATTCAAGTGATTCTTGATTTTTAGAGTGGCATGTCCGATTTACAGTGTACCGTTTAAACCTTTGTCTAATCAATGATCACCGAGTTATCCTTATATTTTCATATGAAAGAACCCATAACAAGTAAGACATTTTGTAATATCTCTATAAATATTAATAGCAGCCGGTTGTATTTTTGAATGTAGACTCATATAATTGCCTAGGAGCAAGAAATGAAGTCCGATTGTCAAAATCTCTTTCCGGAGACTTGGAACCTCTGAAAAGTGACCTCCGTCGGCTCCGATTTTTTATGCTGGGAAATTAAGATATCTACGTAATCTATTAAATTAACAACCAAATATTTAAAGGGTTCTCTTGTGCGTCAGACTTGTCACTCTACAAATGGAGGTTCAAATGAAACTACGTATTTAGTTTCTTTCATAAATAAAAAAATATATTTTCTTATGTAAAAAATGTTCTAACCTTAATATTTGCTGAGCAGAAAATACAGGGCTGTTCAGGGACAAAACCCTCCAGTTCTGCAAAAACATGTCACAAAAAAAAGATTAAGTGCTTTTTAATTTTTAGTTACCTTCTGAACTTGATATAACTGGAAATATTTTGAAAGTTTCCTCTTTAAACAAACATCTAACAGATAGGGAGACCTGAACCAAGGAATAATTAGGAGACGGATTTAAAGTAAAAAACTAACCATGGAGTGAATATTTTCTTCAAAACTTATTTACACACCCCTTTTGAAATCCCCCCCCCTCCCCCCACAAGAAGTTAGGTTTGTTCAAATAGATTCTGTTAAAATAGATGACAACGTAGAATATGTACAATTGTACACTCTCAGTACAGCTGTATTTTGACGTCAAAAGTGTCAGTTTAGTTTTTGTGTCCGAAAAAATCATTATTAATATAGTGATAACTTTAGAATATAGTGCTCATCTTACAGTAAAATAAGTGCAATTAAATGTGTTCTTTATTTTCTGTTTTTACACTTTACACTAAAAATCGTTATTAAACATTTCAATGTGAGAAAATTTTGTTTTCCTTGCTATATTTGACACTTGTGACGTGGTGTAAAATTGGTTCATCTCTGTTGCCACCTATTGTACTTGATAATCTATTTGAGTTTGTTTGAGCGGAGCGCCAACATTACACAAATAAAATAAAAACTTACATCATATATTGAAGTTAGGAAAGCTATCTTATCTTTAGAATTAATCTTTTCTTCATATCTAAAAAAATAACAACAAATTAGAAAAAAAGTTTTCAGTCTTCTAGAACATCATTAGTTACCTAAAATAGGTTTTAATAATTTTGTTTATATTTCTCCAAGCATGAAACTGTAGGTGTGCTGGGAGATTGCAAACATCAGGGTACACTTGTAGAATCTTCTTTAACAATTCACTAAACATTAAAACTGCAACAGTTTTCAGATACAAAATTAGGTCTACAATATTACAACTAAAGGACCGGCGGCAGTTACCCACAAAGAAAAAAATTTGACACTGAACTGATTTTAGGCTTATGTATCCGATAAAACTCACATTAAGCCCCCCCCCCCCCTGAATTTTTATTTAAGTTTGGATTCTGAAACCGGTTTCGAATTGGCATCACCGTCCAGAAATCAGATTTAATGAATAGCAAAAAAGTTGAACAATGTATAGGTGGTAGAACAATTTCTCCTGTGCGGCGCCGCAGTTTAACTTAATTAGAAGTGGTTTAGCTTAGTATACAAAGTTTTACTACTTCTTGCTATTTTCTAACTAATTAACTAATTGCTGACCGTATATCTGTTTGAGTATCTGAATAGGTTTGACAATTTTTCAAATTAGAATCACAAGCTTCTATCAGATCCTGCGTAAAGCCAGTAAGAAATTAAAAAATTTAAATTTCGATCCAGGACGGAATAATTGTACCAAATTCCAAAACTAACGATTAAACTAATTATAAAAATGCGGAGAAAAGGAAGACGACTGTTAGACTCAATATATGATTTTAAATAGTCTTTGATAATAATAATAAACATGAAGCACAACAATTTACACAGTTTACACAGACCCATTTCAAATAAGATTTTTTCATGCTTTATAATATCAAATACACAATACTTAAATGACGTTTTCCAATTCCGCAGTTGTCTTTTAGTTATAAATATATTGTTCTAGAAATTTAAATTAAAAAATGAATGGAATATTTTTTCTTAAATACATGTATTCAGGATTTTCCGTGTTTATTGTAAATAATCAAATTTAAACTTGTTGTCATTAGCTTTGATAACATTTTCACGCGAAATTATTATTCATATTTTTATTTGTGTTACAAGCATATACTTTTATTTTGATTAATTATTGACCCTTCCTTGTCCTGTTCTGAATATACAGAATAATATTTAAGAATACTTCTGACATCGGATGCCATCTTGATCTGAAAATATAATTTACAAATTTTCAAAGCAAAAAAAATATATATAAATATTTTACATCTTTAGGCGCTCAAAACCTCTTCCGAGACCTCTTACATCACAGTCCTGGCCTCGCCCTGCGACAGAAAACCCCCGACCACGACCCATCGGGTTTCTAAACTCTATATCGTGAATATTTGATAAAAATTGCGGCATTCCACGTCCACGCGCAAAAGGTGACGTCAGAGTTAAAGATGGCGGACTAGAATTTAGAACAGAACTTTGAATGGTTGATCCTTGAGATAAACTCGTATTTGTTTCGTAAATCTGAAACAAAGAATAATGTTGAATGTTTATAAAGTTTTAACGAAAAAAAATAAATTGATTTGGAAATTTGATTGTTACCCCTTTTTTATTATCTTGGATCTGCAGGGATAACTGCTGCTCCAGCAGTTTCCTGTCAGATGTAAACACATGCTCTGACCTAACAAATACTAGGTTTAGTAACATAATTTAATAGTTGGGTTTTTACGTTGTAAAATTGAAAAATACCTACCAAATCTAATCTTCAACCTCTATGGATTTTAAGAATCAAATCCATTTTTTAATGACTAACGAATGCATGTTATATCAAGGTGTTATTTTACTAAAAAGAAATTAAATTGAGCAAAAAATAAATCTTTTTTAACTTGTTAAAACAATAAAAGGAAAAAAAAACTTACTTTCCTCGGATAGGTCCGTTCCACTCTCCAGTTTGGTTTAACATGACCCCTGCCGGGATACCACGTGACTTGACTACGCCCCAGTCATTAGTAGGATCTGTATCCACGTATCTAGTGGATTTATAATTTGCAAAGATTGATGGGGGGGGGGGGGGGGCGGGTTAAAATAAATTTAACATCTTTTTTAATTACCAATCATTTTTAATGGATGGACTCTACCATGATTAAGAATAGCAATCATAATTTATATCCGAGAGAATATATATTAAAAGAGCATTTACAAAGGTATTGCTTGCTAGCTTGGGAACCCAGCTTTGCCTGTCGTTTTTAAAATAGAAGTCAAGTAACTCAACTGATAAGTTTAACTCCATACTAAGAAGGTTCTAAGAAGTTCTCATTCAAAATTTGAGGCAAATTGGTCAATGGGGTCCAGTTATGATCGGACATCCAGACAAACAATCAAAGATTACCACTTCAAATACAATTAATAATGATGATAACAACGATCTGAGAGCTGATGATACTTTTTGATTAGAAAAATGTTTGGTAAAAAAACCTGGTGGAAGAGGTAGATGCAGGGAAAATACCTTGATCTTCTTGATGCTTCCTGGACAGGTAGATGAGGAACCCAGCCTTGATCTCCAGGATCAATCCCACCTTGATCTCCAGGTTCAGTGTTTGGATAAAGATCAATCCGGTCAACCTGCTTCTCAACCTCTACTGGAAGATGTCTATACCAGACAAACAGTTTTTTTGTAATTTTTTGTAATTCCCTGATTTTGAATAAATAACAAGAACAAATTAATGTAACTTTTCTTTGGAATAATAATAAACCTTTCCATTTTATAGCTTTACAAAGCAAACCTGAGGCCGAATTTAAAGAATTTGAGCGGCGGCTTAAATTTAAGCCGGGGCTCAAATATGGTTGGTTTCACTTAAAATTGTATTCAATGTTTAAAGATTTAAGCCGGCGCTCCATTGAAACCGGTTTTTGGCGGATTTAAGACGCGGCTCAAATTCATTATATTCGGACACTGGATCCATAAATTCTTTTAAGCTTGGGAAAGATTAAGAATGAAATCGAAAATTTTGATCGGCGTTTCTTTTTACCTTGCTACTTTGGAACCAAACAGTTGATATACAATACAACAAATATTTAAATTAAAATAAAGAAAAAAACAGTCTTGTTTGCCTTCCGACTCTCAGATCTATATTATAATATGGACAACACTCTCCACAGATGATAAAAATCCATCTAAAATATATGAATGTTTAAATTATATAATTTTTGTATTATTTCTGTGTTGATTTTTCAATCTAAAACTACCAAAAAATAACTTTGAGAGAAAAATTATTTCAATAGTTTACATCCATAGTAATTTATAGATACTCATTGGAAGTTACAATTCACCAAATTATCTCATTGGCTCAGACGGCGCCAATAGATGCTGAATGGATAAATTTCCAAGATTTAAATGGTAAACACGTTAGCTTTAAAGTTTGTCAACTGAATATTATGTTTATGATATATTGATATCTTTGTAAAAGGTTTTACCCTCACCAAGTTCAAATAGTTAACAACAAGCATACACAGATTAAGGAATTACGATCCAGGATCTTACCTTTTAGAGATCATGAGTGAGCAGAATTGAGGTTGGTCAATACAATCATGGAATGAGCAGGAAAGGTTGGGTGTATACAAATACATTTCAGTACTCAGCTTATGCAGGGATAGTATGGAGTCACTCATTTTGTCTCCCTGGGGCGTATTCATGCACAACCTATATTTATTGATTTTTTAAAAAGTTGAAGAATACACTTAAAACCTATTATCCCATTTAGGTAAATACAAGCAGTTCTTGAAAGTGTTTTAAGTGTTTCAAAGTGAGTTGAAGTGTGAAAGTGATCCAAAGCGAGGTTAAGTGTTGTTAAAGTGTTTAAAAATCAGTCGTGAGGATTTATCGTATTTTGTGATAATTATATTGTCAATAAAACTGAAATCTTCATGTTCTAAATATTTGATTTGATTTGATTTCAAAGTGTATTAAAGTGTTTCAAAGTCAGTTAAAGTATGTAAAAGTGATCCAACAGAATGGCAATTGCATATAGTTAAAGTGATATTTAGTAATTTCATTGAAATATCCAAGTGATGTGAGAGAGTTCAGTTGGTGGCAATAAAGGCAATTTCAATAGAAATCTGTTTAATCTATAGGATTTTATGAACTTAAATTAGATAATTGTTTTCTGACAGAAATAAAAGCGTTGTTATAAAAATTGTTGTTAAAGATATACTTGAGTAGAAAACAAAAATAACAAAAACAATTAAACTACAGTACATTATCAAATATCGATATGAAACAAATGTTTGTTGGTTTTTACCAGTGTTTCGGATCCGGATCCGGTCGGATCCGTATCATTTGGTCGGATCCGGATCCGTATCAGGAAACGTTGATATGGATCCGGGTAGCGCCAAAAATTAACCAAAACCATGGAATAAATAAATCAAAATGGTTCGTTAATGTATTATTTACATGACGAAAATTTTTCAAAATTATCTTTAATAATTTAATGTTTACATTTATATAATAGTAATGACGACATTTTTAACTTTAGGATTACTATAGTTTATAAATTATAACCTTGCATAACATTTAATAGGGAAAATCCGATTCACAGAATCAAAAGTTACCTCGGATCCGGCTCCGTATCAGGATCCGGATCCATCATCACGGATGCGGATCCGGATCCGAATCAAAATTATATGGATCCGAAACACTGGTTTTTACAAATAATACTTATATTTTTTTGGTGTACCTGTAGAACAGCTGATCGAGGGGAAAAACTTGAAAATTAAACTGGGATAATCCAGTAGAGTGAACCATCAGATTGATTAAGTACCTTGTCTTAATCCAGCAGATATTATTAAAACTATTTATCTCTTCAATACAGAGAGGCCATAGGGATGTATTAAATATAGGAGGGAATATTACATTGTTGGGTCCAAAAGCATCCTTCCTTACGCGTGTGATGCTTTGGGACCCAACAGTCCTATATTTATTGCATCTCTGTTGCCTCACGCAATGAAGAGATATGTAATTTATTTCAACTTTTAAACTAAATTTATGTAAATTTTGCGACTTTTAAACAAAGTATAACATTTTAATTTACATAAAATCTACCTTTTTCGGGTTTTAAAAACTGTAGAATCTATTCAGGTTTGTAACACATATTTATGAGCTCAAAAATTAAATCTAATTTATGTTTTCGGAGTAGTAAATCCGCAACTTTTTGGCAGAAAAATTCGCAATCATTTAGATTGCATCCCTAGGGTTGCAATCTAACATTGCGGCCCTAGTTTCAGGGTTGCAATGTAAATATCAGGGATTCAATGGTGTCATAATTATGTTCAAACGTTGAAAAAATTTATAGTCCTTTAAACTGAACCATCATATTGGTAAGGTATCTTGTCTTTAAGAAACAGATATTTTTAACTTTGTAAGCTTAAAATCGTGTTAGAATTTAGACTTTGAGCTAATTACTTTTAATAGTATTGCTGTTACCCTGCAAAGGATGCGACTTTAAAGGGACTTTCGACGCAATTTTAAGTGACACTTTATAGAAATAAGTCTTAAGGGTTTAAATATCTGTTCCTTCTCTAGGTCTTCAGGATGAGTGTACAGAGGAGGAGTAGTATCATCATCCTATTATTAACAATATCATTAATGTCATTTTCATCATTTACTGAACATCCATGTTATTAAACAATGCGTAAAAATTCAAGTATGAAGTCCCCGGCAAGACAAGAGACGTCACTGCTGAATCGCTTATGTTAAATGACATCACTTTTTTTCAAGACGTTTTTCAGGGTTTTTAACATTTTTTACGCTTTTTTTAACGATCAAATTTCATCACTTAACAATTTTTTCTTAGTAGTATTACCTATATATATATATATATAAACTGCAAACATTTAAGTAATATTCTATTTTTATTTCCCTCTCTGATTACTTCCATTTTTTAGTAAATGTTTTGGGTCAATTTCCTTCCATTTTTTAGTAAATGTTTGGGGTCCATTTCCTTCCACTTTTTTAAAAAAATAGACCCCAAGTCTATTTCCTTCCATTTTTTAGTAAATGTTTGGGGTCTATTTCAAACCAACTGACATTATATTCTTAGAATTTGCTCCAGCGAACTCTAAGAAATGAAAAAAATGGTAAATCAAAACTTTAAAATATTAAATTTTTGCTCACGTTAAATAACGTTTTTAATGTAATTTGTTAACAAGTCATAAATCATATTTTTGACGTTATATGACGTTCATGAGATGTTTCAAATAGAAACAGTGATTTTCATCAACAATTTTTCAATTCAACACATAAAACTTATTCTCCTCCCCTGCCATACCCCCCCCTCTCCCACAATCATGTATTTTATAGATTTTCATCCATCTGAATCTGATTTAGGGGGGGCAATGTGATTTTAAGCCCCCCCCCCAAACCTTTTTGAAATTTCTTTTATCTTCTGAAGTAAATACCCATTCCTTTATGAAAAGCTGTTTTTTTGGTAAGCAATAATTTTCATTTAATAACGCCCCTTTTAAAAATAATAATAAATAATAAGTATAATTTGTTATTTTTTACAATGAACAGTTGAAAAATAAAATTTCATATTTTAAAAAAATTAATGAATGTGAACAAAGATTACCCCTGCAATTAACCATTCATGAATTGGAATTCACTCATCAGGTTAATCAGCTGTTCAGTTCAGTTACACATCAACTATTGTAATAAGTAAACACAATTTCCATGGATAGAAGAGGCCATTACAGGAAACAACAAAAATTGAAATAATTTAAGGATATTTGACATCAATCTAATGTCATAAAATGACGTCCTATTGACATTAAAATGTGTTAGTTTTTACGTTAATTTGTTGTCTTTTTGTGATGTCAAAATGACGTTAAACACTCTAAAAGGATGTATATTTGATGTTAATTTAATGTTATAATGTCATTTGTCTAGCTGAGTCCATTTCTAACAATAGTAGTAACAATAGTCTGAGCTAACCTAATATTTAAATAAGAAAAAATGAAAGAAAAACAGCTTTACCTCTGGAATAATGAATTGATTGATTGATTGAAGTATCCAGGTATAATGTTGGACTGGGTCGTTTTCACACTGCTGGCTCAACCGTAGAAGAGGAGTAGAGTGAAGATCCAACTAAATACAGTAGATCTCAAACAATAGGGTACATAGCAAGAGCGCATGGAATGTCGTCTTGAGATTTACTTATTGATTTATGACAGCTGATATGCTTCATCAATGTTCTACACATAAAGAAAGCTGCTCAGATGTTAGAAGCTTCAAGTTGAATAGAATTTATGAAAATATATCCAAATATCTTGTTGAGGGTCATAATTTTTTTTGATAATTCTTAAGAAACTCGTTTTTATTTTTGTTTTCAAGGTAAATTAATAGCCCTGAAATACGCAGGACAGCATTTGATATATTTAAATCGTTATTCTGCGGTATTTTATCTTGATCTAGGTTGAGAATACGACATTTAAAAACTCTTGCTATGTATCCATATATTTGGGATTCCATGTAGCAGAAATTGTTTTCAAGGAAGTTAGTTAGGGGCAGGGGGGGGGGCGCGAGGGAGAGAGGACTATTTGTTTAAATCAAACCCCCTCTTTCCCACTCCCCTACCAACCACTTCTACCAATAAAATAACACCTGGGTAAAAGGTTTAAGGTCAAGTAAAATTGTTAAGGTCTATTAAAATAAGTTTATTTTCCTTTTTCTGTGTCAAGATTCATGAAATATTAGCCAATAAATCGATCATTAAATCAATCAATCATTCATTCATTCATTCAATCAATCATCCTATCAATCAACAAATATATAGACCAGGAACGCCCAACTCAGATATACGCAAATTGTGTACTGTACACTGTGGGAGGAATGTAAACAAATCCAGTGCCCCCACAGCAGTTGAAGAGAAAGGATTAAACACTGATAAACAGAGTGATGTTACAGTCAAAAACAAAAGAAACTAGTTAATATATTAAGTTAGTGCGGATGCAAATTAATTATTTAAATATGATTTTTGGATTTTAGATCAATATGGAAAATTTATTCGTGCTCAGTGAGATTGGTTCAACTATAAAGGAGAAGCAAGGTAAAAAGATTCCCACTTATCCTTGTTTCCGAGGTTTTACTTTCTTTTAAGATTTAAACCTTTCCTCTCTATGTTTACATCCTTCCTCCCAAGGTTTACATCCTTCCTCCCAAGGTTTACATCCTTCACCCAAGGTTTAACCCCCTTCCTGCCGATGTTTGTATCCTTCCTCCCAAGTTTTACATCCTTCCTCCCAAGGTTTAAACCATTCCTGCCGATGTTTGTATCCTTCCTCCCAAGGTTTAATCCCTTCCTGCCGATGTNCATTAGATATGGCGGTTCCTGGTCTATATATTTCTTGCTATCAATCATCCTATCAATCAATCAATCAACCAACCAACCAACCAACCAACCAACCAACCAACCAACCAACCAACCAGCCAACCAACTAACCAACCAATTAACCAAACCATCAATTAATAAATCAACTAACAACCCAACCCAAAAAATCAATCAATTGATCAGCCTCTGGACTCACCTGGTGCGTTTTCTCTGCATCATGTTTGATCTGAAAACTATAGCTCACAGGAACCTTATCAGGGAGAAGAAAACTGTGGAACTCTTTCTCTAATCCCTAAACATTCTAAAATTCATTAAAACATAATAAAATACTGAATTTCTAAACAGTGTACAAGAAGGATATCCTTCCGTATCTGAACAGTAAATTTTACACATTTTTTGCGAACCGCGCAAACATACATAATTAACTAACAAAATTAACAAAATTATAAATTATTTTTTTTTTAAATAGAGGCTGGATGATTTTTGGAGAAAATATACACCCCTGTATCTGCATTCTAGAACTATACCTGCTCTAATGAAAACTGAACTAGCCCCATTTCACAAGGAAAGTATTTGACCGGGGCTTCGTCAGTTTTAGTCAGTATATTGAAGTGTAACACATTAAACTTCGTATTCTGAAATAATATATTTTAATTGAAATATTTTATAGTATAATGAAATGCTATCTAACATAGTGAAACTTTAGTCAAACATTGGCGACTTAAAAATTAAATTAAACAAAATTAAATCTTATGGTCTAGAACTTTTTTCAGAGCCAAACCAGAATTTCTTTTTATGAAAACATTACAAAAATAAGTATGAAGGTGAAATTTTTTCCGCAAAATTAAAAAAATATTTTTAAAAAAGAAACTAGCTTTTAATCACTTTTTGGATCAAAACAAAAAAATGTTTTAAGAAGAGAAGATTTTTGATCTTTGTAATATCAGTTTAACTTCTAGAGCTTTCAAGCCTTTAGAGATGTTAAATAAAACCTGATTTTTGCTTTTCACCAACCAAATAAGCAATAATTGTTGCATTACTCTTTTGGCAAAACTGGAAATATTCCCTTTTAAAAGATATTTACAAAGTTCTTACCTGTATTTTTCCGGTTTCTTGCAAACTTTCGATATGTGATTTAATTTCAGCGTTAATTCTGCAAGATCAGATTTAATTCAATTTTAAACATCTGATTTATTTCAATTTTAAACATCAGATTCATTTCAATTTTACTTGAAGTAACTGTAGACGTAATTTCAGTGTTAAATCTATCAGATTTAATTTTTAACTTAAAGGAACTGTTAGACGTAATTGATTTAATTTTAGCGTTAATTCTATCAGATTTATTTTAATTTTAAACTTAAAAGAACTGTTAGACGTAATTTCAGTGTACATTTTTTCAGATTCATTTTAATTTTAAACTTAAAGGAACTGTTAAATCATAATTTCAGTGTTAATTCTTTTCAGATTTATTTCAATTTTAAACTTAAAGGAACTATTAGACGTAATTTAAGTGTTAATTCTATTATATTTAATTTAATTTTAAACTTAAAGGAACTGTTAGACGTAATTTCAGTGTTAATTCTTTTCAGATTTATTTCAATTTTAAACTTAAAAAAACTATTAAGTGTAGGCGTAATTTCAGCGTTTATTTTACAAGATCAGAATTATTTTCAAATATCAAACTTAAAGAGACTGTGAGGTACGCACAAGTGACTCTCCAATCTCCAAGAGCGGTATTTCCGATTATTGATTGACTAATTATCGTTTATTTCTTTATGCCTTATAACGAAATAAACAATAATCAATCAATTAATCAATAATCGGACATACCACTCTTTAATAGAGATTAACAGAGGGGTACTCTTTAAGCCTCATCTTATTAATAATGTGGTAAATATCATCGTTTTTCAAGCTTCAAAAGTGTTTAAGTTTGGAAAACTTCATCATATTGTATCTGCAGCAATAATGCACAAGTCACTTTAGTAAAGGAACCACAATTGAAAATGATGAACTTTTAGAGTATAACAATGGCATGGATATCTCATTCATTTTTGGACCAAAACCCCTTTTCAGGGTACTGTTGGGAATCAGACATGTCAAACTATTATTAGAGAGCCACTTGAAATAACAGTACACTCCCTTTAATTGTTAATTTAACCCAAAGAAAAGGATATTCTACAATACACATTTTTTTCCTTTTAGCTTTTCTTTCGTTAAAAAAAATGTACATCATGGCTTTTTTCTTATGTTACATAGATATGAAACATTAAAAATGTAGTGGTTTCAGTCACTTATTGAAGGGCCTTATATATATATATTTTTTTGATAAAAATATGTTTAAATAATAATTCCACTAACCTGTAGTGTTTTAGCCTATGTCAAAATTGGTCAATTTTGTTACAGAAAAGAGTGTTTGGGATTCTTCTTCCTTTTCCATCTTCTCTTTTCGTGCAAGACTGATTCTTTTTGCCTACAGGTCAGTTCAATCAAAAAGGACAAAACCAAAGTGAAATATTTACTTGACAATTCCTTTGGGCCCTCCCTCCTTGAAAAATAATTTTTTCCTTCAGTATTATTAAGAATATGTCTGAATAAGGGAAAATAAATGATTTAAGGAAAAAACATCAAAAGGGAGGAAGGAAAGCTTGCTAAGTCGAAAAATTCCCGTTTTCTGACTTAATTTTAAACATGAGGTACTTTTTACCAATGAATTCACAAAAATAAATGTTAAGCAACAACTCTTTTCTAAAGAAAAAAAATCCGATTTGAACATATGATCTGATATTTAGACATCAACGCGAGGAGCCAGCAGATAAATATATGTGCCAATTTGCCCCGTTTCTTTACCTGAATTTCATATCTTATTTCTCTAGCTGATTTCTTGCCATGTCCGCGATGGTTAAATTCTTGGTGGTAATGACCCTCACGATCGGAATATCTATCCCTATGGCTGGTATATCCAGTCGTGTGTTCAGTATATCTATCATAGGTTTGATTTTCTTTTCTCTTGTCTCTGTCCTGTGAAGTATTGTGGGATGCTTGATACAATTTTTCCGAATTTTGAAAGCAAGATTTTTTTTCGACTTTATCTTGATCGTTTGTTTTTTGGCTGTTTGCTCTCGATCCTCCGCGAACCATCTTTATTATGAAAATAACACTTTCATTCTACATATGTCAGCCAAAAACACAATTTACTTAGGTTTGGGAGTCTCAGCTGTATATTTATTTATTGTACACTTTTCTAAATGCTGAATTTTATCAAACAATCACGATATAACATGCATAGGATAAACGTAAAATCACTCGTTCATGGCAAAATAGTTTGGAATTTTAAAACAATTATGTTCAGATTATTATTCAATAGTTGTAATATTGCTTTAGTTGTATGTATTGCATAGTATTTTAGTGACTTTTAATAATTACTACTAATACAGAAATAATTTTATTGACATCTAAAAATATTCTTAAAGGGAGAGTTTATTAATTTTAAAAGGGGTACTGGAAAATAGAAATAACATAAAAGTGAATCAGTAATTTTCTTTTCCGAACATATTTTCATTTTCAGAGTGCCTGAGATAAAAAAGTATTTTCGCAGCAATGACCAGTACCAAATTGCTTTAAAATTCATGAGCAGCTTTTTAAAAGTGCATATTGGATGCATTTCTGATTTCAAAATAGTGCAGCTTTTAAAATAATATGTAAAGCTACATTCTTCTTATAGCTGGGTAAACTTTTAGCCCATTTCTCCTAGGGAGGGGGTACAGAGACGCCATGAGCTTCGCGAAATGGTCTCCAAGCCTCTGGATTATCAGATGAGTGTTTGAAATGACCTGGCACTACTCGTATCCTTTAGAATAGATGTACACAAATTTTTAGAAAAATATTTAATATTTTAATAGTTATGCAATGTCTTTTGGATATTCAAGAAAACACTGAATAATTACTTAAAGATTAAATATTTTCTTTTAAAAATCTTATTTATTACTTCATTATCTATTCTGACGTTAAGTGGTATCGCCAGGTCATTATAAATATTCATCTGTGAAAACGGAGGCTTGGAGACCATTTTGCGGGGCTCATGGCGGCCCTGCACCCTTTCCCTCATTCTACTTAACTACTATAATTTAAAAGGTGTAATCCAGAGATGAGATTTTAAAAGCTTAAACCCGACTAAAACCCAAACTCGGGCTTTGAAAGAACCCAAGTCAGCATTGGTTCTGATTTGACCAAAGAGACTGTTTTGCATGCTTTCTCTCTGTAGCAGACAGAATGCCGTCAGATCAGCTGTGACAAGGAGATGTAAATTTCGAAATTATGTAGATACATTATTTTCATAGTATGTTTATCTTATATACTTAATAAAATTTGACACCACAAATAATTCCCGAGATTTTAAATGTACAAATATAAAAGATTTTACGAAATTTACAATCATAAGCTGCTGAAGACTTGAGCCTTAAAGATAGTAAAACCCAAGAGGGTTGGTTCTTACTAAACTCAAGGCCATCCAAAACCCGGGTCTTGACTTGAGCTTTACTTGGGTCTAAGCAGACGCAAAGACCGAGTTTTAGTCGGGTTTAAGCTTTTAAAATCTCATCTCTGGAATTGTCACATTCAAGGCAATATTTTAGTTTTTATGATTCAGAGTGATTATTAAACACTGCATCAAATTGTGTAGACTGTGGAGGTGAACTAGGGTCTTTTAAAAATTTAAACGGAAACCATCATTATGTCTTGTTTGCAACGTTTTTTAGGCTTTGACAATGGTAAAAGAGTGACAAGTAGAAAACATGTATTAAAGACGCAGATATTATTCCATGCAAATTGCAAATACGTTTCATTAGAAAACATGATTTTCTACAATGATTATTATCTGAGCTCAGAACTTGTGAATAGCAAGAGAAAGCAGAATTTCTTATTTAGTGCTGTCTCAGTCTCGACTCTCACTAGAGAGTAGAGAAGAACATAGTTCAACTGCTTCTCGTAATTCATTAATTCCGACCTCAAATTTAGTTTGGGAATGGAAACCTTAGGAGTTCAGAGATAATTTGATAAAGTTTCAGGTACAGTGAGTTCAGTAATTGTTTTGATGATGTGGGGGGGAGGGCGAAAGATATGTGGTTTGCAGTGTTACTTTCAGGTTCAGGGAGTGTTCAGGTTCAGAGAGTCTTAAACTTCAGGGGTTTGTATGTTCATGGAGTGTTCAGATTTAGGGAGTTTTCGAGTTCAGAGAGCGTTCACGGTTCAGGTTCAGGGAGTGTTCAGGTTAAGAGTCCCCAATGACTGAAGTAGATTGCCAAGATCGTTACTAAGGTCACTGTGTGAAGTATGCAGACTAAGACGCTAAAAAAGAAAATGAAAAATAAGCACGAATCATAATTATTAATAAGAGTAAAACTGTTGGTTTTATGTTTAAAAACAGGGGGGGGGGGAAAAGGAGTTCCGCGCATGCTCTCTCTCTTTCTTGTAATTCGACGCTGCCTGCGCGGAACTCCATTGGGTTTCTTCCTCAGAGTTATTGTGAACGAAAAACCCCTACATCTTGAAAAGACAACATCTAGTGTCCTATCTATGGATTAAAGGGACAGTTAACATATTTTCCATGTCCATGCCATCAAAAAATAACTCTTTAAGAGATAAAAAAGAAATTAATACAGGGTTTTAGTGTAATTTCTCGATGGCTATCCAGTATTCACTTGTATTATAACAGACTTTAGGCTCTGATGAAAGTAAAGATTTATTTCAATCACCTATTTTTGGATCTGATCATTATAAAAATGGTATTATTTTAGTTTCCTTCTTTAATGTTTTTAACACAATACAACAAATAAAATATAAGTAAATTCTCCATGAATAAATGATCTATCAAAACAACTGGGAATGGGATATACGAAATACCTAGATATCCGTCCTCAGCTGCCGAGGATGGCAACATAGGCTGAGAGTTTTCCTCGGAGGTTCCTAGTCCTCCAAATCCTCCATGCGTTCCACTAGAACCTCCAGGAAGAACTGGACACCCTGAACCCCCTCGAACACCTCCGAACGGCACCCCTGAACCTCCGAAGGACGCTTCTGGGCCTCCGATCCCCTGAGCCGAGGTGCTGGCAAAGTTTGATATTGAGGACTCCGAGGTTCCAGCTAGATTGACGCCAACCAGTCTGCTAGAATCTGAAGAAAATTCAAGTCTTGAAACAATTTCTTGTTTTAGTAAAAATACACACTTAAAAGGATTTTCACCTCTAATTCAAGAATTGCTTAAACGATTCACAACATGACGTTTTAATCCTCTATCGGAGAAAAATGTGGAGAACAATTGATGTTCTGTAATACGACAAATTTTGATAAGTTTCTTAAACATTGAAATCCACACGTTTCAATCAAGAAAAATGCCACAAGGGTAGAGTGCCCGTAACAAAATTGATTAAGAATCTTCCAAATTTTTGTCTTCAAAGTTTATTTTTCTTTCTCCAAAAGCAGGTATTTTAGTTAAAAAGAAAGATTATAATTTACTAGTTTTTTTATAAACCCCTTTCTTACCTGGTAGTTCTTGTCTGGGGGGTGTATCTAAGAAAAGGAAAAAAACCTTCCAACTAATTGAAGTAAAGCTAAAAATGTTTTGAGGTTTAATTAAAGTAATGTAAGCACAATATTACTAAATACACATTTTTGTTGAAAAAGTTCATTATATGGGGTATCGAACCCTAAACGTAGATTTGGATGCCGGCTTGTTTGAAAGAAAAGCTGCAATAGAAAAAAGTTGGTTCTTTTGAATATTTGATTTATCTGCCAATGACGTAGTCAACTAATAATTACAAAGGAACTGATTACTTGTCAAAAACCTTGATTTCCTAATCGTTATATCTTTGCAACCTGATGGTGTACACCCCCGATATGTATAATTTCGGCTATCTGATCTAACAGAATTCATAGTTTGAAATATCAAAGATCTACGACATCAGGTTGCAAAGATATAGAGATTAGAAAAATAGATTTAGTGGAGAGTAATCCAAAAAAAAACATAAACTTACTTGAGAAAATGAATTAATGAGCTGTGAATAAACCTCTTCTGTTCCTCCAGGTCTAATATTAGAAATTTAGTTAAATATTGGAAATCAGAAAATTAGAAAAATAAAATAGATTTTTCTTGTTCTTGTGTTAAATACAAAATATTTTTCTTTTCGGATTGAGTATTCTATATCACCACTGCATCTCTATAATCTGTATCCCTGAGTAACCTACCTTTATCTCAGCATCCCTAAATTACCTATCTGTATCTCTAGACTATATCTCTAAGTTACCTATCTGTGTCTCAAGACTGTATCTCTAAGTTACCTATCTGTATCTCTAGACTGTATCTCTAAATTTCCTATCTGTATCTCTAGACTGTATCTATTAGTTACCTATCTGTATCTCTAGACTGTATCTCTAAGTTTCCTATCTGTATCTCTAGACTGTATCTATTAGTTACCTATCTGTATCTATGTGCTAAAATCTGAATTTATTGTATCTCTGAATTACCTGTCTGTATCTCTAAATTACCTATCTGTATCTCCGAGTTACCCATCTGTATCTCTGAATTACCTATCTGAATCTACTGTATCTCTGAATTACTATCTGAATCTACTGTATCTCTGAATTACCTATCTGAATCTACTGTATCTCTGAATTACTATCTGAATCTACTGTATCTCTGAGTTACTATCTGAATCTACTGTATCTCTGAGTTGAGTTACTTATTTCTGTCTCTGGACTGTATTTCTGAACTACGATTTGAATCTATTGTATCACTGATTTTCCTATCTGTATCTCTGATTTACCTATCTGTATCTCTTGACTGTAAAACCTTCTTGAGATATTCCCTCATCATCTCCAGTACTCCACTTACTTCATCCTTTACCTATAAAGGGATTTACGTTAAAGGAATTGTTCAGAGTTATTTAAAAGAATTGTTCAGATATATATAAAGGAATAGTTCAGATATATTTAAAGGGATTGTTCAGACATATATAAAGGAATAGTTCAGATATATAAAAAGGAATAGTTCAGATATATTTAAAGGGATTGTTCAGACATATATAAAAGGAATAGTTCAGATATATATAAAGGAATAGTTCAGATATATATAAAGGAATAGTTCAGATATATTTAAAGGGATTGTTCAGACATATATAAAAAGGAATAGTTCAGATATATATAAAGGAATAGTTCAGATATATATAAAGGAATTGTTCAGATTTATTTAAAAGAATTGTTCAGATATATATAAAGGAATAGTTCAGATATATTTAAAGAGATTGTTCAGACATAAATAAAGGAATAGTTCAGATATATTTAAAGGGATTGTTCAGATATTTTTAAAAGAATTGTTCAGATATATATATAAAGGAATTGTTCACATATATGTAAGGGAATTGAATAGATATATGTAAAGGAATTGTTCAGATATATTTAAAGGGATTGTTCAGATATTTTTAAAAGAATTGTTCATATATATTTAAAGGAATTGTTCAGATATATGTCAAGGAATTGTTTAGATATATTTAAAAGAATTGTTCAGATATATATATAAAGGAATTGTTCACATATATGTAAAGGAATTGTATAGATATATGTAAAGGAATTGTTCAGATATATTTAAAGGAATTGTTCAGATAAATGTCAAGGAATTGTTCAGATATATTTAAAGGAATTGTTCAGATATATTTAAAGAAACTATTCAGATATATTTAAAAGGATTGTTTAGATATATTTAAAGGGATTGTTCAGAAATATTTCAAGGAATTGTTTAGATATATTTAAATGGATTGTTCATAAATATTTAAAGAAACTATTCAAATATATTGAAAAGGATTGTTCAGATATATTTAAAGGATTGTTCAGATATATTTAAAGGAATTGTTCAGATATATTTAAAAGAAATGTTCAGATTTATTTAAAGGGATTCTTCAGATATATATAAAGGAATAGTTCAGATATATTTAAAGGGATTGTTTAGATATTCTACTTTGTAAATACAAAACAGTAATATTTGAATTGATTATTCATAATTCTAAGAACGCAGTAACAGTAAAATTGACTTAAGGAACCCTGCTATTTAAGAGATTTTAAGAATTAATATCGAATCTATTTAAACCATTATCTGATCAAAAATGTGGTAGGTTATCTGTTTTATAACTTGAAAAGGTTTAATTCTGACAATTTTTTTCATTGTTTCTTTAGAAGATATGCGCGAGTTACTTATGAAGAGAAACCACAATTAAAAATACTCAATATGTAGGAAAATAAACATGGATTACGCATTCATTTTTGATCCGACAAAGCTTTTAGCGGTACTCTTGTGAATCGGTCATGCCACTCCATAATTAAAAGCCGCTTGAAATTACTAATACATTCCCTTTAAGCCGAATTTCCAAGGAATGATGTAGACGACAATAATTAATAATCTTGTGCTAATTGCTCTTTGCTCATAGCTTCAACCTATTTCTCTTAGGAGAACAGTCCCTTAAAGAAAAAGGTCTGCAGGTTCTAAAACTTACCTGGGACATTTCTTTTTGAGTGGAACTACTTCGTTGTAATATCTTTAACTTCGCTTGAGCAAGTTGCATAGGAGTTCTGATAAAAAATATCATTTTATTGATTAAGTAAAAATTCAATTTTGATAAAATTTTAATCAAACTCTTGCTATCTTACAACAAGTTATTTTAAACTGATCTATCATGATTAAACAGGTTTATCTCTTATCATGAAAACGGATTCTTTCTGTAAAAAAAATGTAACGTACAATACCCGACATTTAAATTGGCCGGTGTCTGAAATAAATGAGTGTAAATGGATAAATTGTAATAATAGTTTTCTTAAAACACATAAATAAAATAGGGCTAGTATCTAATCATCCCTCTATTTGTCCTGATATTCTCCAGGATCCTCCTGGTCATGCTGTGGGCCAGGTTCTTCAGGTCGGGTCCCATCATTTGAAGGGTGTTGAAAAAAACCATACAAATCACACTTTTTTCTCCCAAAGGATTAATTATCACCAGATCATTAATTAACTCTAAAATGTCAGAACTACTTGGTTAAAAAATTATTGTATTTGGTCAATCCTGCGCTGAATGACGGCTCTTCATCTTTATTTATCCTTACTTCTCATTTTAAACCAGGGAGTGGCTTAATATTTTTTGATCGGGTTTTAATATAAAATAGTGTAAAGGAAGTGTACAGAAAATTTAAAGTTCATTTTAGAAAGCTATCAATCTCAACTTTCGTCAGCCACCGAGAACAACTTTCTATTGTGAGTAAAGGGGCGTCAAGAGACCATTATGTGCCGGCAAATTCAAATGTCGGGTACTGTAAACACAAAATGACTTGTCTAACCTTCCGTTGTTATCAATAGTTGTAATATCAGTTCCAGCTCGAAGTAGTAGAGTTACAACAGGTACATGGTTGGTACACGCTGCCAGGTGCAGAGCTGTATTTCCTAGTTTATCCTAGGAGTACAAATGTTATTATATGTATGTACTGTACAGTGTACAATATCCATGGTTGGTACACGCTGCCAGGTACAGAGCTGTATTTCCTAGCTTATCCTACGAGTACACATGTTATTATATGTATGAACTGTACAGTGTACACTTTACATGGTTGGTACACGCTGCCAGGTGCAGACCTATATTTCATTGTTAGTATAATGCACAACATACTGTACTGTCTATCATTTGAATAGTAATTAACTCCATTCTACAGTTTTATACCTTCTGATTAGTAGTAGCTCCATTCTACAATTTCCTACCTTCTGATTAAGATCAGCTCCATTCTACAGTTTCCTATCTTCTGATTAGCAGTAGCTCCATTCTACAGTTCCTACCTTCTGATAAGGAATAACCAGCTCCATTCTACAGTTTCCTACCTTCTGATAAGGAATAACCAGCTCCATTCTACAGTTTCCTACCTTCGATTAGGATTAACTCCATTCTACAATTTCCTACCCTTTGATTAGGGTCAGTTCCTACCTTCTGATAAGGAATAACCAGCTCCATTCTACAGTTTCCTACCTTCTGATAAGGAATAACCAGCTCCATTCTACAGTTTCCTACCTTCTGATTAGGATCAGCTCCATTCTACAAATTCCTACCTTCTGATTAGGATTAACTCCATTCTACAATTTCCTACCCTTTGATTAGGGTCAGCTCCATTTTACAGTTTCCTGCTTACTGAACTAGGATCAGCTCCATTCTACAGTTTCCTACCTTCTGATTAGTACTAGATTATTCTACAGTTTCCTACCTTCTAATAAGGGTCTGCTCCATTCTAGGGTTTCCTACCTTCTGATTAGGGTTAGCTCGATTCTACAGTTTCCTACCTTCTGATTAGCAGGAGCTCCATTCTACAGGTTCCTACCTTCTGATTAGTACTAGATTATTCTACAGTTTACTAGCTTCTAATAAGGGTCTGCTCCATTCTACTGTTTCCTACCTTCTAATTAGGATCAGCTCTATACTACGGTTACCTACCTTCTGATTAGGGTCAGCTCCATGCTTAAGTAAGATCTCTGCAACTTCAGAGTAACCCATGGCAGCAGCAAAATGTAAGGGACTTCGCTGATGTTCATCGAAACACCTGGAAAAGTAAAAATAATTCAAAAAGATCAAAGGCTTGATATTTCCAATATATCATTGACATTATGTAATTTTTTCCATATGAAAAAAATGTGCAACAAGCTATTTCACAGTGGTCTCCATAAAACTATGGAATACAGCGAGGACTTTGGACTAAAGATCTTAATAGTCCAATAAACACGAGACACAGCAATTTCACTTAGTAGGTTAATTTTCAAGCTCCTTCTACTCGTAAAACAACATCAAATACATTTAAAGATTGCTTTAATGTCGTCTTCCGTTTCTATTGTTTGATGAGGATCACTGTATGACTTATAATTACCAACCTGACATTAACACCATTTTGGCAGAGCTGCTCCACCTGCTCGGAATTATTTGTACTTGCAGCTATCCGTAACTTTTTCTCAGCAATGGACATCTTTTAATAAAGAACATGTTAAATAGAAAACTCAGTTAAATCCGTTACCGGTGTCACGTTAAATAAGGCCTGGGCGTCAAATTTAGTCCGGGTTAGTGTTACGTGTGAAATCCATGTACAAAATTAATAGGAGGGAGAAGGGGGGGGGGGGTCAAAAAACCGCATATTAGGAAATTACCGCTGGTTATGTACAAAATTAATAGAACGGGGGGGCCAAAAATTGTTTACTTTGACGGACCCAAAGCATTGTTATCATTTGAAATTGTTACAATTTTTTGTTTGGTAGGCCATAAAATTAAAAATTAGAAGCACACACATTATGTACATTATTTAGGCATGTTTTCCACTCTTGTCCAGACTTTTTAAATGTGTTTGTTTAATAATGCCTTCTTTGTATTGCACCCGGGCCAAATATTACCCTGGTCTGGATGTAACGCTACACCGGCACAGTAAGTTTTTTTTATACAGTTTTATTTAAATGGACTGTTTACGTTATTTCAGTTGACTTTTTATTTGTAGAGTGGTACGTCTGATTCACAACGGTACCCTTTAATCCCTGTTTAACAATACAATACAATAAAAAATCTACAGTATTTCATTTTGTAAAGGGGGGGGGGGAAATAGGGATATCCCATTCTTAATTTAACCTTGAGTATCCCCCCCCCCTTTTTATTAACATACCTTGATTCTGGACCAGTCGTTACCAACGTGTGAATTGTATTTACTCCTAAACCCAGAACTTTTTATCTTTGTTCTAAATTCAATATTTATCCTCTCAAGATATTGATGAAAGATTCGGGGCGCGGTAGGAGTAAGGGGTGCGAGAACACCGCCCCCCNTCAAGTTGAACAGACCCAGTACACTATTTTTAAAGTTGGTTGATTTAAACTGACAAGTTGATACACTATTTTTAAAGTTGGTTGATTTAAACTTATCACATATGTTTTTTAAATCTCTATTTGGCTGATTTTCAATATATACTTAACAAAGGAATATTACATCATATATTGATTTAATTTTGAAAGCTGACGGGGGCCGGGGCTCGGCCTAGATTTCCATAGAATGTTAGCTGACTGATAAAATATTATGAAAACAACTTCTACAATTTCTTCAAAAGTTTTGATATATTTATTATTTATGGTCTGAATTCAAGAAAAAAGTTTAATTGGCAGATTTTGTTTGCATATTCTGTAAATTGAAGAGGAATATTTTCCTGAGGTTAGTTTGAGGCTTTTCCTGATATTCATACGCCGCGATATATAGAGTAGATCCATTGGGGGTGGCGCCGAGATCCATAAATTCCTTGGGGGAGCTAGGCTTGGTGGAGAGAAGAGGCGGAGAGGGGAGGGAGGGCTGGGGAGGAGATATATCAACAACCTAAACCAATCATCAATTAATATTATAGATAAAGGGCGCAGAAAATTAAATGGTTTTATTTTGAACTGTTATCAAACAAGTTTTTTACATTTTTTTTAACATTTTGTCGTCTTAATAAAAGACTATTTTTATGCCAAAATAAAATGTTGTTACACACACAGAAAGAATCATTTCACTTAATTCAAACACAACTTTTATTTTTTGTTAAGGTTTAATAATAATAATAATAATAATAATAATAATAATAATAAGAATACGAATACTAATAATAGTAATAGAAATAATTTACAATGATGTTAAAAAAAGATTACTAAAATAAGTTTAAATGAAGGAGTTTAAGTCCTACTGTGAGAGAAATGAACAAGTTTCAAGTTCTCTCTTGGTTCTACCTTAGTCTGCTGATAGCGATCAGACAAAACTGAACAAACCCGAACTTATAGCGATGAGACAAAAAGGAATTGATTTGAACTGACCTGAACCGACTTGAACCGACCTGAACCGACCTGAACCGACTTGAACCGACCTGAATCGAACTGAACCGATCTGNGACAAGTTGATACACTATTTTTAAAATTGGTTGATTTAAACTGACAAGTTGATACACTATTTTTAAAATTGGTTGCTTTAAACTGACAAGTTGATACACTATTTTTAAAATTGGTTGATTTAAACTGACAAGTTGATACACAATTTTTAAATTACTACTCTCATTAGACTCATTTTCAAGCTCAGTTTCAAGACCAGAGTCAGCTCCCTAATAATAAGAAAACACCCAAAATTATTTTATCCATGATTTCATTATGCTTTCTGGTCGATTCGGTTCAAACGAATTAATCATATAAATTCAGCTTTCAGATTGGTTGTTTTTACGTTTTTCAAAATTGGTTGCTTTAAACTGACAAGTTGATACACTATTTTTTAAAGTTGGTTAATTTAAAATAACAAGTTGATACACTATTTTTGTAAGTTGGTTGATTTAAACCGACAAGTTGATACACTACTTTTAAAGTTGGTTGCTTTAAACTGACAAGTTGATACACTATTTTTTAAATTGGTTGATTTAAACTGACAAGTTGATACACTATTTTTAAAATTGGTTGATTTAAAATGACAAGTTGATACACTATTTTTTAAATTGGTTGATTTAAACTGACAAGTTGATACACTATTTTTAAAGTTGGTTGCTTTTATCTGACAAGTTGATACACTATTTTTTAAATTGGTTGATTTAAACTGACAAGTTGATACACTATTTTTAAAATTGGTTGATTTAAATCTCATTCCAATTTGTCGGCTTTTTAGTGATTTATGGTTTTAATTTCATGATTTCATCAGAATACGACAAATTTAGACTTTAACTAACCTGTGAAGCCTCCATTGAAGTAAATACTTGTCTCACGCCTAGAAAATATTGATGGATCAATTTTGTCAATTTTTAAATAACATAATTTATACATAAAGCTTTAGATTCAAATTTGAGGATGTTTTGGAAAAAATTGTAAAGTTAACTAAATTTTTTTCTAAAACATTTTCTGTAAAAAAAAATATCATAAATTAATGTCAAGGTTTAGATTACAAGTTTAGTCAATATTCCTTTAATCTGAGTGTAAGAGAACTAGTTTGACTAGCTGTTACAGTTCAACTACTTCAAACTTTGAAATTATTCCAACAATATTACCTTATTCTTCAGCGTTCCCTAACCATTCTTAGTAACATTTCTCTCTGAATTTTTTTTCCATATTTAATAAATATTCTTTAAACATTGTACTAATATAATAATTAAATTAAATTTATTTCTATCCATTACCGCAAAATGTTTACTGAAAGGGAGTGACTGGCAATGTATGGTAGTTGAACTGAGAATGTAGTATTGTAGAGTAATTTGGAAGGATTAATTTGAGACCTATCAGACGTTTTTACGGTGCATATTTGTTCAGCAAGAGCCCAAATTCAATCTTTAAATTAAATTCTCATGAATTGTCCATTTGGGAGGGATAATTTTGAGAACGGTTTTTTCATTATTCAATGACAACCACGAAAAAAGTAACACAAATTCGACAGTAAACTAATAAGTTGTTCAGGAACAGATTTTGAGACTAGAAATTAACTTTTATTATCGAAAAAAACTAATCTTATTCAGTCATAAGTTTCTGTAACGTCTTATTGTTCACAATTTTGTTTGTAGATTGCCTGCAATTTTTATTGAAAAGACGACATTTGAAGAATTTGAAGAAATCTACGAACAAAGTAAAGAATAAGAAAGTCAAAATAATGATGAAAATGAAACAATTTCTGTGGAGAACTTTGTTTCTCAACATCAAATTAGTTTACTTTAGATTTTTGTTGCATTTTCGTCGTTGTTATTGAATAATTAAAAAAACGATTCTCAAAATCATCTCTACAGAATGGACAATCATTGAATTTGCACTCTTGCAGAACATATATACATCGTTAAAACTTCCGATAGATCTCAAATGAATCATAAAGATTTCTTTACAAAACTGCATTCTCAGTTCAACTACCATACATTGCCGGTCACTCCCTTTAAAGTTTGTTGAAAAGGTTTGAAAAAATGTAGGTTATACAAATAATTTTTGTTCTTCGGGAATATATTTTTTTTTGGAAAAATAAGTAATATTTATCGAATAAAATGCACAAGTACAGTAAAATGTGCATTAAATAAATAATAACATTTAACACATTTTACAAACGTTCAAACCATTGATAATGGGCTCAGGCGAGGGATTCAGAGATTAAAACAGGAAACTATAAAATTCACCTTTTATAAAAAAAAGTATTAGTGATTATTGTTAAAATGTTCCATTTTATTTAATTGGTCCCTTAAAATAAATTATTAATTCAATAATCTGAATTTGTAGTTGAAGAAAAGTAGAGGCCTTTAAAACTAATTCAAAATAAAGATGCAAAAAACACTGTGAACTTAATTCCAAGTAACCCTTTATTGAAAGACTGGATCGTCCGATTCACACTGGTGCTCTTTAAATTTTTTAAGTAGCAATTTTCTATCTTAACCCGTGTTAAGTTCTGAAGATTTTGCTAAAATTATATGTAGCAAGTCCGCAAGTCAATTTGATAGGGAGTTAAATGCTGGAAAAATGAGAATATCTTATTCGTCCTTGATCAGACAATGTTTGAAGTGTTCCGGTGTGAATCGGGTATCCCATAAATGGAGGGTCACTTGAAATTACGTCTACAGTCCCTTAGGTTACAAAAATAAATAATATACCTAATACATTATTTGTGATTTATAGTACATACATTATTAGTAATCAGAGAAGGGTTGGAACAAGTCCATGTGCACATGTGCAATGCAACAATACTGTTAATAATTTACAAAATACATATACAATATTCTTTATTTTCTGACAGGAGCAATCTTGAAAAATAAAGTTCAAACTTAAGAAAAAATCTATTTTTAATCTTAAAGTTTAATCTGGTATATTACATAAAAAAGAAATATATATTTTATTAGGGAGATAGGATTAAACCCGTTCCATAGTCAACCTATTCATTTGGAGTATATAGTTAGAACTATAAAACTGTGGAGTAGGAAAACAACATTTCAGCATTATTGTGTTTTTCATGTTGTTAAACAGCAACAAATTGCCTGGAGCTTGAAAATCAAATTATTAAGTGAAATTGGTCAGTGTAGTGTACGCTATACAAATGTTTCATGTTCATTCGACTATTATCTATATAATAAAACAAGACATTCGTATATATATTTGTTGCCTATAGCCGGCCAAACGGCCGGACCGAATGGGCTGAAATTTTTTGTGGACCCTCATCGGTGGTCGGGGGGTTTTCATTTTTTTCCACGTGCAACGCCGGGCCCTTCAGCTAGTAAATATTGAATAACAAACAGTTGTTAACCTATTCCACAGTTTAATGAGTCCCAATGTAAATTTTTGAGAACATGTTACAGAAAACCAATGGTCGAGTTTCTGACAATAATTTACTTAATTAAATAAAAACTCCTTGTCCTTTGACGAAATATTCAGTTAATTTTTTACTGTTTAACCATTCCGCAAACTTTATTGGTGGGTGACATTCATACAATCTAGCAATCATTTTTTCTGCTCAAGAAAAAAATCAATAAATATGATTAAATTAAATTTTAGTGAAAAAGTAAATTTTACTTTTATAAAAATACAAAATCTTCAGATTGAATATCTTCTTGTGTCTCTGTTTCCTCAGGGAGTGAGCTCCACTCCCCCTCTTCCCCCCTACCTCCCACCCCATCCCCTCTCCCTTGAGCTACAGAGAATATTGGGTACTGGGAACGCCCCTCAACAGGTGAAGGCGTGGCAAATTCTTCAATTCCCTGACACCAGCATTCAAACTCATCTCGTGTTCTAAAACAAATAAATAGATATAAAGGGACTGTAGATAAAATTTCAAGTGAACCTCTCTTTGAAGTGGCATGTCCGATTTACAAGGGTACCCTTAAAATCTTTGAAAAATTAAGAATGAATAAGATATCAATAGTTTTCACTTTAAAAATTGGTTAATTTTTATCATGATTATCGGTTAACGTGACTTGCGGATTTCTGATTCAGAAACAATGAAGACTATTGTTAGAATGTATCACTTAATTAAACCTGGAAAAACGACGATATCTTCCACGTTATTGATCAGGTTTACAGGGTACAATTGTGAATAGGGCAATGGAGGGTCACTTAAAATTACAACAACAATCCCTTTAAGCTTAACATTTTCCAATTTACAAAATCAAAAGTTTTCCAAGCTTATTTTATTTTTCTAAATTTCGTATGAATATTGGGGCCGGGGACCGAAAAATGTAGAAAAAAATTGCTGAAGAGTTAATCTCATGCGCACCAGGTTAAGACAACAAAACTTATATCATCCTAATTCCTAATTTATGTCGTTTTCTAAAAAGTATGTTAACCCCCAACAGCGTGAAGCGTGAAGCGCCGTATATTATTTAGTTATTACTAGTATATACCTGATATAGAATCCTAAACAGCAGCTGGGATCCATCTTAGATATTGATATTTTTCTGAAATTATATAAAATGAATTTTCGTAAAAAAAATTTTTAAAAAGAAGAGAAAAACGTGTTATGTTTTTTTGTTAAATTCAGGTGTAAAATCCCGATTCTGAAAGGGGTAAAGGGGGAAAATAATTTGGCAAGAAAATATAAAACCCTGTCTAATCTTCCTATATTAAACTAACCTAGGAGCAGAGGAATGATATGAGTGTGTAGGGAAATTAACCCCTGTAGTGTCTACTGCAGGCTGCAGTCGATGAGGGTCTGAAAGGAAACAATTTTCCATGCAAAGAATAATAACTAAATTAAAAGGAACTGTAGACGTAGTTTCAAGTTCCCCATCATTTACAGAGAACCATTTTCATTCACATCGGTACCCTTAAACTCTTTGACTGAGAAAAATGAGGATGATATCCTTGGTTTTCTTTTAAACTTGCAGATTTCTTTCATTGTCTTGAATGAAAGAAAATTGATACAATTTTATCTTTACAAAACTCTCTTATTGCAGTTGACTCAATAAGGGGCAAGAGTGTGGTTACTTTAAATCAAGCGTTGCTTGAAATAAGGTTAACAGTCTCAAAAAAATTAACTCAATAGAACAATTTTAATTTGCAATAATAGTTCATAAAAAACATGTGACACTTATAAACTACAATTAAGAAACAAAATGTCATAAATAAAATGACAATTGTCAATTAATGCTGTTACCTAGATGAATGAGGTCGTCCTCTTGAAAGCCAAGGAAGTATAAAGAATGTGTAGGCCGGCCTCCAATCCAACCAAGACTGCTAGGTAGGGTTAACAAGGACCTGCAAGAAATATCATTTTCTTAGATTTGTAAGTGGTACATTTAAATTTCCAAGCATGATCTTTTAAACTGTATGTATTAAGCTATTTTCAAGTTGAACAGACCCAGTACACTATTTTTAAANCCATACATAAATACTTACCAATATGGTTTAAAAAAAGGGGATAACATTTTTAAAAATGATATACGATTATCCATTCGGTCTTTTAGTGATACTTTTTACACAAAAAGTCATGAAATTTCCACTATTAAAGGGACTGTAAGCGTAATGCCATGTGATTCTCCATGCAAAGAGGGGAATGCCTGATTTACAACGATACCATTAAAATCTTTCTGTTTTCGTCGAATACAGAGATGTCCGTGTAAATGTATCTGAATCCATTTGTATGATCAGCTGCAGATTTCAGAGTTCAGACTGTACGCAGTGCACACCGGAAATTTTCAGCTGATCATAAATGGAGGGTTACTTGAAGTTAGGCAAACAGTCCCTTTAATCATCTACTTTCCCCAATTCATCTAAAAAAAAACATAAAAAATCTATCTAATAGGGGGAAAGTTGACTTTTTCAAGAAAATATATGCTCCTGGGTTAATATCGATCTAAGGCAAACATTAAAATCAATGAAAAACACTAAAGTGGGATATCTTAACACTCTGAAGTGAAATTTTGTTAAAACATGAAAGTGTTTTTTTCATCATAAATAAAATTCACGGAGAAAGATGTCACAAAATTAAAATTTTGATTAACAACAAAATATTTGAAAGCGCCATTTAATTTATACCTTAGACAACTAGAATAAAGAGGATTGAAACGTTCTCCACCGAGTCTAATTACAATCAATCAATTATGCGACAAATTAATCTACCGATTTAACCACAAATCAATATACCGATTTAACAACAAATTAATCTAACGATTTAACCACAAATCAATATACCGATTTAACAACAACTTAATCTACCGATTTAACAACAAATTAATCTACCAATCTAACATCAAATTAATCTACCGATTTAACATCAAATTAATCTACCAATCTAACAACAAATTAATCTACCAATTTAAGAACAAATTAATCTACCGATTTAACAACAAATTAATCTACCAATCTAACAACAAATTAATCTACCGATTTAACAACAAATTAATCTACCAATCTAACAACAAATTAATTTACCGATTTAAAAACAAATTAATCTACCAATCTAACGACAAATTAATCTACCGATTTAAAAACAAATTAATCTACAAATCTAACAACAAATTAATACACCAATTTAACAACAAATTTATCTACCAATTTAACAACAAATTAACCTACAAATCTAAAAACAAATTAATCTACCGATTTAACAACAAATTAATCTACAAATCTAACAACAAATTAATACACCAATTTAACAACAAATTTATCTACCAATTTAACGACAAATTAATCTACAAATCTAAAAACAAATTAATCTACCGATTTAACAACAAATTAATACACCAATTTAACAACAAATTAATACACCGATTTAACAGCAAATTAATCTTCCAATCTAACAACAAATTAATACAACAATTTAACAAAAAAGTCGTCTTATAAAGTCAAATCATATCAAATTAGGTCAATTAAGTATAAACTCATAAATAGGTCTTACAGCTAGATTTCAACTACTCAATTATTTAACCAAAGAAATCGAATCAATCAAAATTTGGAAATTCACAATAAAAACATTTTTAATTCAACTAATTTTATTAAAAAACTTTAAAATGAATTAATTGATTGTGTTGACACCTAACAGGGATAAATATAACTAAAGGTTTCCAGTTTGGGTCAGGAACCAGCGATCCACCCTAAAAGTAAAAAAAAATATTAGAAAACTAGGTGAGCACTTTCTTCCCTCCTTTTCTGTGAGAGAGGGGAATTGTTGGTGGACAAAAATTCACATTTTCACAAGTATTCATTTAGAATTGATTATATCGAAACCCATTGAGATTGGGAAAACATAGGTATATATTTTGTTTGGCACCCTATTGACATGGGCTCTTCCATAAACTCTCTTTGTATTGAAGGGTGACTGTTTTATTTGTTCAATTACACATTATTTTACTTCCTAATCGACCCTGCTAAATAAATATCATTATTTACCTCCTCGAAGCACCAGCTCTCCCCCTCAACAATAACTTCCTCACTAAATAATTTTTTAAAATTTTTTCTTGATTTGAAACTTTATTCTTGTGGAACTGAAAATAAGAAAAAAGGAAAACCAGAAATTTTTAAAAATGCACCTGAAAGAATATTGCATGGTATCTAGATGAGTTGGGGTTTCTAATACAGCGAAATCTTGAATTACAGTTTCCTTGGGCACTCGGCTCACTAAAAAAAAGGAAAAAAGTAAGAAATAACGATTCTTTTAAAACAAGTTCATTGAAAAAACCATAAAAAATTAACGAAATTGGTCGTTTTAACAGTGCAAGTGTACACATCTGTATACTGTACAGTGACTATACTGTACGTACTAATACACTGTACGTACCTGTACACATACTGACAATATCCTCCTTGTACACTGTACAATCTTGAGCTACGTACACAGCTAAATTACTCACTAAGCTTTGGTATTCTAAAATATTTATAAAATTAATATTTTCCTGTAAAATAATTCTAAGCGAAATAATTTATTAAATTCGAGTTCCCTTCTAAATATGCTACTTAAATGACAGCCTGAAGCTTAATGCAACGCTTTAATGGTAAAAAAAACAGTCTCCTAATTCAAATATTATTTTTTATTATTTAAATCCATCAATGATGTAAATCAACAATTAAGAAAAACAAATAAGCAAATCAATTAATCATTTTAGAAAATTAACTTAGCACTGCATCAATTAAGCATATAAATCCTGAACTTGAGAAAATCAGTCCAATAATTTAGCAAATTAAACCATCAATAGAAATAGTCAGTCCATTAATTAAGCAAATCAATCAATGATATAAAACGTCAATCCAAAAATTAGCAAATCAATCCAACAATTTAGAAAATCAATCATTCAGAAAATCAATCCAACAATTAAGAAAATTAATCGATCAATTGAGCAAGTCAATCCATTAATTGACGATTCAATCCATCAATAGCAATAAAAATTAGTCATAAATTCAATAAGCAAAGTAATCTAAATACAATCAATTAATCAATCACTTAATCAATCCATCAATCAATCCTTAAATGGCAACCTTGAAAATTAGCTACGGCTAGCTGCATGAGGTATGCTACAGATGCTGGTCCGAACCAGTTTCCAGCTCCTTTACCGATATTTCGGCCCAGGCGTACTAAACAGATCAAAATCAAAAATTGTAAAAGAACCTATCATATCCCAACGAACAAAAGTCGACTTAAACTCGACTTTTTAATCCCAGAAGTCGACTTTTACTTGACTTTTTAAGTCGAGAAAAAGTAGACAATTTAAGTAGACTTTAACTCGTAAATAGTCGTTCCAGAACTCGACATTAAGCTGAGATTTTATAAAACTTTTGGACAAGTTTTAAAACCACTGAAGGACGAGATTTTTTCAAGTCGGCAAAAAAACTAGTTCAAAACTGGGATGAAAAATGATCACTCTTTAAAATTAAAAATTATTTTGTTGCAAAAGAGTGCCATGTCCGAATATCTGAATAAGAACCCTAAAAAGTTTTTTCCTGATCAAACCTGATCGTAATATCCACGATTTCTCTTTAAAAAAATGTTTCTCTCTCTTTAGTGACTTTAACAGATTTCTTGCAACTTAAGTGAACACTTTTCCGGCTAATAAACGATTTCTCCCATATTATTGATAAGATAAATTCTTAAAAGATACCGCTGTGAATAGATCTTGCCCCTTTTAAATAGAGGAAAGGGTCGCTTGAAATGTTAACAACAGTTACCTAGATTGTGTATTGAGAGAGGAGAGGATATTTCAACATCAGAAAATAATCTATAAAACAAAAAAATTGTAAAAATATTTAATAATGAAAATAAAAACATAAAGCATTCCACCATCTACCAAGATACACTTTTCATGCAAATCTGAACGAACCAAAGAACCAGAAGATCCGAAATTATAATCTTTGAAATAATTTCCCCCAAATCCTAAAATGGTTTACACAAAAATTGAAAACTTCAATTAAAAAGTCTTGCTCAATTTAAAATCCACAACTCCTAAATTATATATATAGATGTATTGTATATATATATATTACTAAAAACAATCAAAGTCATAAGAAGTTTTTTATTTTAAGTTCTGAGCCAGCTATTGATTCTGATTGAATCTATCTATCTATCTATCTATCTATCTATCTATCTATCTATCTATCTATCTATCTATCTATCTATCTATCTATCTATCTATCTATCAATCTATTCTTTAAGGAGATTGTTTTTGTTCCGGAGTTGACATTTCCGAAGTTTGTCTATTATGAGTTTGTCATGACTTGAACCTGAGGATATCTCTATGTATTCTATCTTTAACCGATGTTTGTCTGTCAGGGGAAGGTGTGGGATTGTCTGCGGGTTGTTTGTTTGTTCTCCACTCTCTTCCAAGCCAGTGCATTACAAGACCCTAAAATTAACAAACCGAAAATTGATTTTGCATCAGAAATGTGTCAAAAGTTTAGTTTCCAATTTTTTTTTTAATTTTTCGTTGAAATCGATTTTACTTGGAGAAATTCAAGCTATGGTCAAAATCGACAAGTTTTTCCAAGTATTATTGGTAAATTACGTTTCAGCCAGACATTTGTGGCTGGAATCAATCTTCGTATTAAATTTTTCAAAACAATATATACACCTGAGCCATCATCATCTGCCCTGTTCTAATCATGCAGCCCCAACCACAGTCAGTAGTTAAATCTGTTCCAGAAAACTTACGGAGGTCCGATCTTGACAATCAATTAATTAATTAATCAAGATTTGGTTAAATCAATTGTTCAAACAATTTGTAATTTTATCAAACATTTAATTTGTCAATCAATCTATTCAGTCAGTAGTTAAATCTGTTCCAGGGAATTACGGAGATCCGATCTTGACAATCAATTAATTAATTAATCAAGATTTGGTTAAATCAATTGTTCAAAGTCAAACAATTTGTAATCTTATCAAACATTTAATTTGTCAATCAATCTATTCAGTCTGTAGTTAAATCTGTTTCATGGAATTACGTAGATCCGATCTTGACTATCAATCAATCAATTAACATTTGGTTAAATAATCGATCAAGCAATCAGTATATAATATGTTCTTCCTTACGTAGATCCTACCTGGACAATCAATCAATCAATCAATATATGCTTTTGTCATTAAAAAATGAACTAATGACTATACAACATACTACTCCCCATTCCCTAAACCTGGACTTAGATAAATATACCAAAAAAAAAATGTAAGGCAACTCAATAATTTTCACTGTGTTCAAGACGGGAAAATAATGAAAATCGAATTTTGAAATAATAATTTTTCTACGAAAGTTTAAATATCAGATTAGTTTGAGATTGTAATTGGATTTTATTCCGGGATCAAAATAAACATAAAACTGGATCACCAGACTTGTCTGTCGAATCTTGATTAAAATAATACGCAAGCGCAAATAAAACGTCTCAGTTTTATTACAGGTAATTGAACATGCACTGAAATGTTAAGTGTACACAGTACAGTGTACTGTACAGTCATGAACTGTAAACCGTACCTGTACGTAAACCATATCCTAGAACTGAAATCAGATTCAAAAGCCATAATTTCTGATTTGGGCATAGACTCATCTTCTAAAAAAAGAAGATTAAATCGTTAAAAACAATTATAATATTTCTTCATGTAAGAAATTATTATTCCTTTTTTTGATTAACGTTAAATTGAAAATAAGTGTTTTTTCTTTGTAATCATTTTATTTTGATATATGGTATCAGAATAAAAGAAAACATAAACATCAAGATAAGAAATAATGGTTCGAAGTTTAATGAGAATTGGGGAAACCACTGACCTTGTCTGGGTTTACTTCTATGATAAGGTTTTCCTAAAATCCAGACAGGGGTGCTCTCCGAGAAACTAATCATCAAAAGAAATAAAAATGGAAAATCGACAAAAATTTTAAGAATTTATCGTTTTGGATAATGATTGAAATATGAGATATCAAAATAATACGCCAAACCTGCCTAGCTGTCTTTTCTTCCACACAATTTCTATTGTATATATTTTTGAATACTTTCTAAATATTTAGATTTTAACAAAGTATATTTGAGCAAATCTCCTGATATATCTTTTTAAATCTCTTCTAAATATTTAGATTTTTCCAAAGTATATTTGAACAAATCTCCTGAACGTTTATGAATTTTAATTTCAATTTAATATTTCTGACAATTTCCTTGTTTTAAGCTCAATCTTGAACATAGTTCTTCCATACTTAATATTATTCCAGGCAGACACCATCTTTGACCTAAGAAAGCAACATGGGGTACATATTTATATTTCGAAGGGATCGGAAGGGGGAATGGTTTTCAATCTTGGGAGGAAAAATAAAAGTCGGGGATAACAAATTGTTTCACCCCCTGGCCAGTCCTAGCCGCAGCGCTCGAGGACCAGTAATTTTCTGAACCTAACCTAACACTGAAATAATACAATAAAATTGAAATCGAAATCATCCACAAAATTGATAGGAGCACCGCTCGGCCCAGAAATTGTCTTAACTTAAACTAACCCTTATGTACAAGATTGATAGAAGGGGGGGGGGGGGTGTCCAAACCCCGTTCTCTAGAACACACAAAATAATAACCGAAACTTTTTATTATTAGCTTTATGATTTAAAAACAAATACTCTTTAGGATTTTACCTGACTGCCTTTTCAACCCTTGTCAGACTTTTAGTCGCGTCTCCACTCATCTTCAAACTTTTTATCTATATTCTCTAGATTCTTGCATACCTTAGGACATCCGGTCTCATTTTGCAATTCGTTACAATCTGTAAAAAATACTTTTTTACTTCAAGAATTGATACAGATGAAGAAACAACAGAATCGGCGACAAAAGAGAAATCAGATAAGTTTTCATTGATTTTCAGATAAACAATTTATTCAAGTCTGAATATATGGGATAGGTGACAGTAGAGACTATAAAACACAATTGTTAAGGTTTAGATTTTTATGGAGCAGGTTTTTGAGTTTGTATATATGCGCACATTGGAATGAAATGCCGCGGACATTATTCGCTTCTTTCTTTTCAAATTTAAAAATTGACAAAGGACCAAAATGTCTTCTGTTAGAATTATTAAAACTAAACTACAATGGCAATTTGTACGTTTTTGAACGCTTAATGATATTTAGTTTTTAAAGACGTTTTCCTCCTTTGAATAAATAAATTTTTTTTCAAAGACGACTAAAAATTCCTTATTTAAGGCACCGCAGCAATTTATGTCTTATTGCGCAGCCTTCAAAACAACAAAACAATTAAGCCGACCAAAGCAAGGGAAAAGTATTGAGCACCTTACTTGTATAGCGGAGCAAATACATAATTCACATAATAGCGTCCATTTGGGTCCTATTCTTCACCCACCCTTCTATTAATTTTATACATTAATACAACTTCAATCAAAGATTTAAGTATATATTTTCAAAATAAAGTTATTGTAACATACCTATTGCCAGGTCAGGGTGTGTTTTTCAGGAATTTGTCCCTGAAGCCATTTTAACTGCCACTGTCAAAATATTTTTCCATTTAATTAGAACTTAACTAAAAGTCCATCTCCTGAAATTAGTAATGGCATTTCGATTTATAATCTGATTTTCTTAACCTTGAATCTAAGATTTGTCATTAGAATTTCAGATTCTAACCATAAAGTTGTAAAATGTCCATGAACGTACACGTAAAATGGGCAGGAAAGGAGTATGAGGTAAAATAATTAAATTTAATTAATATTCCTTTCAAATTTTTCGTTTGATTAATATTGATAGATTCTGCACCGACTTCGATTATATTTCTTGCAATAGTTATGATCATTCTTCTTTCTTAGATAACCGATGTCGACCCTTCACAAGATGTTCTTGCCCTAAAGGTATATTTTAACTGGTAAATCTGAAAATAATTTGCTCCAATTTTTTCAGTATTTTGCGTTTTTGCAACTTTTTAAAAATTAATTTTTGTGAAACCCCAATATTTAGGTAAAGATCATGAACAAGACTGGAGTAAGACCTGAAAGGCAGAAACTTTTAAACCTGAAGATTAAAGGTATGAATGGAGAGTTAGTTTGGCCGAAAGTTTAAGTTTTACTACTTTATCAAAATGAAAAACACATGTTCTTAATAGGATTCATGGGATAACATGGAGAAAAGAAAAGTTATGTATGATATTTAAAATTGTGATCTTACCTTAAAAAGTAATGTTGTCAAGATTTTACTTTGAACCTTTTCTAGGGAAATGGGGGTTTTTCACGGTTACTTTTATCGAGATTTAATAATAATAAAAATTACATTATCTATATATAAAGTAGTAAACTTTGTTTGTCAGCCTGTTTTTATTTGTTTTTTTTTTTTGTGTGACTGATCAAAACTAAGGAAGTTGACAGAATTAAGGTATTAAGTAGAATCAATGAAACTTTTATCTTTGTTTAAAAGTTTTAAATTGAGAAGGTTAAAATTCATAGAGAAAACTGAGCTTCAAAGCAAAGCTGGGCTTCCCTAGCTGCTCGTACCTAAGATTTAATTGAAGAAACTATATTTTATTTTAAAATTTATTTTAGGAAAAGCAGCTTCTGATGACGCTTTAATTTCGTCTCTCGGCCTAAAACCTAACTTTAAGGTAAAATTACAAATCGTATATTTTGCTTATTACATTTTTATTCCAAAAGTGAGTTTAAAAGCTTAAGAGAAGTTAGAATGATGTTTTGGCATGGAGCGTTTCTAACATAAATGAAAATTGTACCTTGCCAAGAAAATCTAATAACATAGCTAAATTATTTAAGCTTATTTTTATAAAATCTCTAAAATTCCAAGTTCAGTTTAAATTAAATTGGTTAATTTGAATATTTGATGATGTAAAAACAGATTTTTTTAAAATATGAGAATATAAAAATTCTAATTTGTTTTGATGAAAAAAATAATTTTAGATAATGATGATGGGATCCCTGGAGGAATCCATTGTTGAATCACAAACCACCCCTACAGATCTTCCGGAGGTGCAAAAAGAGATTCTAGAGGGGAGGGGTTGGGGGGTTAAAGATATATAAAATACTATACAAAAAAGAATTTTGAAAGAAAAAATTGATTTTTGAAATTTTTTAGCGTAGGTGCACATGGGTTTCCTCAAAAAAATCAGCCCTTTTGGTCTAACCGTTTGACCAGCTATGGTTGATATATAGGGAGACACACGAATGGGGTTTGAAAAAAAATGTTTGGGTGCATAGATTCTATGAGTGATGTGGCCCAATATAGACTAAATGTTGGGGTTTTAAAGGTCTAGTTAGATCAGGGGCGGAACAGTGCATCCTGCTGCCTGGGCGGTCTGGGGGTCCACATTGGGGCCACTTGCAGATTTCACTTCCTTATGATTCCTTATGAGCATTTTGAGAAAATTTTAGGTTGATCGGAGCATTGCATCAGGAGGTAGTTGTTTAGGGCTTTCGGCAAAATCTTGATTTTTGTTGATGATCAATATCCTCCGATCCCAAATTTTCTTTGTGATCCTAGTAGACACAATATGAGGCTGCATGCAAAATTTGAACTTTTAATCTCAATTTTTAGAATCCAATGCAGCCTATACAAAATTTGGTGTTGCAAAGTGTTGGCAAAAACCGTGATTTTTTCCTGAAACTACTTCCACCTAAGTTCATCAAGATAGAGCATAAAATAATTTAGCATTTCAATACTAAGGAATGACATCACCCAGAGGACCTATATGCACTTTTGATTTTATTACTTTACTTCTTCGTGTGTCACCCTAATATATTGTAAAAAAAAATTGAACTTGCAGATTTTTTTAATATATATACTACTTATATATATATAGAGTGAATAAAACTTCAAATCATGTTGTGAATACTTATTTTCTTATAAATATATGTATATTAGCAAAGAGCTTTATTATATAGAAAGATAAAATGGCAAATATATATTTTACTATGTAGGTACATACGGTAAGTTTACATGTTGATTCTAGGGTAGAACTTGACTTCCAATTCCANAATGAAAAATTTAAGCAAAAATTAAGTATCAATGCAAACTTGCAGTAATAAAAAATAAAGAAGTCGCTTTGAAAGAGATGGAAATTTAAACTAATTTTAAGTTTTCTTTTTCAGGTTTTAAATGATTTTGATATAGAAGAGGAGGAGGTGACAATTGAACAAAATGAAAATAATCTCGTCAAAATTGAGAAGAGGGTAATTTTTTTTAATAATTGTAATTGTTATCATTTACATCATTATCATCATAATTATCTACATCATCGTCAACATTATTATTACTTTAAACATCCTTATAATTATTACCATGATACCATCATCATCATCGTCATCGTCATCATCATCATTACTATTATGATTATTATCATCTTCAATATCATCAAAGTTATTATTTTTATCGTTAACATAATCATCATCCTGATTATTATTATAGGCATCGTTATTTATATTAATATTACTATCATCATCAGCATAATCATCATAATTATTTTTTTTTAAAATTTAACCAATTATTACTATTATTATATTTTAATTATCGTTGGTTTACCATTATCATCATCATTATTCTTATTATCATTGTTATTTTATATTTATACTTATTATCATCATCACCATTATCATCTTTATCATCTTTATCTTAATTATCAGAATTATCATAATTATAAATGTTAAAATGATGCGACCAATGTTGAAGGTTCGTGAGTATGAAGTTAAGGTTTTAAATCCCTCTAGAGAGAATAAAAAACTTCTAGTTCTTGATATAGACTACACGCTCTTCGACCACAGGGTAAATTAAATTTTTTCCATTTCTTAGATACTTATTTTTCATTCTCTTCTTCAATCTAAGAACATTCAGTTAGTCATTTATTAAGCTATTAAAACGGTCAGAGTCCGATTTTAATGAATTTGAGCCGCGTCTCAAATCCGCCAAAAACAGGTTTTAATTGAGCGCCGGCTTAAATCTTAAAACATTGAATTTTAAATGGAATCAACCATATTTGAGCCGCGACTCAAATTCAAGCCGCGACTCAAATTCTTATAATTTGATCTCGTAATATAATAGGTTTTTTTTTCGATGTACATGTCTTATTGCAGAACTTTGTTGATCTTGAGAGGGGTAAAGGGAATTCGTTTTTTCAACTTTTGATTGTATTTCTAATAAAAATAAATCAAAATAAAGTCTAAAAACTGAAACTTGATATGGGCAAATGTCATTTTACGAATAATTTAATTAGAATTTACAAAGTTTTTAAAATTGTCTTTGATTATATTTTTATTGTGCGTAGATTTGATAGTCATGATAATAATAATAATGATAATAATGTTGCTAGTCTGTTGCGGAGACTGGTTGGGAGCTAATGCGTCCGTTCCTTCATGAGTTCTTGGAGACTGCATACGAGTACTACGATATCTGTATTTGGTAGGTGGGAAATACAGGGTGTCCCACGAAACATGACAATTTGTGAATAGTTTAGAATGTCTTTTTCCATAATTTGTTATGATGTTTGATGCCTAAGACATTAATAAAGATATTATAATGTGAGTCATATTATAGTAAATTTTATTTCAAAGTAAAATATATTTGAGCAAAAGATTTTTTTAACAAAATAAACTGCAAAAAGCCTTAAATATCTTATACAGTATATGGAAGACGACATTCAGAACTATTTACCAATTGTCATGTTTCGTGGGACACCCCGTAGATTCTGGAGAAGGAAGGGGGGGGGGGGAATAAATTTTCATAGAAACCGTTCCCCGTCCTAAGGGGGGAGGAAGGAATTTTGATGGATAAAAAAACTTAATTGTATTTCAATTTGGAAGCTTTTATGCCACTTATAATTTTTTTCTAGATTTCAACTATTAGTCCATTACAAATATAGATTGAATTAATAATTAAACTTTAAGTCTGCTATTAATATGGAGCACAACGTAACATTCAGGGTATCCCAATAAACATGGGAATTGAGAGACGACTTGAATAAATGACTATCGTCTCAGATTTTTGATTATTGATAAACGGAATAACGTCCATCAAAAAAAGATTGTAAGTCTAATTAGCTTCCCAAAATATGGTTTACCTTTATTGTTGCTTTAAACTTGCTTTGTTGATTTTTAATTAACTGGAATCTGAGCTGAAAACTTTAGAATGGTGGATATCGGGATTAATGCTTAATCCTCTCTTTTTGATAATCTCAAGATTAACATAATCTTGCAAGATTATTTTAAAAGTGTATGAAAAACGATAAAATTCAAATTAATATTTAATCATTTGAGAAACTGTAGCAGCCAATCAGAGAAAAGCGGGCAACCAATGAGAGAACAGAAATATTCTCATTGGTGAAAACAATTAACGGATATCCAAGGAGAGAGAAAAAGAGTGGATTAAGGACTAAAATGAAAAGTTTCCACAGTGGATATTCGGATCAAGAAGTCAGGATTAAAGTTTATCCATTCTAAAGTTTTCAGCTCCGAGCTGAAAACTTTAGAATGGTGGATATCGGGATTAATGCTTAATCCACTCGTTTTCTTAATCTCGAGATTAAATATTGCTTGTTCTCCTCTCATTTTTAATCTCCAGATTAATTATCCGATCAGGATATCCCATTCTAAAGTTTTCAGCTCAGGACACATTTCCTATTACCTACGTCCACTTTTATAAGTAAAAAAACTGGTAGACTACATTTTGGAAATCCCGAGACTTGTAGTTTTCGCTGTTAAATGTTTTAACTTTGACACTCCGAAATTATATATACGAAATAATCCCGCTTGGAACAAAGGCGATATAGAAGCCGTCATTGAATTCCATGTTTATTGGGACACCCTGTACCTGAATTAAAAATGATACTTTGACTGTAGGTTAAATGATGATGATAATAATAATAAAAATGTAATTATAGGTCTGCTACTAATATGGTCTGGATCGAGGAAAAAATGAAGCTGTTGGGCTGCACTACTAATCCCAACTATAAAGTGATACATTTTAAAAATAAACATTTATATAAAATTGTTAATGTTCAAGATACCATCCACGCAAAGATAACAATGTTCGATTTACAAAGGTACCCTTGAACCCTAAATCTGATTAAAAAGAAGAAAGATAGCGTTGTTTTTCTGCTTCGAAAAAAGTCCAACCCACCAAAGAAAATAAACCGTTAAAAGAAACTAAAATATTGATATCTAATTCATGCTTCATCAGACAAAACTTTTAAAGGTACTGTTGCTAACGGGCATGGAGATTGGACGAGGGTCAAGTAAAATTACGCACACAGTCCCTTTAGAGTAATTAATATTAGTTCTTCTTATTATATTTGAAAATGAGAATATTATGTTATAGTTGGCCTTCTATCTGGACTCCAGAGCAATGATCTCCATATCCACTCCTAAATATGGGATTGTAGATGTAAGTATCCGATATAGGTGGAAACTGTTGAACGAGAATCGAAATAAATTTAAGCTTGCATGCGAACTGATATAATTAAATATTTCATTTGATCATTGAGAGATCGCAACATATCTGATTTGGGTTGAACCAAGTGCGGAGAGAGAAAAGGTTTTATTACTGAACTTGTTTAAATTAATTTAAAGTTTTGGAGGAGATTATTGTTAATCAGAAATACGTTTTTAAATATTCAGATAATATAACCACCTTTAAAACAGGTAAAGCGTCATATTTTAAAAATTTGTTCTCAAAATATTAAAATTTACTTTTCCCATAATTTTTTTTTAATTATGATTTTTTTTAGGTGAAACCCCTGGGAGTAATCTGGGGTAAATATCCCCAGTATTCTCCGAAGAACACTATCATGTTTGATGACCTCAGGTGAAAACCAGGAATAAAAAATTAAGAAATCAAAATATATTTTGTTTTTAAGATTCATTATCGAATTTTCTCGAATTATTATTATTATTATTTTTATTACTATTATCAATATTGTTGTTGTTGTTGTTGTTGTTATTACTTATTACTTATTACTTATTACTTATTAAAAATAATTCATTAGCATATGAGCAATGATCATTTAACATGTTTTCGACCACCTCATATTCTAGAATATAAATAAATATCATTTCCAAATATTTAAATTTAAATGACTATTTTAGGAGGAATTTCCTGATGAACCCACAAAATGGGCTTAAGATTAGACCGTTTAGAGAGGTAAACTATTCTTAGAATTTATAGATTTTAACAGCTTCATTTTGTATCAAGAAAAAAGCTAGTAAATTATTTTAGATTATGTTCGTATTGTCGTAGGGAACTTTTTCTTCTCTTCTGTTGGCTGAAAATGTATAATAATATAATAGTACTTGTGGGGAAAATGTAATCAAATGGCTAGTATGGTTTGGTTTTAATGGTTAAAGTTTTTTTCAAAATTATTTGTAAGCTTCTGTAAACTCCGTCAACATTTTTATATTTTCCATGAAAACACAAGTTAAGAAATTAAAAAGGAAGAAAAATTAGTGAACGATTTTTATGAAAAAATTAATGTAAATTAAAGCTGTATGGGAGATGGTAACTTCCACAAAGTTCAAAAATGTGTTCCCTTTGTCTTGGAATGAGCAATAACCAAGTTTAATTTAGGCTCACAGTAACCGGGACAAAGATAAAGAATTGGTCGGATTATCTAAATATCTAACTATCATCGCTAAGGAAACCAAACAAATATTTTAAAAAATGGGATCATTTTGTCAAATTGTTAAAAGGAAGTCACTCAATAAATAAATAAAAGATTATGATTTACTGTAAAATATCGAATATGGAAATCAGTTTATTGAATATTTGTCCTAGTATGTGCGTCCAAAACTATCCAGGGATAAATTAGTTAGATATATATTATATACTTATATACTAGGCTTTTAGGCGCTTCGCGCTCATCTTCTTTTTCAACTTTTAATTGTGGCCTTATCTATGAGCATCTTCTCTTATTACATTATAAAAAAAGTTTGCGGATTTCATAATATTTTTTCGTGCATTTTCAAAATTTTTCTAAAATTAAAAACTTTTAACACTTTTTAATTTTAATAATTTATTTTAATTAATTTTACAATATTTTTAAAGGGGATGGTGGAGTTGGCACATTTGATGTAGGGGGGGGGGGGCTGCCTTCATTTTTGGTTCAAATCTTCCAATTTTTTGGGTGCACGCCTAACTAGTGTTCGAAATTCCTATAATAAATTAAAATTGAANAGGGTCTCTTGTTTCCGTTTTTTGCAATATTTTGTTCAAACCGTCTTTTAGCCGACCTAACTGCTTTTTTACAGGCCTTTTCTGTTTTTTTATAATTTTCGTAGTTCTGTCGAGTCCTATCCGCTTGATATGTATTGTAGTGTCTTTGTTTCTGCCTAACAATACGTTTAACCTGTTTTGTCATCCACTGATGATTGTTGGATTTGCGTCTTCTTATTTTAGGTATAAAACAATTTTGATATGCATTAAGCCATAGTTGAAATATTTTCTATTTGTGGAGGTCATTAGAGGTCATTAGAGGTCATTAAAGTTCAATTTTATTTTATTATAGGAATTTCGAACCCTAGCTAGGCGTGCACCCAAAAAATTGGAAGATTTGAACCAAAAATGAAGGCAGGGCCCCCCCCCCCCTACATCAAATGTGCCAACTCCACCATCCCCTTTCAATATGATATCAGATAGAAACTTTTAAACACTAATTTTTAAACTTTTGATCATTCATAAACCTTCCCTGGGTCACGTGAGGTCCCACACAAAATTTGGTGCCAATCGGTTCAGCCGTTTTGACGTTTATGGATACAAAAAAAAACAGACATACAGACAAGCTAAATTTACATCCCTAGATCGGAACTCATGTATTGTGGAATGAGGATATTGAGATCAATGCTTGATTTCAATTTTTTGTTAACCTGCAGTTAAAGTTAATCCGATATCCCGCCTGGTATCTGGTGAGGAATAACTAAAATGAAGATATGGAAAGGTAGCTTTTATTAATCCTTAAATTTAAAGTGTCCACAATGGAGATCGAGATTAAGCGATTGGGAGTTTGAGTTTCCAGTTCCTGACGTTCCTAAATATATGTTAAAATGTTTGGTTTGGTTTAGCACGAGGACCTGAGTACTCTACGGCATAGTAGATGGGAACGATATATTGAGAAATAGATCACCAACAGCGGATAAATGGTTTGAGACTGTTAACAGCGTAATTTCAAATGAACCTCTATTTCCGATTTACAACGGTACCAATGATACCTGAATCTGAGTATAAGTTGTTGTTCTGAGTAGAAAAGTGTTGTAACTCTGATAAAATCACCGTTCTTTCTTCCTTATAAATAAGGTTTAAAGGTACCTTCGTGAATCAGACATTTATAAATAGAGGGACACTTGAAAGATTACATTATTACTCCTCAAACCGGAACTTAGAAATATGAGTGTGATTTTGCACCATCACGCCCTGGCAAATATTTATTTTCATCTGCAAAAAGAAGTTGTTAAATGATTTTTCATCTAGTTAATTACAGTTGAACAATCCCTTGGAGTGAGGTGAAGTGTTAGACAAATTATTTATTTCATGGCTCAATTCATTTTTATTTATTATGATACTATGCTATTCATCTTCAATTTCGATTGTGAACATGTTCTCTTTGTGAACATTGTAAAACAAAAACAAACAAAAGTTTCGCGGTTTTATAAAAAAAATTTAGTAGATTTTCAAAATTTTCAAAAATTAAATTTTGATGGAGGCAAATTTTTGAAAATTCGATCATCCGTAAACCTTCCCTGGGTTTACGCGAGGTCCCACTAAAAATTTGGTCCCGATCGGTTTAGCCGTTTTGTAGTTACAGTTAATTTTAATCTACACTGCATTTACGTCGGCTCGATTAAGTATAACCCAACCTTGTAAAGATCAAAATTTGGAAAGATTTTCTCACAGAAAAACAAAGATAGAACATAACTGTCAAAGTTTTGAAACTTATAATGACTATGAATGAATATAGTTCATAATGACCTTGAAGCTTAAAACCTGTCTTTCAGTCCAACATTGTCAACAATGCACTTAATCCGACTTAAAAGGTTTTTTTATTCTAAAGTTTAAAAGGTTATACATAACAATATACCAGAATATCTGGCCATTGCTCTTTCACCTTTCCAATAACTTAAATACATTTGTTACTGTTATTAGTAAACGAAAATTCTTACTCCATTGAATTCTGTTTTTCCCGCCATGTTAAACCATAATTCAAAACTATGTTAAATCATTGCGTCTGGATAATACTCAGTCAGGGTTGTGATAAAATTATCTGATAATTTTTTATTTTTATAAATTTTCAAAGGTTTACATTTCTATAAACCTTAAACAATTTAACATTCTTAAAATCTTAATAAAAATATTTTGTTGTAAATTTTAGTTTTTTTTATTCGTCTTTCAGTGCATCAGCTACCTCCTTCTGCATGTCCTAAATAGAGGGTAAAAAAAAATTTCTTCAGAACGTATATTTTGTCTTTTAAAATTTTAGTGTAATTTTGCTTGAAAACCCTCGCCTACCCCTCTTATAAGATCAATATAAAGTAATAAATAAAAAGAAATATACTTTGTTCAAAGGTCTGGGATATGATCTAGAAAATTGATTTTTTTCACTATTGTGTTTGTAATATTTGTTAGGAGTTTTAAATTTAAGTTCTGAATTTGGACAGATAAATAATTAAAGGCGGAAATAAATGCATTTTCGGGTGAAAATTTTTGAAGGAGAAAAAAATTCAAAAAATTCTCCTGGGGTAGTATGCAATTTTGAAAAATTTAAATCCCTGTCAAAGGCTCAGAGAAATCAAAGATAATTGTTAGACAAACCTGAATTTGTTCGACAATACCCAGCAGCTCCATTCCTAGTTTATCATCCAGAGCAGCTTCTTGGACCTAGTCAAACATAATCCTAATTCAAGAGATTTTTATCCAAAGCAGCTTCTTGGACCTAGTCAAACAAAATCCTAATTCTAGGGAATATTATCCAGAGAAGCTTCTTGGACCTAGTCAAATATATTCCTAATTCAAGGGAATATTATCCAGAACAGCCTCTTGGACCTAGTCAAATATATTCCTAATTCAAGGGATTATTATCCAAAGCAACTTTTCAGACCATTCAAACATAATCCTAATTCTAAGGATTATTATCCTGAGCAGCTTCTTGGACCTAGTCAAATATAACCCTAATTCAAGGGATTAATACCCAGGGTAGCTTCTTGGACCTAGTCAAATATAATCCTAATTCAAGGGATTAATACCCAGGGTAGCTTTTTGGACCTAGTCAAATATAATCCTAATTCAAGGGATTAATATCCAGGGTAGCTCTTTAGACCTAGTCAAATATAATCCTAATTCAAGGGATTAATATCCAGGGTAGCTCTTTAGACCTAGTCAAATATAATCCTAATTCAAGGGATTATTATCCAGAGCAGCTTCTTGGACATAGTCAAATATAAGCCTAATTCCAGGGATTATTATCCAGAGCAGCCTCTTTGACCTAGTTAAATATAATCCTAATTCAAGGGATTTTTATCCAGAGCAGCTTCTTTGACCTAGTCAAATATAATCCTAATTTTAGGGATTATTTAAAACAGCTTCTTGGACCTAGTCAAACATAATCCTAATTTAATGGATTATTATCTAGTGCAGCTTCTTGGACCTAGTCAAACATATTCCTAATCTATATGATTATTATCCAGTTGAGCTTCTTGGTCCTAGTCAAATTTAGTCTTAATTCAAGACATTATTATCCAGAACACTTCTTGGACGAGGTCAATAGAGATGATTAATTTATGACTTTTTTATCTGCCAACTGCGCACTGGGGGTTTTTGCATTAAGACCCAAAAAAATAATGTGATAAAAAAATGTTTTCAAATCGTCCATATGGTTGCAAGCAATCCGACAATTTTACCTACCCTGCTAGCCACTAAATCATCGTCTTGTCCTGTTTCTCCGCCTTCTTTTGCTCCTGTTTCTGCTGCTTTACCTGTTTCCCCTTCTCCTGCGCCTATTCCTGTTTCCTCCATCTGAAAAAAGGGGATTGAATTCTGAAATAAAAACTCATTATGTTGTAATCCTAAGAAGAAAAAAATTGAATTCCTAGGGGAGAAAGAAAACATTAGTAACTTTAAAAGGATATTCCTAGGGGAATTTTGATGACAGGGCAACCTGCTCTAAAAGTTGCATGATCCAAGCCGGTACAACATGTACCGTACACGCATGCAGTTGTACTGTCCAGTTTGGACTAGCTATTGTAAAGTTGGCCCAGCTGGTTTCATGCAGCAAATGTAGCCTGGCAAGATCACTGTAAGGGAAAGGGAGAAACACCTGAAGGCGAAACAGAATAGTATCAAAATCGAGGTTCATCAAGCAAGAACTATGATCTAAGATTTGCTAATTATGACACCAAAATTGATCAAAATTTTGCCAAATACTCCCATAAAAATCGAGATGGAACCAGCCCCATGAAGTAGTATATATTTTTAGGAAGGTTCAAATAGTTATGCGTAAACTTGACTGTTTAGACCTTTTTGTTGGGCAAAATTACAAAATTTCAAAAAAAATAAAGGGAGTGTTCGCCAAAAAAAATTTCATGTATTTTTCATGATCTGAGATTCACTTTTGAAAACATTTATTCCTGTTTCGAGGATTTTTGAAAATTAAGACGAAATTTTCATATTTTCCAGGAATGTTCGAAAATCCAGCGCCAGAGAAAATTATTTTATCAAAAATATTATGAATTATTAACTAAAACGAATGCGTCGAAAAATCATCGATGATTATTGTTTGTAATATCTGAATGATTTGTTTGGAATTAAATTGATTTGCTTACGATCCGAGTTGAATGTTGCATCTTTCTGAATTTTTATGGACGCTGCGTTCTTCGGTGTGAGTCGTTTTTAACAATTTTCTCCTTATTGACGCAACAGATAGAAGTAGGATTAGTAGCGATCAAAAGAGCTTTTTTATCGCATTTAGCCTATACCCCCTTTCATTTTTAGCGAACACTCCCTTTAAGGGCTCGAGATAAAGTAGGAAAAGTATGTTTCAAACGGAAAGAAATGAATATGAAAGGATGGAGGAAGGGGGTAGAAAAATATGTTGTAAGTGGAAAGATATGTAGACATTAAGTATGATTTACCACTGAATGGGCAGACATCACAGCATCTGCTGTATCCTAGAAATTAATAAAGATTTGGAAGTTATAATTATACCCATTAGAAGGTAAAATGGTTGTTGGCTAGTGGCTACCCTCTAAACTGGACTATTGTCGTATTCTAAAGTGACGCTCTGTTTAAAGAGCTAGAAATATGTTAAATTCTGACAATTCCTACATTGTTTTCCTGCTACAGAAATGCACACGTCACTTTTACAGAGAAACAATATAAACATGGATTTCTTATTCATACTGGATCAGACAATGCTTTTAGGGGAACCAATGTGAATTGAACATGGCACTCTATAAATGCAGGGTCACTACTGATACTTTCATACAATTGTAAAGCGTTGATTTTCAATAAAAATAGGATATAACTGACTGTGGAATATATCTTTTGGCAACAGGGCATATTCAATTCTTTATACAAATACTGTGTATTAAAAATTACTTAAGATTTGAATTTTTTGTAAATAAAGACAAATTGTCTTTTCTGTTTTTTATTTTTGATGATGAAGATTTAGTGTTTCACTTCTAAAACTGAAAAAAATACTTGAAAATGCAATAAATATCAAATAATGATGACAATTTGAAACTTCATTTACCACTAAATATGACAAATTGGTGAGTCTGAAAATTTTAGGATAACTTATTTAAATTTTTTAATTGAAGTCGCGTTTAGGCATTTTTAGCTTCACTTAAAGTTTTTATGTTTTTAAACCGTTGAAGCAAGCTGGTTGATAGATCGAAGTATTGGTTGATTAAGTAATTGATTGATTTATTGATTAACTGACTAGCCATTACCCCCGGTTTTTCAAGTCGACCCTCCTCGCTCTCAGGGTTTGTAGTTTTTCCAACCCGGAACGGTGCAACCTCCTGTGGTTCTTCCTGTATCAGATAAGGTTGGACATAATCTCTGTATTTCTTTTTAAACATTTTTTTGGCATTCAAGAGGTTCTACATTCAGTTTGTTTGTGTTTGCAACGTTTTAATGCAAGATATTGACCAAACAAATGACAACAATTATTGTTTTAATGCAAGATATTGACCAAACAAATGACAACAATTATTGTTTTAATGCAAGATATTGACCAAACAAATGACAACAATTATTGTTTTAATGCAAGATATTTGACTAAACAAATGACAACAATTATTGTTTTAATGCAAGATATTTGACCAAACAAACGACAACAATTATTGTTTTGAGGTAAAAAAATGTTTGATTTTATTTTGTTCTTCTGCGATGGTGATAGAGCTGTTTTAACAAAGATCCCTTGCAGTTTAAAGGGTTTAATCAAGGAACCATTTAAAGGGCCTAATTTTTTCTTGATTATTAATATGTATACTACCTATAAGGATATAATATGAAGAAAAATAAAATATTTTCATTATATCCAACATTTTAACCTGAACCCGAGATGAACTAAGTAATCTGTTGATATCATCAGGTTTAGTAACTTCCCCTAAAAATAGAATTTATTTGTTCAATAAATAAATGCAAGGGGCAATGATTTAGAAATTGCAGGTTTAGAACAACAAATAATATTATTAAGGAAGAGAATTGTGGCTAAAATATTGAGTTTAAAAATTGACCTACTGCTTGTAATGAAGGGAAATAGCTTGGTTAAAAAATTTTTTGAAGATTTTTAGATTTTGGTAAAGACAACACACAATACACTGAACTTCCAACATTGCTTTTATTTAACTTTGCAACAGTGTTTTTATCCCAAGAAAAAAACGATAAATCTTGGATCGTTTTTTGCATATATTTTTCTCAGGGTCAACATTTGGCACAGGGAAAGAAAAGTAAATATTTGGAATAAATAATTATGATATTTGTATACATTCTCAGATGTGTGTAACGAGCGGGGGAAGGAGGCGGCCATGAGCCACCACTATTTCCCCTTCCGTGCCACATATTAGCATTTTTCTCTTCCGGCAGCCATTAGCCACCACTATTTCCCCTTCCGTACCACCACATTTGACTCTTCTGGGCAAAACTACTTTTTTAAATGGTATATTTAGGGCCTTTAAAGTGTGATTTTAAAAAATACAGCCGCGTCACGCAAAAATGCACAACTCAAACCATTTTTTCAATTCTACTTAAGATTAATATTTTGTGTGTTGAATTCTTAAACCGTTTTACAATGAAATTTTTGACAAATTTGACTGAGTATTGCATCTTGAAATACCACAAGGTTGGTTAATGAGTGATTTTAAGATGGATTTAGTAAAATGAGTCAGTAATTGAATAATCATTAGACTTTGTGATATTACAAGATGCAAAATCTTACTGTTTCATCATGGAATGCATACAATCACTTCTTATACCTTTACTTGCCTTGAACAGGGGATGAAAGAGGAAGTTTCTCCGCCAGGACTTCTTCAAGCTTGGATAGATCTGTTAAGTCTTTAGAACAATTCATATAATAACCTCTGTTACGGTGAACCATGAAATAAGAACGCTCTCGCGCCAAAAAAAAACTAACATGCAATTACACCTTAATTTAAAGCAGAAGCTAGTAACTTGTGTACTAAAGTTTAATAATGTCCAAGACTCGAAAAAACCATACTCATGAAATTTGATGAACACATTTCAAACTTGTTTTGATCTCTGTGCTGTGTGTATGTTACTTTCGTTGAAAAGATTTTGGTAGGTTAATTATATCGTTCCTAGCTGATCTCGTGTCTCACTTACTCCATTAGAAACTACTCCAGCGGGTGGGACACTTGGAGGTGCAGCTGGTATCGCACCATTTGCTGCCGCAGCAGACTCAGCTGGGGCTGGGGCTGGTGGAGTAGGTGCTGGAACTGAAGCTGCTGCTGGTGCCACTAATCCTGGTGCTGCTACTGGAGCAGCAGGGGTAGGTGGAAGTGCAGGCTGAGCGCCTACTCCAACTGGAGCTGGAACAGATTGCTCTCAAGGCCCAGCAATATTCAAAGAAATCGATTATTTTTCGAACATGTTTTGGTTTACTCAAAGAAAAATGTTCTGATGCAAAAAAGTTATTTTGCATCAGGAGGGAATGCATAAATATCGATATGGGTAAAGTCTGGCTGTAATCACTATTTTGAACTCTATTTATAGTTTTAATTAAATTAATAACAAATTCTGGTTTGGGAAATGCAGAAAATTAAATGTTTAAAAAGTAAAATGTTAAACACGAAAAGGCATTAAATATTGAATTAACTAAACTATCACTTTTTTGTGAAATAATGCTGACCAGTTGACAGCATTCCTGAACTTGCCGGGACAGGAAGAGGGGCTGCAGCAGCAGGGGGTAGAGGAGGAGGAGGGACTCCTCCTGGTACAACGGGGCTTTCTTGCCCTGAAACTATTGTGATCAATGATTTGTGCACAGTGGAAATTAATGTGTTTTTTATTAGATTCTGAATCAGTTCAAATCAACATATCTACAGGAAAAAGGAAACGAAAGGATGTCGCTGAAATAATCTTAGAATGAGTCGTCAATCATCTTTACTAACTATGTGATATGCAAATATTTTTCTGATTTTTTGCACTTTCTCATTATCAGTAGAATTTCTCTTTGACTTTTATTACAGAGCCATCTGAAGTGCCCAGCGTTGCCAGTAAAATTTTTTTAAAAAGTCTATTTAAAAATCAAATTTCTTTAGCCTATGTTACTGATTACTCCCGGAATACCCACGGTTTCCCTAAAAAAAGTATCACAATTTGGTCCGGCCGTTTTGCCAGCTATAAGCTAACATATGAATATATATACAAAAATGAGAAAAACGCTTTTTTATAAAAATTTTAAACATTTTTGTTTTTAAGCTTAAAAATCAAGAGAAAAAGTTAGATGACGGAACTGCTAAATAATTGTGTATTTTGCATTATTTCATTGATCAATGAACATTGAAAAACATACATATGATGGACATGCTATTTTCTGAACATTGTAACATGACCTTTCAGCTGAATACAGGGTTATCTTCTAATCATGAAAACTTAGTTTTTTGTGTTTATTTGGCGATTTTTTAAGAATCAAAATAAAAATATTATTTTACATTTTTATTTTTAGAAAAATGAGACAAATGAACCAAAATTTACTTATTTTTTAATAAAAAATAAATTTAGACGTGTGCTGCAGTTTGTAAGAAAAATTTTAGAGTAAACTGTACTGCAATTTACAGGACAAAAAATAAAAGTGTACTACAGTTTGTAGGAAGACATGAAGTGCTGCAGTTTGTAAATTGTTAGAGGTAAAAAAATGTGTATCGCATTTTGTAGGGGGTAAAAAAATAAGTGGAGTTTGTAAGAAAAAGTAAAAAGTGTACTGCAGTTTTTATAAGGTAAAAATAAAAATTGCAGGAGGAAAAGTTTAACTATGTACTGCAGTTTGTAGGGAGAAATAAAGTGTACTGCAGTTTGTAGGGAGAAATAAAGTGTACTGCAGTTTGTAGAAGGAAAAAATGTGTTCTGCAAAGTGTACAGTGAGAACCAGAAAACTGTGGAATAGGAAGACAACATGAAAGCAATTATGTGTATGTAATGTTACTAAGCGAATAGTTTTACTGGTAACTTATAAATCACTTATTAAGTTAAATGGGTCTGCTTACATGTTTAGTGTAAAAGTTGTCTTCCTATTTGTTAGAAGTTTAATGGTTCTCACTGTACGTCAGTTTCTGGGGGAAACAAGTGTACTGGATTAACTGGATCGAGTTTTAATTGGAAAAATAGAAAATAAAATCTTATTTATTTTTTTTCAATATTATTTTTTAAAATCAATCTTTAAAAATTTAAGCAGAGAACGTTATAGAAATCCAAAATGTTTGAAATATTTGCGATATTTCACAATCAGAAAAAAAGCGCGGCATTTTATCAGATTTCTATCCAAGCATTTGGTATGAAAATTTTTACAAAATTGAATTTTTTAATGTTTTATTATTTGTTTACCTGAGACTGTGGCAAGTAGCAATGCTAAAAAATATATATATTGTTGTTAATGATTGTCTAATTTTGAATGCAACTATATAGGAATTTTTTTTAAATCAACTATAATTAATTAGGGTTTTTTGTAAATTTCTAACCTCGAAGGTTTATTTTACAGGGTGAAAGTTTTATGCCGGCCTATAAGTTCATAATTCCATTTAAATACAATGATTTAAGACTAAAAAAGCTCCTTGATTGAGAAAACATAGTCGTCACTAATTCGTACGATTCATGTTACAGCATGAATTATAATCATTGTGTCAATAAATGTTATGTAAACGAATAAAGAAACGCGCATGAGAAAAAGAAGTTAGAAAGAATAAAATCTGTACATTGTGGCTAACCCTGTAACGATCCAAATTTGCTGATGTACTTCACATTGACTCCAGAGACGGTTTATGGAAAGGTTATAACGCAAGGAAAGTTATTTCAGAGGTGTACGCATCTTTTGTACTGCAGTGTACTGTCTCTGGGCGGTATTGTAAAACACAAGACGAATGTCGAAGTCTGACATGGGATCCATCTTTTATTTAAAAAATCAATGAAATATTCTGGACATAGGAAACTATTATAATAATTATCTAAATTATTAAAATGTAATGCTTTTAACCTCCTCGGGTTCTAAACGAACACAGATGCATCTATTCTTGTTTACAAATTCCGCCCAGAGAGAACCATGGTTTCAATATGTACGCAGAGTATACGCAACTGCAATTAACTTTCCTTGCATTATAACCTTGGTTTATGGCAGGTCCAATTATAAAAAACATCAAAAATCCGTGAAAAGCTTTATTTTATGATAAACGAAGAAAAAATGTTGACCTGAAAAGCAACATTTGAAAGCTAACATTTCTTAAATAAAGTTATGACGCGAAGTGCCCTAAATGCCTTCTTTAAACATTTTTCAATATACATATTATCCCTGACGAGAGCAGTGTCCAGAAGCTTCCCATCTTTCACTCAAACTACCTTGTAAACTGATACTACAGCTAGGGGTCCACCAACATTTTTTATATTGATATCGGAAAATTTTAACAAGAAAAATCTTAAATTTTCCACTTTGATTTTGGAGTTTACTAAAAACAAATTTTCTAAAATTTCCTTTAGGATTTGACAGTACAACTCTTATTTATTTATTTTTTTGGATAGAATTAACCAAACAAAAATGCAACAAAGCGAAGTATAGTTTAGTAACAATTGAAAATTGACTTAAAATAATAATTTGAAAAAATTCGATGGAAAAATATTTTGCATCGATTTTTTTGCCATCTTGCATTTTGCATTTAGTATTGAAAAATTATAGATACAGAGTGTCCCAACAAACATGGGAAATAAATGACGACTTTTAGATCGTCTTTGTGCTATTAAAGGGACAGTAAGCGTAATTTCAAGTGACTCCCCATGCAAAGATTACAATCCCCTTTTGGAACGATACCCTTGAAACCATAATCTGATAAAAAACTGTGGAAGATATTGTCGTTTTCCTGACTCGGAAAGTGTTTATTTCTGTGAGTTTCTATATAGCTTTAATTATAAACAAGAAATGCGCAAGTCACTTTCGTAGAGAAACCATAAATGAAAATAAACAGTCTAAGGAAACAAAAATATATCTAATTCATACTTGATCAGAAAAGGATTTCAAGGGTACCTTTGTAAATCGGGCATTGTCATCCGTACAGTTAAAATTACGCTTGCAGTCTCTTTAACAAGGAATTTTTCAACATCTATTGCAGAAATCCATATGTAACAGTTTTTTGAAAATCTCGTATCTGAGGATTTCCTAAATGTGGCCTGGGCCATTTTTCTACTATTAATTTTTACAATCAAAATTATCTAATCTATTTTATCTATGTAGAGAACATTTGTAAATCAGAATTTACGATCTGCAGGTCGCCTCTAGCTTAGGGCGCATGTTTTATTAGACATCCTGTACATGAAATGTATTCTAAAGGATTTGAACTGAAACTAAACCTTGATTATAAAAAGTAGTAAATAATCTACAGCCTTGAATATTTCTTCATAAATTTAGATTTTTCAAACTGAATTTTGTTTTGCAAGTCGGAATCCTTGAACATTGACTATCGGTCAAAATCTTTTAAGATTAAACGATCATTAATTGATCGTTAAACAATATTCACCGCAGTCTAAAAGTTGCATTCAGTCGCACCGTCCAGTCAGGCTACCCAGTGTAGAGACGACCCAGCACGTTATATGCAAGAACAAATGCAGCCTGGCAAGATCACAGTGTATTTGGTTCCATGCAGAATACAGATAAAACAAATGAGATATATAGGTTTATGTACATCTTGAAAAAACAGTTAGGGCTAGATAAATATTTTAGAACAATATGCACTATGCACCATGGTGAGAACATAAAAAAAAACAGTGGAATATGGAGATGACATTGAAGCAACATTTAAGTGTATTTGATACAGTTACAGTGTAAATAGATTTACTATAGTATGCTTGAAATCAATTATCAAGGACACACCATACAATTACTGTGTTTAATTAATATTCATCATCAACTATTTAAAATCAAAAACTAAAAAATCTAAAAACATCTTCTTATTTTACAGTTTTATGGTCATCGTTGTATGTATATCTGAAAAAGAAAAAAAGTAAAACATCCATCCGATAGCAAACCTTTGTTTTACGAATTACTCTGTAAATAATCAAAAGTTTCGATTTGTCCACGTAAAATATCAATGTTTTCCTAACGGAATGTGTATGCTAAAGAAATAGATAAGGCTTCATCTGTACATTTTGTTACGTCCGTGCTTAAAGGGACTGTGAAGGTAAAATAAATGGAGGTCAATAGGATGAAACCTGAGAATCTCGGGCGTTGAAGGATAAATATCTGATGTTCCTGTCTCGAGAAATTGATAAAAAACTGTGTCTAAACTATACGAAAATTCATATATATACTATTTTGTATAAAAGTAGTAGTTTTAAACAGATCATATTAAGCAAATACGCAGTCAATCTGAAAACAATTATATTCCACAGAAGCCTGTGAATCTCAGGTTTGCTTTTATTTAAATTTTTAAATTTGTATTTTGTATTTTAATAGATATAATTGATAATACTATTTCATATAGTCCGTAAAGTCCGTATTACGTCACCAGAACTTCAGCCAAAGGCAGTGCAGTATCGTTGTGACCATGCCCGATTTACAATGGTATCTACCCTCTATGCAAAGGTGACAATGTCCGATTTACAATTGTATCTACCATCTATGCAAAGGTGACAATGTCCGATTTACAATGGTATCTACCATCTATGCAAAGGTGACAATGTCCGATTTACAATGGTATCTACCCTCTATGCAAAGGTGACAATGTCCGATTTACAATGGTATCTACCATCTATGCAAAGGTGACAATGTCCGATTTACAATGGTATCTACCCTCTATGCAAAGGTGACAATGTCCGATTTACAATGGTATCTACCATCTATGCAAAGGTGACCATGCCCGATTTACAAATTTACAGAGAAACCGCAAATGAAAATAATTAATTTAAAGATACAAAAATATGATTATCTATTTCATATTTGATCAGATAAAGCTTTTAAGGGTACCGATATAAATTTGGCTTCAGGGGCGGCTTATGACATTTTCCAGGGGGGAATGATTAAATTATTGTGCACGAAGCACACCGAATTTGTTATCTTGACCTTTTAGTCTAGTGGAGTGTACAAAAATGGTGGAAGGACAGGGAATAAAGAAACCGTAATAAAATACCTCTTTTCTGAATATTGCGGGGGGGGGGTTTAACTTGACCTTAATTTGGTTCATTACGTTGGCACTGCTTTATTTATAACGGTACCCTTTTAACCATTGACGGATCATCGATGCCAGAGAACTATGTGCATTTATCTCTCAAATTGTGTTCGCTTTATCCTAAAATTGGAGTGTACGCTAGTCAGTCAAGGGTCTAAAGGGCACTGTTGTGAATCGGATACCCTACTGTTTAAATGGTGGCCGGTGGGTCACTTGAAATTACGCCTGCAGTCCCTTTAAATAGATAAGTTTTTCAAAAAGCAAAGATATGATATTATATAATTAACATTATTTCATATATTGACATCAAAATTTCATAATCAGAGGCGAGGGGGTATTTGTTTATACTTTTCATAATTTTTTGTGTCCTAAATATTATGAAATTTCTTTGTCTTTTTTTTCTTTTTTTTTATCGCCAAAAGTTCATATTTTCTATTGACAAAACAAACAATCATGTTTCATTGCAATAAATCTTATCTTTAAAACTTTATTTTATGCTAGTTTTATTATTTTTATTCAGTTCATCAAAATGTTTCGCCTTCACTGCCTACTTCTGCTGATTACAGTCGGTAATTCAAAATAAACTGTAAACGGTCATGGCTCGATCTATAGCAAAAAAAATAAAACTTGCTATATTTTTTTGGATAGTTGATACCCATGCTTAATCATGTATGTATACATACGTACTACGTAGCTATAAGTAACATTTTAAAAACCTAACACTTTTTGGATTTTTGCAAACACTCCCTTTTGAGATATGGCCATAATCGATTCAAATGAGATCCTTATTATAATATCCTAGAACGCAAATCGATAAATTATGCTGAGATTAACTTTGAACGTCAATTTCAAGCAGCACTGGTAAACAAGCCTATCAAAAGTGTGATATTGTATCTTCTAATACCTAGGGTTGAACAAAGTTCTATTAAAAAACGGAGGTTTTCGAAAATAAACGGAGGAGTCCGTTAAAGAATTGGCAAAACCCGTTAATTTTTAAATCCTTAAAGAAACGGACTATACGCGTTTGAAAGAAAAAATAACGATTAAAAACGAAAACGTAATATTTTTTTATTAAAAGGTGAATTTTGTTTTTTTCAGCTAAAAATTGCAAGAAACTTTTAAATAATTACATTTTATGCGTTTTGATGCTTTTAATGTCATCCTTAGTGTTCGCTCTCTTAATATCTATAATAGACCGTTAACGGCTGAAGCCTGAGCACTAACGATTTCATTATCTATAAACAAAAAATTTCAATAACGGTTCCTTTTAACGGCTGAAGTCAAATGGTTGTTAAAAATTTTCCTTTAACGCCGTTAATAAAATTTAGATTGTTAACTATAACTAACAGTAACTTAAAAAAACGGAAAATACCATTAACGAAATGTAGTTTTGTTCTAAAACTAACGCGTCCCTGAAATTTTATTCTAAAAACTGATGGAACTAACCATTAACGAAACGGTTTAAACAATTTGGAACGTGCCAGCCCAGCCCTACTCATACAATACTGACCAAAAAATATACTTTACGTATATGCAATCATTGAATCATGGTTTAATACTTGAATTCTATCATATGTTTCTTTTAAATGGCTGAAACATATTGAATTTTTTTAAACTTAAGATAAAGAGGAAAGAGAGACGCTTGTGTCATAATCTGATTACAGTTTATCCCACAGCCTATTTTTTCAAACAATCCTAAAAAATTGTTTTAAAAAACTAATATTTCTGATCAGGAGGACTGCATGCAGGTATTGAGATATCAAGAGAAAAATGTCAATGGAGAGGAGCATTCTACGGAGACTTCAGCAAGTAGAAACTAGTTTTCATTTTTCAAATCAAAAAAGTTCAAAGGCTTTGCAAAGAATTGATGTTAAAATAATCACAGCTGTTTTTGTCCAAAAATAATTTGTTCATTATTGCAAAATTTTGTTTTAAAAAATTGTTTATACCAATAATTACCTTGAATTATCATATAGAAAGTTCAAAGTTAAAAAGTGTATAAAACGAAAATTGAATATTTTCATAGAACTTATAATTTTTTTGCCATCACTCAACAGGGATAATTTGAACTATAAGGAAGTTGTTGTATTTTGCTTAAACTTCCCTCTATAATAGTTCGTAGAATTTATAAAACTGTGGAGTAGGAAGACGATATTAAAGTAATCTTGCGTAAACACAAGACGGATGTCACAGCCTGACATGACATCTTTCACATAAAAAATCAATGAAATATTCTGGCCATAGGATTTAGGAAACTATTATGTGAATTATCAAAATTTTTAAAATGCAATGCTTTTATCCGCCTCGGGTTCTAAACGAACACTGATGCATCTATTCTTGTTTACAAATTCCGCCCAGAGAGAACTGGTTTCAATATATACGCAGAGTATACGCAACTGCAATCAACTTTCCTTGCATTATAGCCTTTACAGTTCTATCAATATTCCAGAAAGTAGTGACTGTCGATCCCAATTAGTACCATTAAACATAGTTTGTTAGCCTTTTTTTAACTCTTTTGCCGGCATATACATTTGAAAAGAAAAGTATAAAACAATCAATTCCGTAAATTTAAAGATTGTTTAATTATGATTTGAAAAAGAAGAGACCGATTACCTCTAATTCTAGTTAGTCTTGGGTGAAATGTGTCTGTAAACACTGTACAATGCTATGATTCAGAATCATTACGCTATCAAAACTTATGAACGCTCTTAATCTATTCTATTCTATAAGCCTTTAGGCCCCTCTGCACATGATTTTCTCTATGATTAGATGTGACGGGGACGAGATAACGGTTGGAGCTTGTGGATCTGGGAAAAGTTCAGACTGTGGAGGTTTGTTAATGCATGTTATTCAGTAACACAAAAAGAAAGATATTCAGCATTTTGTCATTCAATTTTTCTAAAGGAAAGAAAAATCTTTATTTTTAAGAACAATTTGTTTTATTTTTTATTTTTGATTATTTGATAGCTATTGTTTTTTTTTATTGGTGATTGGGACGTCATAGAAAGACATTTTATAAGATGGACATTTCAAGATATGAAATTTTAAACCTGGATTCAAGAAAGATAATTTTGGAAAAAGAAAATGATTTACCTTATCTATGAAATTTGTGTCAATAAGTAGTTCTTCATATTGGGCAGTGTGCTTATGGGAGACGGTTTGAGGATGCTTGGACCGGTCTCATTTTGTACCAAACTGCACAAACTGTCTCCTTAAGCACAAGTGAACCAGTCCCATAACTTGTGACGTCATTTATGGATTTTAAATGTCTATTGCTTTGGAGACGACATTTCCTGTACTTTGGAGCGCATCGAGAGTAGGCAACCTTACTATAAACCTTGGTCCAGTCTATGGAATACCTTTCTTTAATATATCCCTAGTCTGAATACAAAAAACCTTATTTTTAGAAAACATGTGGACTTCAGTTTATTGTTGTGCCTTTGAAGGATTCTACTATGGAAACTGTGAGGTACCCTGATAGAAAATCTATGCAAAAAACGAACCAAAAAGGAACCAAAACCAATATGTTTACAAAAACCACAAGATATAATTTCCCGGATTACAACATCCTTGTCTGCAGGGACGTTTTTGAGCGGCAAGATATTTCCAGCTCTTGAAATGCTACTTATATTTTTAAATAAACAAACAATATCCCTTTAATGATATCTTTTTTTTAGTTGCAATCCAGCGTTGAGTATGGAGTACCTTTATCCTGTATTGAAGACAATGTTTCCGCTCATATAGCTGAGGCAATGTGCGGGTCTGGAACTCGCCAAGATTGTCAAGGATATAGCCATCGGACAGAGTGCTGCGAAGGACATGTCAACGGTAGAGTACATTAAATGGTCTGTTCACAATATAATAAAAGGGAGTGTAGGATGAAATTATTGTGAATTAATTGCATGATAGAACTTGTATTTATATTCTTATTGTTTCTGTTATCTTGACTGTGACACAGTGGTATGCAGTGGGCACTGAACAGGCCCTTCAGAGCTTCTCTTCAGCATGCAACTGTCCAACAGTATGCCCAGTAGGGCTAGGCCCACTTATATAAACTCCATAATTATATAAACCAGACCTACCTCAAGGAAGCAGTACAGCAAGGTTGCAGTAAACAAACAATTATAGAAGGCAAATTAGGATAGTACACAAAATGAATTATGTGCCATTGCCAACCATTAATAAATCAATTTCTTCCTACCTATCCTCCCTGTCTTCCCTTTCCTCCCTGTACTCTCTGTCATCCCTGTCCTAATTGTCCTCAATTTCTAATCTGTCTTCATTGTCCTACCTGTCCTCGCTGTCCCCTCTGTCCTCTCTATGTTCTCTGTCCTTCCTGTCCTCCCTGTACTTCCTGTCATCCCTGTACTCCCTGTCATCGACCTGTCCTCCCTATCCTACCTGTCCTAATTGTCCTTAATTTTTACTCTATCTTCATTGTCCTACCTGTCCCAATTCTCCTCCTTGTCATCGCTGTCTCCTCTGTCCTCTCTATATTCCCTGTCCTTCCTGTCCTCCCTGTTCTTCCTGTTTTCCCTGTTCTTCCTGTCTTCCCTGTCCTCCCTGTCCACCAAGTCCTTCATGTCATCTCTGTCCTCCCTATTCATGATTTTGCAGCCATTAATCAACATTTCCCCATGATTAAGTCATGAATATAAAAGGAAACTCGTATACCTTTGTTTACAAAAAAGTTTCCTTTTAAACTAAGCTTTGGGAGTTCTAATACAGAGTTACCCACAAAGAAAAAAACTTGAATGTCGACCTCTATCACTTAGATTCTAAGGTTGTGAGCTTAAATTTGGGCTTTATTCTTCAGTAGGTGAAGAAAACAATAATTTCAATGCTTTAGAGAACCATAAATGTAAAAAAGATTTAGTTGTCTCTGTATGCTCATCCTGCATGCGTAATTACAGGTCTGTAACATACCCTTGTTTAGGTGAACTGGTGGGATCCAGTGGACAATGTGCTTGGAAGTATACTCATAACTGGGGAGAACAGCTGGTTTGTGGACGGTCAGATGAAGCGGTTATGGGCATGTAAGTATTTAACAGCTCACTTTAATTTTTGGGTAGGTAGGGGGGGGGGGAGGTGGAGGACAGAATTGTATAACTGTATAACTGCATTGATGAAATTAGACGTTTCATTTGCTAGAGAATATTTTTAAAGAATGAAATCCAAGAATTTAGAAGTTTTCTTGAACAAAATCATGTAATTTTCACCATTTGACTTTCATTTTTACCTCAAAGCTCAAAATCTGGTGTTTTAAAAGACAATAAAACTTTAAAGTGTTAAAGGTTCAAAATGATAAATTTGTGAAATACATATTTGTTCATACATCAAGACACTAAAAAATTCCAAGTTTTAGTTGTAAATTAATATCTAAGATAAAGAATGTAAAAATCAAGAAAAAATAAATTTTAATTCTTTCGTTCTGTAGAATTTAATTGAGATTTATTTTTAATTACCTGAAATTAATCATGCATTAAAAAATCGTCCTCTACAGGAAGTCTCTATAGATTCTAGCAATCAAGCTTTCGTAAACTGGAACCCATTAAACTGTAGAACAGGAAGACGACGCTGAAGCATTTTATTTGTACTTTATGTCGTCATAAAGTAACTGAGATTCTGGTAGCTTTAACATCTATATATTCAGTCAAATAGGAATATTTTGTTAGATGAAATTTATCATTCATCAACATTTAACTACAGGGATGAGACTAAGAAGACGACATGAAACTCTTAAAATAAGACACTTTTAAGGTTGAAAAAGTTTTCTAACGTAATTTTTTTCTTTTTATGGTTTTTTACTGATTTGGCGAAGGAAAAACAAGTTTACAGTTACAAGGAATCATGATATAAGAAAACAGACAGTATAAATATTTTACAATCGTCTCTGAAGTCTCATCCTTTGTGTGTAACCCTGTATTAACAGACATAACTGGATTCTGACTGTCGTCTACTTGTTTTCTCATTTCTATGGATCCCTTGTATAATCTATATAATTTAAGATGTGGGTCTAGAGGAGATAGGACTGTCCAGGGGATTCATCTCATGGTATTCTCTGTATAATCTATATTGTTTAAGATGTGGGTCTGGAGGAGATAGGAACTGTCCAGGGGATTCATCTCATTGTATTCTCTGTATAATCTATATTGTTTAAGATGTGGGTCTGGAGGAGATAGGAACTGTCCAGGGGATTCATCTCATTGTATTCTCTGTATAATCTATATTGTTTAAGATGTGGGTCTGGAGGAGATAGGGACTGTCCAGGGGATTCTTCTCATGGTATTCTCTGTTGTGAACTTGTTCTTCTACAATAGTGATCATTAGAAATATTGTAAAATGAAGTGACTGTATTAGCATAATTTAAAGTGACCCGATATACAAAAATAGCAATGCTCAATTTACAAATGTAATCTGATCAAAAATCTTGTTTTTCTTACTCAAAAAGTGTTTTTTTTTCTTAAAATTTCTCTATTGTTTCTTATATGCAAGAAATGAGTAAGTCACTTTTGCAGAAAAATCCCAAATTAACATAAACAGCTTAAATGAATATAATCATGCATATCCAATTCACACTAGATCAGATAAAGCTTTTGAGGGCGCTGTTGTTAATCAGGCATTGTCATCTATGCATGAACGGTGGATAGAAATTACGCTTACAGTCTCTTTCTTAAAGTTTTCCCATAAAAATGCAACAATGATGATTAAAGAATATTTATGATTTTACAATATAAATTGAAAGTTGAAGCACGAACAGAGAAAAATTTTAATATGATTATTTGTAGTTTTTTTTGTATGATTATATAAATTCAGTTTCACACTAAAAACTTTTAAAATTTCACAAATATTGAATTGGGTCTACTCACATTGACCAATTAAGTCTATATAGAACTATACAATTACCTTTTTCTCCCTTCGTTGGTTATATATATATCCATTTTACTTGTTTTAGTCATTCCGATCCAAATTATTAGATCACAATTTAAATTATTGAATTATTATCAACGAAATTAAAGTTTGGTTGATTAGAAGAACTGTTTCCCTAACTCCAAGCTCTGTTTTTAGAAATTTACAATAATTTAGTTAAAGGTCTGACAGCCTATATCGACAATCTATCCAGCACAATAATAAGTGAACAGAGAAATATAAAACAAAATGGCAAAACTAAAAAATCACAGATTTAGAAAATTAATTACATTTTTACCTGTTACAAAATTTGTAAAAACTCTTTATTTAATTCGGTTACATTTGAGTTTTATAACTGTTAACAGTTTTTAGAAAGTTAAAATTCTTTATATCATCAATAATAAACAATTTAGCGTTGTAGTAACACTCTGTTTTATATCTTTAAATCACAAATTAGATATACACAGACCGCCCATAAGCTCTCACTGGACAGCCTGAGCAGGCCTATAGTTGTCCGTGGACAACATGCTACATATCCACGATAGGTTTTTGACTGCCATCTAACGGCCACTTGTTGCATTTAATGCCCGGTCAGGAGTTAAGTTTTATAAATTTTAAAGAAATACTCAAACTTTTTACTTTTAACATAAAATATATGAATTTAGTCTATTTTTGAAGGTATTGTACTTCTTATCCAAAGGATCCTTAAATATCCCTGAATACAGACGTCTCTTTATTGGTCGTGTACTCCAGTTGTACAGAATGAACCCTACTTTGGAAAATATCGCATATTCTGTCCTTTAATAGATCTCTGTACTCTCTTATCTCTGCTTTAAATGTTTCCGGCTCAACATTTATGAAACCCAATCTGTGTACACTGTACAGTGCATGTACATTTACAGAGCCCTAAACTTAAGACATGGTGTCGTTATAAAACCCAGTATGAAAAACCGAGTTTCACGAATGGGTACGATAATTTTGTTATTATATCAATATTTTGCTTAAGAAAAATTATTTTAGATGAGCCATGGGAACTTTTTAAATTGATACCCTTAATCCCAATCACTTAATCTGAACATCTTAGGTGGACACTTTTTCTCACAATAAGAGTACTCTCATTAAATAGTTGAATTTCATACACTTTTGAGGATGCAAACTAAAGATTAAATTAATCTTAAGATTAACAAGAAAATCAAGGATTGATCTTGATATGACAATTTTAAAGTTTACAGCTATGGTTAGTTTTATTCTTTTTTATTTTTTTGTTTTTTCTTAATGTAAATCTACATAAATATGGAGACTCCCAAAAGGAAACTCGAGTTTTGCTAAACAACACTCTTTTAAAAATTCGGCCCTGTACGCTGTATACAGTGTACTATTTCAACAATACTGCATCTACAAACATTTGAATTGTAGAATGATATGTTTGATATGTTTGTTAACTATTTGTTCATCTGAACATAATACTCTAGGCAAATATAATGTTTATAAGGTTCTAGAGCAAGCATTAAAAAAATCTATATAGTTAGAATATATGCAATTTACTTCTCTTTTTGTTCATATTGAACCCATGTTTGAAAAATAAATGAATTCTTTATAATGTTTCGGCTCATGCATATAATATTTGACAGAAAATAGCATTTCTTGTATATCTATAAGATTGAAAATGACCTCTCTTCTGCACTGGCGTTGCCAGTGGAATAAATTTTGTTTGAAAAAATGAAATTTTGAAGAAAAATATTTCGATTTTTTTAGCCTATAACACGGCCATTTGGCCGGCTATAGGCAACATATATATATATATATATACGAATGTCTTGTTTTATTATATAGATATACGGAGATAAACTATGACTTACTCATTTACTGTGAGAATAAAAATTGTAAATTAAAAATTGAAAAATCACACAACCTCGAGTCTGATTTCTTAAAATTGAAAATCACGGAACCTTGTATAAGAAAAATAAATATGATATCTTTCTATTTAATTATCAGTAGCGTGCATAGTGTGGGGGGGGGGGTTAAAATCCTCTTGTCCCCCTGAGCATCCCTGGGATTTTTGGGCAAAGGTTAAAATCAGGAGTGGTAGGTAAAAAATGAGCTTTCTCCCATCTGAAATGGATGTTTTCCCCATAAAAAGTATTTCAACATTTTTCCCCATAACTTAATTTACTTAATAAAATTTTTTAGCTAAATGGTTACCCACAAAGGATGAGATTTTAGGAACTACTGTATGTAATTTCTTATGTCCGTTTCCTTATATTCAAGATTCAACCAGAAACTTCTTTCTTTATTTGCAAAATCATTGAATAAACCATTTAAGGCAGAAATCTTAATTTGAATTGTCATATTTAAAGAGCTTTTGGTCGTCTTTACAGTCTCATCCCTTGTGGGTGCAAGTGTTTGGCGAGTCTTGCCCACCCTGGCTAAAATCCTGCATACGCGCCTGTAAACTATCTATCTGTCCATCCATCTATCTATCTAAGATAAGATAAGATAAGATAAAGTTTATTGCTAAAATACATGTTTCTGTGTACAGAACGAGTTTACAATTACAAATTGATGATTATATTAACAGTACAAGTATAAAGCAAACTGCCTCCCTCTCCCCCCTCCACCCTTTTTCCTTTTTCTTCCCCTTCCCCCTCTTTTTCCCCATCCCATCTCTTTTTCATAATAGTTTCCTGCTTTCGATTTCTTTCTTGCCATTTCTCCCCTTTTCCTTCAATTCCCTAGTTCGCCATTTTTATTTTATTTATTACTAGCTGAAGGGCCCGGCGTTGCCCGTGGAAAAAAATTGAAAAAAACAGCGATTTTTTAGCCTATAACACCCCCCCGCCACCCATGAATGTCCAAAACAAATTTCAGCCTAATCGGTCGAGCCATTTGACCGGCTAGGCAACATATATATACGAATGTCTTGTTTTATTATATCATAGATTATTACTTGCAATTGCTTTCCTTTCTTCACATTATCGATATATTTCTCAAACTAATTTTCAGACAATTTACAAGACCCTTGATCAGCAGTTTTTATACAAACATCTCAAATATTCCAGGGAGAGGGGGGGGGGTGAAGGGTAGGCAGGGTAGGGTTAAGGCCTGACATGTATGAATACAGTAAGTAGGGGAAGTATGAAATTGTAAGGGGGGGAGGGGGGGGGGGTATGCATGAATGCTTATAGAAATGTATGTTAAAGGATGTGAATGTTTATTTCTCTGAAATCTCAGTTCGGACAAATAGTAAACAAACAGTTCAGAATTTACAAATAATAGTACCATGAACAAGAATCAAGACAAGAATCTTAAATTTTTAAATACTTTAAATTGGAGAGGGGGGGGGGGGTATCAATGGAAGCCGAATGGTCGAAAATGGAGAATTTTTTAATCGAAATTTGAGGCAAAACAAAAATATTTCTCCGGGTTTTCCAGAATAAGAAAAATTAGAATGAATGTTTTGCTTTATCTTACAGATATATGAAATTGTATAATAAAATATGCGTAAGTATTTGTGGAATATAATAGTAGATTGTACAGTACGTGTACAGTACTGTATGTTTTTTGAATATATTATCAGATTGTACAGTACGTGTAGAGTAATGTATGTATATGTGGAATATATTATCAGATTGTACAGTAATACAGTACTGTATGTATATGTGAAATATATTAGTAGATTGTACAGTACGTGTACAGTACTGTATGTATATGTTGAATGTATTAGTAGATTTTACAGTACGTGTACATTACTGTATGTATTTGTGGAATATATTAGTAGATTGTACAGTACGTGTACAGTACTGTATGTATTTGTGGAATATATTATCAGATTGTACAGTACGTGTACAGTACTGTATGTATATGTGGAATATATTAGTAGATTGTACAGTACGTGTACAGTACTGTATGTATATGTGAAATATATTAGTAGATTGTACAGTACGTGTACAGTACTGTATGTATTTGTGGAATATATTATCAGATTGTACAGTACGTGTAGAGTACTGTATGTATATGTGGAATATATTTTCAGATTGTACAGTACGTGTACAGTACTGTATGTATATGTGGAATTTATTATCAGATTGACAGTACGTGTACAGTACTGTATGTATATGTGGAATATATTATCAGATTGTACAGTAAGTGCCGGCTTTAAAGCTATGTACGTCAGGATGTACATACGATGTTAGGTACTTTCCCAAAGGCGTTTTACCAAAAGGCAACTTCCTAAGGTATCTTCCCAATTGGAAACTTCTCAAATGTGCAACTTCCCAAATCTGTCCTAGCCGCAGTGCTGCAACCCTACTATGTTCTTACCGTAGCGGTCGCCCCAAAGCCCATCCTAGACGCAGCGCTCAGCCCAAAATGGCAGCCTGCGGCGCCTCAGAAGGCCTAACCCAACCTTTGTTAAGTTGCCGATTGGGAAAATGCCTTTGGGAAAACACCTTCATACAGCATTACACCAGCGTCTTCACAGTTTTGACCGGGCCAAGTGTTACAAGAACACTTTTCTGTAGCCCTGTATATAGGAATTTCAAAGCACTTGTTTATAACTACAAAGTCAGAATCTACCATTTTATTATTCTATATTTATCATTTTTTTAAGTTTTATGAATATGTTTTGGCATCCAGCCTGTAATCTAGCATGCAATCTAATAGAGTCAATCAACTTTAATTAATTCGGTAAAAACTGGAAGAAATTAAACATTTGCTTAATGAACCATGGCATAAATTTATTCAATCATTAATGGGAGGGTTTCGAAAAATTAAAGATTGGTTTAAGGGACTGTTTTCCATATTTCAAGTGATCCTCTTATTCACAATAGTTTACTCTTTAAATC